TTTTATAATTTTTTTAATTTTAATTAAATTATTTAGTTACTTAAATTTACTCTATAATTATTTTTACTATATAATAATTATTTTTACTAATATACTTTTTAATTACCTATTAATTATATTTTTACTTAAATTTTAGTTTCGCCCAAAATATCTGAGAAGGAAGGAATATTATTTATACATATTAAAACATTTGCTCAAAACATACTAATATCTTGGCAAAGTGGCAAAGATGATTCAATTTGTAAAATAAAATAAAATAAAATAAAATTATTACCCAAATTGCTGCATTGGGAAGTGGCGAAGCTTTCTTAAATTACAGTAATTAATATTATACACGAAAATTGATAGTGTTTGGCCAAGTACAACGTTTTCTGTAATTAATGATGTTAGGGTATTCAAATGCTAATTTTTACTTAAATTAGGAATTTACTTTAAATTGGATTCCTTGTCCACAACACCCATTTTATTTATTTATTTATTTAATTAAATAATCAATCAGATAGGTCATAACAAATAACCCTTTTTCCAAAATTCTCTATTATTTTAAATTAATATGTATTTGCCAATATTGGATAAAAGTAAGAAAGATATTCCATCCTCGACCCTTTTTGTGTTCCCTCAACTATAATATATTTTATTTAGAATTTTTGGAGGAATATTTTAATTTTCTTTTATCTCAAATATATATTTATTTATGTCTTAATTTGATGTGTTGTCAATATTATAAAGTTTGCTATTAAATTAAGGCACCAAAATGACACGTCACAGACGAATTTCTTACCGCCGGACATTTCCTAATTGTAATAAATGCCTTGGGCTTTGGACAATTATATATTTCTATTTTATGGCTAAATAATTTAGGGTTGGATTATTATTCATCAAAGAAATTCCCAGTTCTTGCATGCAAAAGTCACGTGATTTTCATGTAAGAAAAGCAACTAGTTTACTTGTACATATGCATATATTCCAGGTTTTGTTTTACTTGGTGATTGTTTTTTAATTTTAGTTCTGATTTTTCGTTTAAATAGTAGATTGAATATAATATATTTTTATAGAAAAATATAAAAATTACATAATAAATAAACTGATTATAATAAGAACAAAAAAAGAAAAAAAAGAAAATTGCTATTTGACTTAGTGAAATAAATAAATAAATAAGAACAAGTTAATTGTACTTCTAACTATATATCTATATGTCTATATATATTGTATTTATATTTGCATAATACACATTTTTCTTAGGGGCGGTTTAGTTCATGGATTTTTTTTTTTTTTTTTTTTTTTTGTGGGATTGAGATTTCACGGCAGGATTTATATGCGATGAGATTTATTATATTTAGGATTTGGAATCCTATCATATGTTTGGTTGGTAAAATTATGTGGGATTTATATTTGTCACGTCTTGTTTGTTTTTTATATGAGTGGAAGGATTTTGATTTTTTACAGATAAATGACATAATTGTCCCCATATGAATTTTATTTATTTTGATAAATTAAACATCTAATTTATAATATATATGAATTGAAAATATATTAATAATTTTATAGGGATTATAATAGGTTATCGTAAACTCGAAACCCGACTCGAACCCGACCTATTTATTTGAAGTTGAGTCCAATTATTTGAGTATTAGATCTTGATCCGGGTCATATTATGGGTATTTTAATCAGGTCCGAATCGGGTCTAGGGTCTAAGGGGACCATACCCGCACCTAGACTCGATTTATAATATTAATAATATATCGACTATACATATGAAAAAATAATTTCTAACAATATAATTATAAAAGATATAAAAGTAAAATTTAAAATCCCATGGAATGGAATTTAAAAGTGATAGGGGTACCCCATTACTAATAAATCCCTTATTTGTAGGATTTTGGACCATGTTTTTAAATCCCATCATTTTAAATTTCATTATCTTTTTTTTTTAACCAAACATGGATTTCATGGAATTTTAAAATCCAAATCCCATAAAATCCTATCAAATCATTCAAACAAACAGCCCTTTAATTCAAGGGTTTGTTTCAACTTTCTATATTTTTTTTTTCTAAAAAAATGATTTTTCGAACCATATCTAAGATCGGGTGTCGTGTTTCAAAATATAAATTATTACATCATCTCATTTAAAATAAGAACACACACAAAATGACTCGTGTGTTGATCGTACTAATATATACATCATTCGTTATCCTTTATCAGATGCGCAAAATGACCGTCTCATATAAAGTTCAAACTATTAAGGAAGCATATTATTAATTTATTTATCCCCAACGGGAGTCCCCAATGCGTCCCCTAAGGTAAAAGGGGAAATATGCGAAACTTGCACATGCATATGTCAAAATGAGGACGGTGAGACTCGAACTCGAACTCGAGACTTAGAGCTTTGATATCATGTCGAATGCACATAATGACCGCCTCACCTTAGAGCTGTTAAACGAACCGAGCCCTTCGTGAACTTGGCTTGATTTGACTCGATTAAAGCTCGTTCGCGAGCGTTAACGAACCAAGCCGAACAACATACACAAGCCCGTTTGGTTAACGAACGAGTCCGAGCTTTGTTCGCGAACGTTCGTTAAAAATAATATATTTATTATAAATATTATATATACATATAAAATTATAGTTTATAAATAAATAAATATCAATTTAAAATAAATAAATAAAATAAATTTTATTTTTCTTTTTAATTTATATATAAATGTTAAAAAAGTGAGACAAATGAGCTCGAACGAGCTCAATCGAGTCTAAACAAGCCGAACACGAACACGATATCAAAAAAAAAAAATCTTAACGAGCCGAGCTCGAAAGCTTAACGAACGAACACGAGCCTTGTTTGCGAACGTTAATGAACGAAACAATTATTTAAAATTCGGCTTGACTCGGCTCGTTAACAGCTTTACCTCGCCTAAAACCTCAGGTCTCGAGTTCAAGTCCCACCGTTCCCATTTCAGTATATACATGTGCAAGTTTCATATATCTTCCCTTGTACTTGAAGGGGCGTCCCTAATAGCTTGACCTTACGATCCCTAACTTATATATGCATACATACATAGATGCGCCACATTTGTGCAAAGAAACACCTCCAAACTAGGAAAAAAAGTACCGCGCCAAATTCTCGACCACATGTAAAAATTAAAGGAAGAGATGCATGCATAAGTTTGTTCCCTTCGAATGAAACTCACGACATGTGTGATGCGTGCGTACATCGTTTGTCATCTCGGTTTTCACCTAGATTCTTAAGGTTAAATTTCATGAAAGACATCCAACAAGTGAAAAAAGTGCAAAACATTAAGGTAAAATGAAAAGTGAAAACCTTAAGAAGAATATATATATATATATATACATATGTGTGATATGATAAGTAGGATCCTCGATTATTTAGAAATTTATATGAAGCCTAATTTATTTTTTAATTTTAATTGTCACATAATTAAAATTACATGTGATCAGTGCATACGTTGCATTCGCCTGAAAATCAACAACATTAATTAATTGGTTGCAGATTCTCTGTTGATTCGGACAAGTCAGCACAGTGTTGATTTGACCGGATCAACATATGACGGTGACCAACATATGTTGTGTTATATAAGATAATATATACTGAGTTTTAATATAATATATGTTGTATTATAAATATACTGAGATATATATAGATATATAATGGTCAACTCTATAGCATATACTGATCCGGTCAAATCGGAACTGTACTGACTTGATCGAATTAGCCGTTGATCCATGTCCTTAATGAATTAGTTCGACCTTGAATGCTACATCAACATATGTTAGATTAAATTTTATTTTCTATCATTGGATGATTAAAGATCAACAATAATATAGATACAAGTCCTCTTTTAGTTCGATTTCAAATTCAAGAGTAATATAGTAATAAGTTAGACTTATGGGACCTTTTTATTTATTTTTTCCCAAACCGTGAAAATAATGAGTTGATGAATAATGGTATTAGATTATTTTAAATTTAAATTCGTATTATTAATTAAGAATTAAGCATGCTTGCTAGGTCATGGACCATTTACTTAATTAAATGGTCCCCAAATAAATTGAACAATTTATAGCTCTCTATAATTAATAATGATTCCAATTCTTCCATGCTTCACAGTTTCCTTCTATATATAGCTACCCAATTAATTCAATTTAATGTCCTATTATTATTATTATTGTCCACTTATAGTTTATTTACTCGAGTTTTTATTAGGGTTTTTGATATTTTCTGATTTTAATAATTTTGAAGTGAAGATGATGCCTAATTTTTTGAATGAAAATTGCATATTGAATTTAAATACGACATTTCTTTGAAAAAAAGATACAAAATGAAGTACTAAAGATTTAAATAAATATTACAGCACGCCCTACAACATGCAAGCCTTCCATTGGCTATCTTACACTTAGATTTTATTTGTCATATAAAAATTTGATTGACTAATGAAAGAATATTATATTTCCCTATAAGATATATATATATATATATATTTATAATAAATTTTTTTATACAATATAATTTTAATAATTTATATAAACCGTCACGAGTATAGTAAAATTTTAAGTATGTTTATCGAGAATATATGAATTCACAAGAACACACATACCAAATAAAGATATGCATTTGATCACATCAATCTTTTATGTAATATTTTGTCTAATATTGTGAATCTTGATGATAATATTTGTTTATTGATTAATTTATTTGGTTATATTCTTTTTAATGCTTTGATGATTGCGATGCGCCTGATTTGTTCAATATTTAATTTCATTATTAATAATTAATAGGGAGCTGAAGTTTTGCCACGTCTCTTTGGATTAAATATTCTCGAAAATTCCATGGCCATGCAAGTTGGTATATAAACGGGCTTGTAAATTTGGGCCTTAATGGGCCTTTTCTATTTTGGGCTTTTAATTGGGCCTTTAAATTTAACAGTCAGCGGAAATATCTAAAAATGGAAATTATTAATTTGGAAGCAAAGGATTTTTATTTATTTATTATTGATATCCGTTGTCTTATAGAAACTCAGGGCGAAGCTACAGCCAGGCTTCGAACGCTCCGCCGGAGCCACCGCCGTTCCTCCACCGCGTCGGAAAATTACGGAAATGAGCTCAGTTTGTGGATCGGAGCTTCTTCCGTTGTCTTTGGTTCATCGCACCTTTGCTGTCGGACGACAGTGTCAGATAATCGATCGGTTTTGTTTTCCCGGCCAGAAGGTTAATCCGATTTCCGATTCTCTCCACGTGTCTCCCAGGCGGAGGGCTGTTTTTTTCGCCGCTAGCTCTACCCTGATTCCCAACGCTGTTCCGGTAGCGCATGCTTATCTGCTTCGTTTTTGTTCTGTTTTTTTGGGTCGGTTGGAATTGGTTATGAATTTTACAGGTCTGCTGTGTTTTGATCAGGCGAGGAATGGAGTTTATACTGTTGGTGAATTTATGACCAGGAGAGAAGATCTGCATGTTGTCAAGACCACCACTACTGTGGATGAAGGTTTTTTAGTTTAGTTTGTGGATGGATTTGTGCTAGATTTTAGGGGGATAGTAGATCCTTTCTTGTTATTAGCTTCTGTGGCTGATTTTTGTTTCGTGGAACAGCTTTGGAAAAGCTTGTGGAGAACAGAATAACAGGTTTTCCTGTGATTGATGATGACTGGAAATTGGTAAGTTTTGAATTACTACATATAAACAGTCAGTTGTGGAAAACTTATTGGATTGGATTGAATTTAAATTCAAGTTTGGGTAATGGAAGTTGAGAACTCAGTCTAGTACTTAGGGACAGGGGCAATTCCCTACTCCGTGTTCTATGTTAACAATTTGGATATTTGTTAGTAATTGGTTTTGCATCACGATAGGAACCCCGGATGTTGATGCCATGGATATGAGAAGAAAAGAAACGCCTAATATTATTGTAATTGAGGAAATTCACAAGGATATCCATGGTTTTCTATCTCTCTGAGCTACATGATATGTCATATAGTGCTGTACAGAACATGTGTGCTAGAACTTGGTTAAGCTTATGGAATACAAAAATTATGGAAGGTGATCGACTGTGATGCTGTGTCGTTCAAGTGCATTATTGTCACTGAACATGGATTGTAACCTTTAGATATGCTGGCATGGTTGTCTATGGTCACCCCTGTCATGCCCCGACACTACTTCTGTACCCTAGACAGTGCTCTTTCTATGCAATGTCGCATTAGTTATACGAAGTGCGCCTCTGGAATGCACTGTAACCACCTGCTACCTTTTGTATAAATGTAATTGTTATTGTGTGCATATGTTGCATGAAGAGATCTTCCAATTTCTATGATTTGTTTTTGCACAATGAAAATTTATTAAGTTGAGGTATTTGCAGGTTGGTCTTGTGTCAGACTATGATTTATTAGCACTGGACTCCATTTCAGGTTTTTCGCTCTTTTAATTTCTGAAAATATCTATTATTTATATTTCATACCAATCACTTTCGATTGTGATTTCATTTTATCTTCCATTTGGGTTTTTATCTGCATTCATTTCAAAGGGGAGGTGTAACGCCGTATAAGAAGCATTATGTTATGGGCCTATGGCATACTTCCGACATTGTTTGAAAATTCAATAGAATTCATCTTCTTGTCCTCTGGCCTGTTTATGCTGATTTGAAGGACCATTCTCAATGAAACTGTTTGATTACTAACATGTGGCTCTTACTCTTGTAGTGTTTTTTTCATAATTTGATTATAAGTTGTAAAGATTGAATCTTATTGTTTGGAAATACTCTCTTGTTGCCAAAGGTACTGGAAGAGCCGATGCAGACATGTTTCCTGAAGTTGACAGCACTTGGAAAGTATGCCCTTATTATCTTCTACAATTTCAACATACTCTTCTTTGATGTTGATGTCATTACTGTTCTCTATCATTTATCGGTTATTTTCTCTTTCTGCAATATATAAATAGAAATATTTAGTCAGGTTTAGGATTTCAAGAAGTCAGTCATTCATTAGTAGCATAGTTTGGAGTTTCTATTCTGTTCTCTGGATGACTTGTTAGGATAACTGGCTTTTTGAAAAATGATTAAATATGAAACCTTTGGAAAGAAGTCATGCTAAGTTCAAAGAAACTGATCGATGAGGAACATTCGTATATCTAGAGATCCTGCTAAATGAACACCTTCACTAAATTTTTTATGCACGGGACATTGTGTAGTTTGCCTTTTTGTAGCTTGAGAACGCATGTCGTGAATTTTATTTGGTTTCAAATTTGAGATTTAGCAATTGTATAGCCTGAAGTTATAAACTTTCAGTGGCTTTGCCAGTTCATGTCTGATGCATGAATAGCTGTCGGCACAGCAATTTATGTTGAGATATTTCTGCCGTGCATTTGATTTTAAATAATACCTGCAGACATTCAATCAAGTGCAAAAGCTTCTGAGCAAAACTAACGGAAAAGTGGTTGGTGATTTGATGACACCAGCTCCAGTGGTCGTACAAGAATCAACCAATCTCGAGGATGCTGCAAGGTAATTGCTTTTCCTTGATTATCAAACATGGTCGATTTATTTCCCCCTCTCGTATGCAATAAAATCTCTGTCCATTAATAACAGACTGCTGCTTGAGACAAAATATCGGCGCCTTCCTGTTGTCGACAGCGATGGAAAGCTGGTGAGGACCTATAACATCATTTCTTCAGTAAATTATTTTTCTTTCCTTTATTTACCTGCTTGCTAAGTATTCTAGTTTTGTAGGTTGGAATAATCACAAGAGGTAATGTCGTAAGAGCTGCGCTGCAAATCAAACGAAGCATGGAAACGTCATGAGCTCTCGATTATATTAATCTACTGCAGCTCATCGACTGGAAATGATTAGGTAAGTTAGCTCTTCCGAATTGGATGTTAAAATTTACCACTCTTGTCCAACATTAACTTAAGCTGTTTTCATGTCTAAGTATATACACTCTTAAAGTCGGTATAAATTTTCACATACTTCGATTTATTTATTTATTTTAGTTTTAAGTAAATAATCTATTACATAATCATAGAACTATAAAATGCAATTTGGATCTTGTGTTAGGATAATATCCTTTTCTACTATTCAGGAAGTTCGACTAATTTAGTTAAAGATCATGAAAAATAGGACTAGACCTAACATCATCTGTATCTTACCATTACATCTGCCCTCCATAATTTTATAAAACAGTCCCCAATTTGTATTTTGTCCTGTGCGAAGAAATGCTTTTTTTTTTTTTTTTTTCTTTTATTTGGACTGCTATATGTTTACTCTGTTTTCTTGCATCTTCGAAGTTAGGTGACATCATATATAGCACAAGTCCTCTTGCAATGTCTGAATATATTTTGGGCCATCTTTTCGCCAAGGTAAGATTGAGCTAAGGTAATATCGGTGGAAATTTTATTATTGAGATGTAATGGAAAATGATATGTGTGGCCTTGTGGTGTCGATCCCCTTCAATATATTGGCTTTCTGATGAAATTGGTCGAATTTAATATTTTAAATGAAAATTAGATTTTTTAAAATTGACCGTGCGTCCGCTGAGTATTATAAGATACTCTTTTCTGGCGGGATATTTTGTTTTCTGTGAATATGTATAGTTTATGTCGTCGAGTAGATTATTGTCATATTTTGCCGTGGATACAATTATTTATAAAAATGATATTATTGTTTTGGAATATAATCTATTGAAATAATTTCGTTGATTATAGTACAATTCTTTAAAAGTAAATGCATTTTTATTTTATTAAGTGCTAGGATAATCTTCCATCTATCTTAAAGAGTTTGTTACACGTAAAATCAAGGCATCGTCCCATTTGGACGCTAAACAAAAACTGACCATGATGTTGGCGTGGAGTATGGATTGGGTTACGGTGCAAACTAATGCAATATTACGCATTATTTAGTATTATATAATATAAAATATATTTTTTTTAAAAAAACAATTTACGTAACAAAAATAAAATAATTAATTAAATATTGGATATGTTCATAGCAATAATACTCTTTATATCCATTTAAAAAGTAATTATATTTGTTATTTTCTCAGTTTTTTAATATATCTGAGTTCTATTATACATTATAAATATTTGCCAATTTGTAGTTATTTATATAGTATTATTATATTCCTTCTTCTCATATCTATCTATTCCTTTACTTTTTATACGGAGTTTTAGAAATATTAATATTATATTGAAATATAATAAAAATAAATGTAAAAAAATTAAATTATATATAGATAGAACAATTACTAAAAAAAAATAAATATTTTTTTATGAAATAAACCAAAATAGAAAAATAAATAAATTATTAAGAAATTTATGGAGTATTAAATTAAAATGCTTTAAAATACAATCAGAATGTTCATTTAGCATTTTACAATAAAACAATTCTTCATAAATATTATTAAAAAAAATTAAATACAAACATATTAATATAATATATATTATTTATTTATAAAAAATAACAATTCAACACAATATTATCTTTTATATTTATAATACAAACACAATAAATCAATTCAATCTAAAAATCTAAAAACAAAATAAAATAGACTCTATTGATTAGTTTTGCAAAAAAAAAAAAAAAAAAGGTCAACTATTACTTTGCCCTTGCACAGACAGCCTTTTGACATGAAAATAAATAAGACACTCCGTAGTCAAATGGCGGTGGAGTGCACTCTCTTTCTCTCTACGGCGGCTGCCGCCACCGCTTGTATCACTTCTACCCCACAGTAGCAATAATAATAATTCTAAACTATTTTTATTACTAGCATTATTTGACCAGATAACTAATTAATTAATTATATATATTTCCAGTGCTATTCAGCAGTGCCCAGAATGGGGCTATTCGGGCCCGGGCTCGGGCTTTTATTGAGATCGATCTTCCGGTCGGCGTTGGTGTGGAGAGCGTCGACTCTGGCGCCGACCTCGACCGCCTTCTGCCGTATAGCGGCGGCGGAGAGGTCCGACGCGCCGCCGCCCGCTGTGGCGGAGACGACTTGGTCGGGGAAATTGAGCTTTGCGGTGGGGCCGCGGAGGTAGAACACGGCCGTGTCGTAGGCCCGTGCCGCCGCCACGGGGGTGGAGTAGGAGCCGAGCCATATTCGCGACCGCTTATTCGGCTCCCTAATCTCGGCTACCCACTTGCCCCACTTTCGCATCCTTATGCCCCTGTACGGCTTCTCTCGCCGCCTCATCCTCCTCGTCGTCGCCGCCGCGCCGGAGGAATCTCCGCCGCCGCCGTCGGTCTCCATGTATTTATGCTGTAAATATTATTATTAGGGAATTAATCAGGACATCATGGCGGCGCAATGAATTTTTTGTTGGGCGGCGGCGCGGCTAATTAATAATAAGGCGGCTACTGTTACTGTTGCTGTTTGTTTGTCATATGATATGATAAAAAGGAAAGAAGCCACGCTACGTTATCTTTAGTTTTTTCCACTGAAAGCAAAGTTTCATGAGACCCAACAATAGACCACATTCTCCCTCTCTCTCTCTATGCATAATAATAATATATATATATAATATATGAATTTACACTTATGACCTCACCGACTCAATCAAAGCTATATTTTAGTTGCTTGTGTTTGAGGGAAATTAGTATACAAACCATAGAGTTAATATTGAATTATTAATATAAAAATCAATATTTTATATTTCTATAATTATACATATTATTTAAATTTTCTCGATAGGGTTTTTGTAAGGGAAGGGGCAGAAGATGATAAGATGAAATACTAATCCTAGTCTGATCGTTAACGATTGAAAGATATTTGTGTGCCTACTCTCACACACTAGTGGGTGTTGCTTCGAATATGTTACTGCTAGTGTTTTGAAAATTTTATAAACATAATAATAAACAATAAAATATTAAATACTTCATCTGTTCCGCAATAAGCGTTTGTTTTTTCACGTAAATTTTTAAATAATAATATTATATGAATTGTAGTGAAAAAGACAAAAATACTCCTATTAGCATAATGTAATATAAAAATAATGACATTTGTATAATATATTGTAAGTTGAAAGGTATTTATTCCGTTAAATAGGTAATACAATTATTAAATTAGGAAATTGTAACCTTGTTTTTGGAACGGACGAAAATGAAAAATGATAACCTTTCAATGGGACAGAGGAAGTATAATATTCAAATAAAAGATACTACCTCCATCTAATTTAAAAATTTATACTCCTCAGTTCATGTATAAATTTACTTTTGAAGCAAAATTTAAGAATATTTTAATTCTAACGGGGACGTAAAAGTAACGTAAAGACATTTTTATCCTTATTTTTTTTGTATAAAAGTAATAATGTGATGTAAAATAAAAATATTTATGAAAAAAAAAATAAAGTATTTAATGAAATGGTTACTTTCTAATTGTACGTTCCAAAATAAAAATATATATACTTTGTAGCGAACCGAGAAAGTATTTGTTTTAATGCAAAGTTTTAAAAATAATACTAATATTTTTATTATAGTGAACTATAAAAATTAATATAAAGACAATTTTGGCTTTATTTTTTTGGCATAAAAACAACCGATGTAATGCTAGAATAAGAATATTTATAGAAAAAAATAAAATATTTTTAAAATAAAAATTTAATCTGTATGTCAGTATGTTTGGCTACTGTGATATACATATACACAAACATAAACTTACAATTTCTTAATACCCACTTAAAGTGTAATTTCCAAATCATTCTTTCTAAGTAACTATTCAGCACAATTATGAATGTAATTAGGATTATAATCTTTTGACAGAATTTATTATTATTTTTTTTAATAATAATTTCAATGAGACATTTTTATAAAATATTATGTTTTTATAGAAAAACACAATAATTGTAAAATAGAAAAATTAAAAAACCAAACACCTAAAAAAATAGTGAAATTTATTGCAGAAGAGCGGGCTCAATACATCATCTAATCTAATCTAAGTATAATCTAATCTTCGTTGGTGTTCAGTGCACAAATTATATATATAAAAAAAAAGTGATGGTGATTTTCAACAAGCACATCAATCAAATATCTTCACCTTTACTTATGATTTCCAACTATTTATGAAAACTATCTCTAGAAAGTACAGTTATTTTATATTCAAAGCATAGCAATGGCATGATCAAATTCAACATCTATTTATGCCACATTAACACTTACTCTTTACTCTTAACATTTTACTATTCCCAAACTAACCAAAATCTCAAAAAGCGCTTCCAAAACATATCTAAACACGTTCGTTTTCAACGTGTATATTTGTCTGTGTATGTTTCTCTCATCATATTGAAGCAATGAATGAAACTTATGGCCTAATCTTTCGTGATATGAACATAAATGAACTTAAGCATGATTCATGGAATATTTTCAATCAGGCATCAAAATTTTGGAAAGAAAACAAAGCAGTCGAGGGAGTGGAGGAATCACTTATACCTCCATTTCCAGCAGAAGAAGCTCGAAGATGTATCCGTGTCACCTTGTAACTTCCGGGCTTTATCCAAAGAAAAGAAGGCTCGGCTACAGACAAGCTCGAATACCACGACACTCTGCAGAGTTTTCAACTAGGCAACTGTAGATATATATATGTGTATATGTCTAGTGTGTGTTATTGCACCAAGATTCATATATATATATATAGGTACGAACATTAATTTCTACACATAATAGATCTATAGATTAACAATTTATGAGAAGAATATTTTAAAATCAGATCATTGGAGATTTCTAAAATAGTAAAAACATAATCAAATGAGATCAAACTGATCTAAAGGCAAATATATCATGGAGAAAGTTAAAAAAACCGACGCGCAAGATGTACATATATCTAAGCTAAACAATTATAATGTAAAAATAGAGACTGAAGCTCGAATAAAGCTAACTGGCAGATGAGTTCATGATTGTGGGCTTCGGATTCATCCTCCAACTGACGGAGCTCTTTATTGAGCTGAGCACAGAACTTAATTTTATCTTGATTTCTTACTTCGCATTCCCATTCGTGACCTCGCATATCTGAAGCAGGTTAAGTGCCCACATAACCCATAACAACACAACCATGGAAAGGGTAATACAGAACAAAAGGCAAGGTATAAGTTTAAAAAGGATACTCAAGTCGCATCCCTTCACCGGATGTTGATGAATAGAGGATTGTACCTTGTAGTTGGCTCAGAGCCTCAGTTGAACAGGCAGTATCCTGTGTATTTAGATGACATCATTTTCAGGTCAAAACTAGAGATCAAAAGGCAAAGAAAAGAGAAACGTGGATAACAATGGTTTGAAGCATCGGTAAAGTACATTGAGATTATGAAGGATAGTGGTCGGTAAAAGATGATCGTAACATACCTGAAAATCAACAAAGGCAACAGGAGCTCCATATGTGCTCTGCATCTTCAATTTTAAAAATCCGCGACATCTATAGGTTAAAGAGTTAGAACAGCTGTCAAATGTGTAACCTTTTTGTTTGAAACAAGGTCAAATGAGTTTTTGAACCTTGAAAACACTTGTAGCAGCTCTTCCTCAGAGCAGGTAGGACCCAAATTAGCCACAAAGATTGTTGGACAAGGAAGATTGTTCTGCATGTGATAAGAGTGATTTTCAATAAGATGGCATGCAGATCCTCATTTAACATTCTCAGGTGTATAAGCGAATAAATGCAGAATGGAATTCTAGTTATAACTAAGAAAACAATTCACCAAGATTTAAAATTTGAGTAGGGCTCATTTATGTTTATGCAACAATATTCAGTTTGAAGCTTCATATATGTTTATCAGTCCTAACAAGTAACAAATTTAATATTGAAATCCCTCGTGCTATATGAACTGGACACAACCTTATACAATTAAGATATTCGAACAAGTTTGTTAACTTTCTTAAATCATTAGTTGATAGGTGCATTCTCTGGGGAATTTATAATGATTGAAAAGGGTGCCAACAGTTTCAAGTGACTTAAAATATATTTTGAGCCAATAGATGAAGAGCAGGATATACTCCAATGATCGGGCAATAGACTTTACCGACTTGGTAGCAGATTCATTCAGCAATACACCATCAGCAACACTGAAGCTGGAATAAAAAAAAATATAGGATCAGTTACACCAGTTAATTTATTGCAGGATAAAGTACTCGCTTCAGGTAATAGGGCTTATGGAGAGTGCTTTTGCCAGCCTCCTCCTCCTTTTTCAGATATAAATAATCAGTTTCCGGGAAGTACTATGAGTTATAAGTGACATGACAGATTAAAGTAACCACTCCCCAGTTATAGCATAGTGTGCATAAGCAGTGCAGATGACCTTTGTGTGGAAGGATAACCAATCGTGTTGTGAGCAGAATTACCCATTCCAGGCGTGTGAATGCTGCCAACACCTGCTAGTGCCCAAGTGTTCAAACACGTGTAATGTGAGTTCTTAGAAGAAGTGTCTTCCATGTGACTAGCTAGCTGGAGCCTCAAAAGAGGTCAATTAATACTATTCAATCATAACTTCAAATTAACAAGTAGGATATATATAGACTATAAGAATAGCCCACAGAGAAAGATATGACACAAAAATTCGAGGTAGAGTCGAGCTGCTAAAGGAGAAAGCCTGTGCGTAGTATGATAAAGCTATAAGAAGTATTTACCAAAATCATAGCTCCTTGAAAGAGCTGCAGATCCTTTTAGTCTCTTTTCTGAACCTTGATTCTCATCATCTGATTTTTTTGAAATGGTGATAAGTAAAATCATCTGCTATCCAACAAACTATGGAGAATACAGAAAACAAGAAAAAATATGGTCATTACTTCAATATTTATCTACCTGCTCTCAAGCGCTTCGACCTTGAATTAGATTTTGCAAGGTCAATAAACAATGTAGAACCTTTTTCAAGGTCAAACACCATACCCTGAAATTAACCATTGAAAAATACCTCACTGGTTATGGTCCTTAATAAGTTCAAATAATAGATATAGCGAAAGGTAACCTAGTTCGAAGCTGGCGTTTGAAACGTGATGAACTATAGAGGAAAGAAATAATCATTTTAATCCGTGTACGATTAAATGAAGCAACCAAAATCGGAAAGATGAAATATTTTTCTGAGGCATAAAATTTTGTAGTATTTAGATATTTTGATTACCATTCAAAGAAGGTAGAAGAATATGATGAACACTTTTTAACTCTATTAGCATTAGAAGTTCCATAAGGAAATATACAACAAATTTTCTCTGCTAAATTCATACAAATGCTAAATCCCGTGTGCATCCAACTTCCATATCAACGACCAATTAATTCTCAATTTTTCGTAAGAGTGATTCTAATACACTGCCATCAATCAAATATCAAGGATTTTACACATGTGCAACTAAAAACATCACAAGTAACTCATGCATAGGATATGATGATAAAGTAGGGAGGGGGGAATAAAAAAAATCAGATATTACAAGAATTACCAGAAGACAAGGAAAAGAAATCTTACATTCAGAGCATGCAAAGCCATGAGCGCTGACTGCTGATCCGAAAATGTTGCAAAAGCAAATGGCTGATATCCCACAAGTCACACATCAGGTTCCACTTTTATTAACATTAAAAAGTATGCAATAGCTGGAAGCAGAAACTATCAAAATGTGTACTTTAATTTAATCTAGTTTATTGTCTTAACGTCCGGTCCTAATTTAAACGCAAGAGATACATTAAACAAGCCCACCCAGATAGTCAGATGCAAGAAGGTTACCAAGACCATCGTTGTAAATGGTGCAGCACGGCACAAGGCCTGTGCCAGACCATGGAGCACAGTGTGTACTGTAAGTATTAATGTATTTTAATTACATAATATACATAAATATATGCAAAAAGAGGTAGAGATATTTAAAAAATAAAAAATAACAGAAGATAACTAAAAGACTGCCTGTATTCGTTTTCTTACTAGAAACAAGACCAACCCTCGGACACACTAATAATTAAAAATACACACAAATAAATCAAAGCCTTGCACCAGTGCAAAGGCACGTCAGGCACACCTTACTGCTCCAATTGCACCATTGGGCGATGGCGACATTTATAAAATTGACCATTACTACAAACTTAATGCAGGATATCTGACAGTTAAACATGAACCAACAATTAATGCAGCATGAAATGATCCAAATCCCCGTTGGCGAGGCACCATCAAGCTAAGTAGAAGAATTGCTTTATCGAATCACAGAAATTAGGTACTGTCACCAACTCTACACTTGTTTTTATTCACAACCCTCAAGATTTAAATATGTTCTATACACACGGGCAGGCCTAAGACTGCTGATACAGAATTTCAGGTAATTGAACTACATCATAGTTCTTGATTCATCTCTTATAGTCTTATTTAGGTACTTTAATTCAGTGACTGATCTACGAATTAAAATCACGACCTAATTATGAAAAAACAGCACGGTAATCAAAGGGTAACCAAACACTAATCAGCTAATTCTCAATGTTTTTTCTTCCAAGGCCACAACATCCAAAATATCAATTCAAGATAGCTCTTCAATTATAAAACACATATATCGTATCCCATACGTTTTACCTGACTGTTAGATGAAGTTGGAGGACGTAGATTTGAGGACTGGTATCCCGGGAATTCACGAAACAATTGGTAAATTTCTCGCGGCTTCACATCCTCCGGAAGCCCCGCTATAAAGAGCGTCCGCACCTGATCCTGGGACGACGGCGAGTAAATTGAGGAACCGTAGGTGACGAACTGCGGCTGAACGTGAATAGGCTGGGCCACCGCAGCCGGCTGCGCATTTGCCGTCCCTGGGGGCGGTGGAGGAGGAGGTGCCTGGTAAAACGAATTATGTATTGCAGAAGCGTAATAAGCAGCAAGGTCATCCATTAAAACGTGCGGTGGATCGACGTCACCGTCGCCGTCGCCGACGTGCCCTAGGCTGCCAGAAGCCCCTTTTCGCTGAGAGAGAAGATCGAAGCTGTTAATCGTGAGGTCTTAGAATTAGAAATTTGACCCAACAAGTGAAAAAAAATAAAAGAAAATTATGGTGTGATTTTCTATTTTTAAAATTAAAATATCTATTAAATATTCTTTTAGTACAGTTTAATTAAGGTAATTTTTTATTAAATTTATTTATTTTAAACCTATTTAAAAAATATAATTTTTTAACTTTTTTTTATTTATTTATTCAAAATTTCTTTATTATACTCTTATAAATAAACAAATATTTTTATATACATTTATAGGTATTTTTTTAAAATTTAAATTTTGCGTTTAGAATTTAAATAATAAATATTTTGAATTTAAATAGTTATATAATATAATATTTAATTTAATATTTTTAAAAATAAAATTGATGAATAATAAAATTATCATTAAAATCCCACGAAAAAGAACACACCATCTATTTTTCTATAAAATTATATATACTCCTCCAATTTACTGTTCTATTTTTCTCGTTCAATTTTTATTTCTCTTTATAAAATACAAATTTTACTGTTTTTTATTTATTTATTTATTATTTTTAATCTTTATTTTACTATAAATGGTAAATTTGTGGATTAATAACAAAAAATAATAGTTAAAAAATGACAAATATATTTTAGAACAGTAAAAATTGGACGGAATGAGTATTAATTTAAATTTTTATAATACAAAAATTATAACGTGTAGAACTCTCATATGCTATTCGACGAGTGCGTTCCGGCAAATCTCTGATTGAATTTAATATTTTGTAAATTACGTTCGACAAAATAAATCACATTAGACGAACCATTAGTGACAAGTTAATATTGTTATGAATTGTTATTTTGTAATACTTTTTAAATATGATAGTCCCTCTTATCAAATTATGATGTCTAAAATTATATATATATGTATATATATATATCAAAACATATCTTCAATTAATTGAAATCAATTTTATTCATTAATGGCTAGATAAAGCATTTTAATAAATTAATGATTATCACAGTTTAATAATTCAATTGCATTTATAGCACGTTTGGTAAAACTGTTTTTGGATCCATCCAGTTTTAATTAATTTATGGCAAACATTAAATGAATTATTTCATAAATACCCTCAAAATTAAAAACCCAATTGCTGGATACAACGAATTATTTAAATATAAATCATACTTAGAAACGTTATATAAATAAAAAAATATCAATATCAATAAATATGATACAACTAAATTAACTAGAATAGGGTCCAATTCATGCACGAGTAGTACAGTACAACGCACTTAGCGTAGTTCGGATTCCGGTCACTGTACAGCTTCCATCGCTATCGAAATATAGTCTTGGCGAGGTCCGGGACAATCCGAACCGTCCAATCGCTGTTCCCATACGTGGGGCCTGTAATCCAACGGTGTAGATCGGCTGGGACTGATGGGTACGGGACTGGCTTCCGTTTTTCCAGTGGTTCGTGCCCGAAGGATATGTCTGTGAAGACCAGGAGCAGAAAACCAGATAAATCTGGACCGTTATTATCATGGGGTCCACATAATGGACGGTGTAGATCGGAATTTTGGTGTGGACTTCATGTTTTAACAATAATTAGGAAACAAGCATGACCGCTTAACTTTTCTGATGATTGACAAATGACAATTAACCTAACAGCTGTTTGGTGATCAGATTATGATTGTGCAATACCGAAATTGCCCTCCACCACGCAATGTGTTCATTCGACAGGTGGTCTTTTTCCCCCAATTTTTGCCCTAGATCTTCTCCCAAATTTCCAACCCCAAATTCGGATTTCTGTTGTATATAATTTCGACCATTTTGCTGTTGGCGATTCCGATTTCGCTGGGCAGTTGATTCATGGTTGAAAACGAGCAATGATTTGTTGGAGTGGTAATGCAGGTTGAGCTTGAGCTGACAGTTGATTCGTGAGCTTGAAGAAATTCATCTACCTTGCTCAACTAATCCGTCCCCATTTCTTCGAAGTTACTCTGAATTCGTGTATTTTTTTATTTTTTCGGTGTTGGTTTAATCCGGAATTGGATTTTGGAGGTAGAGGCAGTTGAGAAATCTAGGATTAGGGGAGAAAAGCAAGATGAAGCAGATGGCGGCGTTGCAGCAGCAGGCTCGCCGGAGCAACAGCTTCCGGAGCGCGCCGTCGCCGCTGGACGCCACTGTGGATGGGGCAATTAAATCGCCGGCGACGATTTTTTGGTTAATCGTGCACGGACTCTGCTGTTTGATTAGCTTGGTCCTCGGGTTCCGATTTTCGCGGCTGGTGTTTTTCCTTCTGTTCTCTACTTCTCCCTACCCTTCGGCGAACACTATATACTCCGCGCTTCAAACAACATTGCCGTCGTCGGGGTCTGGAGCCACTTCGCCGCCTGAAAGGAATTTTTCAGGCGGCGGCGCCGGTGGGAGTAAAGTGGTGGTTGGGAGGCACGGGATACAGATACGGCCGTGGCCGCATCCGGATCCGGTGGAGGTTATGAAGGCGCACAGGATTATCGAGAGGGTTCAGACGGAGCAGAAGATTCAGTACGGGTTTAAGAACCCTAGGACGGTGATTGCCATAACGCCGACTTATGTACGGACTTTTCAGGCGCTGCACCTCACTGGTGTGATGCACACTTTGATGAATGTGCCATATGATCTTATTTGGATCGTGGTGGAAGCTGGAGGAGCAACCAATGAAACCGCCACTCTGATTGCAAAGTCGGGATTGAAAACCATCCACACCGGATTTGATGGAAGAATGCCCCTTTTGTGGGAGGATCGGCATAAATTTGAATCAAGAATGAGGATCCATGCTTTAAGGTAAATTGATGTTCTTCATCATTATGCCATTGTGTTTGTTAGAATTTGTTTGTTTAGGTAAATGTTTTGACAATAAGATTTTAGCAATTAGCTCTGCAGAATTCTCATGTTTCGAGCTGTTTGAAATGTGCAGAATAGTTAGAGAAAAGAGGTTAAATGGGATTGTGATGTTTGCGGATGATAGTAACATGCATAGTTTGGAGTTATTTGATGAGATTCAGAATGTAAGATGGGTAGGTGCAGTTTCGGTTGGAATTATTGCGTATTCGGGCGTTTCCGAAGAAGGAAGATTACCGATTGTTCAGAGAGATGAAGAAAATGACTCAAAGGTGTCGCAACTCCCCATCCAGGGTCCGGCTTGTAATTCTTCTAATCATTTAGTTGGGTGGCACACTTTCAGTACGTTGCCATATGCGGAGACAAGGGCAAGGTACATTGGTGATAGGGCTATTGTGCTGCCGAGGAAACTGGAGTGGGCTGCGTTTGTTTTGAATTCTAGGTTGGTGTGGGAGGACAATGTGGAAAAGCCGCATTGGGTTAAGGAGTGGGATGAGTTTGGGAGCGACGGACAGGATGTCGAAAGCCCATTGGCCTTGTTATCTGATACTTCAGCAGTTGAGCCTCTCGGTGGCTGTGGGCGCAAAGTTTTGCTATGGTGGCTGCGTGTTGAGGCTAGGGCAGACAGCAAATTCCCTGCAAGGTTAGTCCTTTGCTGCTTTCATTTAGAAACTTTGATGTTGTGGTTCTTAGTAAATACTTTCCCTCAATTTGTGATATCTGCCATATCTTATGCTTTCTAAAGGCTGAAATTAGTTGCTTTTTTGCGCCGAAGATTTTATACATGATGCATAAAGTAATTTGTTGAGGAAATGCTTTTTGATATCAAGTTGGGTTTACATTTGATTGTATGTTCAACGTCGTTTAGCATTGATTCCTATTTGATTCATGTCAGATGCCCGTTATTGGTTCTTAACCGAATGGAGGTTCTAGTTACACATTATAAATGTTAGTTTTGCGATCTAAGAACTTTGACCCCGTCTTAAACCCTTATTCATTCATTTCATGTTATTGTGTAGAAGTATCGTAGGCCTGCCATTTGAACTATTGCTAAAACCAATTTCAGAGTTAGTGATAAAGACTTATCTATACTGTTTAAAAATTTACCTACCAGCAACCATAACCTCTGTCTCTTGGAGTTTTTCGAGGGATTTCTCTCTTTGGACTATTCTTAAAGCCTATTTCAGAGTTGATCGACATTAGATCTTAATACACTTATAATTAGGGTGATTAAAAATCCTTTATGCAGTTCAAAATTTGCCTACCAGCAACCGTTAAATCAATTGAATAAATCGTTGTTCAGAACACAGTAAGATTGTAATAGAAGGTTGAAAATGTGAAATGCACATAAACCAGCTGCTGTAATTTCCTGAGATTGATAGGTACATTGTAAGCAAAAAGTTACAAGTCCAATTTAGGAGGAATACCTGCAAACACATAGATACGGTTTATTTGACATTTTAATTACATAGTCTGTTGTAATCATAGTGTGCAGCTCAAACCTTATTGCTAAACACGTATTCCTACAGCCAAGCCGACCATAACGACCCTAATTAGGGGATCTTCTTTCGTAGGAGATAGCTAGTTCTTTCATTTAGATCATATCCTCTGAGCTACATCTCACTAGTGACGCATTGTTGAAGTAGCATATGCTCACATATATATTCGTACTGTGATTCCTGCTATGTGAAGTATCATTTCTGGTTTGTACTTTGTAGAATCGACAAAAGATTCACTGCATCCCTGCAGATTACACTGGTTAAAGCTTGATATTAAATTTCCTTTTTGAACTTTACATCCATTGCATGAAAACATCATAGGATATGATATTAATCATTTATGGCAGCTTCCAAATCAATTTTCACTAAATCTAGTTGTTCAAAATTAACTCACAACTGCTATTGAGTTTCAGCACCTACACTACACCCTCGCTGCTTATGTTCGAACAAAAACTGTGTTTGCTGAGAATATTGTTGTTAGATGTTATTCGATGTCTTCCCAATTTTAAGCATGTTAGATGTTATCCTGATGTCTTCACATTATGCCTCAAAATTATCTGATGTAAGATTTTGATATCTGCTTATTGTTAATATGCAAAGATATTTTGAGCAATCATGGAGTGCCATTCTTGTTTATGCTTCATAACTCATAATAGACGAACACTCGTTAGATTCACTAGCTGTTAGTCTATGTATGCAATTAGTTGTAGTCTATTTACCGCGCAAAATCCTACTTCTTCCCGTCCCTAAAATAAACTCTTTATTTGGTTGAACAGATGGACAATCGATCCTCCCCTAGACATCACTGTCCCTGCAAAACGCACCCCATGGCCAGATGCTCCTCCCGAGCTCCCATCAACGACCGAAACAGCGACTGTTATCCCAAACACCACAGAAAAGCGTCCTTCGAAGACTGGATCCAGAAGAAAACGCTCGCGAAGCAAGAGGAAGCACAGCGCAAGAGCGCTGGACGATCGCGCCTCCACTCAAAGGCGTGCTGCAGATAACCGGAAGTGATGTCAACGATCTTTTCAGAAAATTATACCACTCTCTCTGTGCATTCTTGGTGACTAAATGTGGCAATGGCACAACAAAAGCCCTCTGAGAAAGATTAGGTGCAATGAAGAAGACAACAGCCCTCTGTCATTTCCCAAGAAGGTGTGTGTGTGTGTGTTACCATTACATATACAACAATCAATAGCCACAGTTGATATCATACATAATTGATTTTTGTCCCACCTAATTTCAGTGTTGTATTGTGAAATATTTTCCTTAATTGAAATGCCTTTTTGCCTTTTTCATTCCTGTACATACATATATGACACTAACCAAAAATATACAGTATAAAATTGAAGTCACACATACTCATACCAAATCAAAGAAACATACATGTATATGTCTATCTCTATCCTAACGCATTATCATTAATATTTTATTATGGTCCACCAAATTCAATAATATTGTTGTGAATTAAAACCTTAAAAAAATACCTGTTCACAAAAAAATAAATAAATAAAATAAATTCCCATGACTGAACCAATAGGAGCCAAGCCAGCCTGTCTCTGGGATTTCAATTCTAATAATTGACAAACTCAAATCCTCACCTTTACTATAAAGCAACAAACAATAATACAACTAATTAATTTCCCCAATTCATTCAGACAGATCTCACAAACACCAAATTAAATGGTTGCTGTCTTCAACAAAGAGCTCCTCAGTTGGTACCTCATCACTCTCAAACTCAATCAAACAGTCGAAGCCACTCCAAGAACCCTCGACTACCACCCACCCACCCCTCTTCGGCTCGATAAAACCGATCCCTCCGGCGACTCCGATCGCCCGCCAAACCCGATTCCGATACCCATCAAAGGCGATCGAACAAACCACACCGACTCCGACTGGGTGATCGCCATCAAAGAAAAGCTCGACCATGCCGAGCACGACGACGCCACCGGCGCATGGGCCAAACTCTCGATCTACCGCATCCCGCAATACCTCCGCGAAGGCGACGACAAGGCCTACATCCCGCAGACCGTCTCGTTGGGGCCTTACCACCACGGCAAGCGGCGATTACGCAACATGGAGCGGCACAAGTGGCGCGCGCTCCACCGCGCGCTCAAACGGTACGGCCAGCGCGTTGAGGAGTACCTCGACGCGGTCCGGGAGCTCGAGGACCGCGCCCGGGCCTGCTACGAAGGCCTGATCGCCCTGGGCAGCAACGAATTCGTCGAGATCATGGTCCTCGACTCGTGCTTCGTCCTCGAGCTCTTTCGAGGCGCTGCAGGGGGTTTCGCCCCCCTCGGATACTCCCGGAACGACCCGATTTTCGCAATGCGGGGGTCGATGCATTCGATCCAACGGGATATGATCATGTTGGAGAATCAGATTCCCCTATTTGTGCTGGACACATTGTTCGGAATCCAATCGGGATGTCTGGATCAGACAGGGACCGTCGCGCGGCTGGCGCTGAGGTTTTTCGATCCGTTGATGCCGACCGACGAACCGCTGACAAAAACCGATCGGAACAAGCTTGAATCGTCGATCGGAAACGCTCTGACATTCGATCCTTTGACGGAACAAGGAGGACTTCATTGTCTAGAAGTTTTCCGGCGCAGCCTTTTGACGGTCGGGACAGGGACGAACAAGGCGGCGCCGCCGGCGCCGCGTGTCTGGATAAAGCGGTGGTCGCACAACCACCGTGTCGCCGACAAGCGGCGGCAGCAGCTGATACACTGCGTGACGGAGCTGAAGGAGTCGGGAATCAAATTCAGGAAGAGGAAAACGGATCGATTTTGGGACATAAAGTTCGAAAACGGAATCCTCCAAATTCCTCGTCTCCTAATCCACGACGGCACGAAATCGCTGTTCCTAAACCTAATTGCGTTCGAACAGTGTCACCTAGACTGCACGAACGACATCACCTCGTACGTGATTTTCATGGACAACCTAATAAATTCTCCCGACGACGTCAGTTATCTGCACTACTGCGGAATAATCGAGAATTGGCTTGGGAGCGACGCCGAGGTGGCGGATCTGTTCAACCGACTGTGTCAGGAGGTGGTGTTCGACATCAACGACAGTTCGCTGTCGAGGTTGTCGGAACAGGTGAACAGGTATTACGAGCACAAGTGGAATGCGTGGAGGGCGAGCTTGAAGCACAGGTACTTCAACAATCCGTGGTCGATTATTTCGGTGTTCGCCGCCGTCGTGCTGCTGGCTTTGACCCTCGCGCAGACGTTTTACAGTGTGTACGGTTATTACATGCCCGGTCATTGATTCCGACATTTTTGTTCCTTCTGTTTGTTTTTTTTTTTTTTTCTTTTTTTTTTTTTTTTTTTTTGTGTTGGAGACGACGATGGTGGTGAGCGTCCGTGGGGGCGCTTGTTTTTCTTTTGAAGTGCTTGGAGTTTTGGAGTATTCGAATTATCACCCCAAAGGTTTTGGAAATTGCAATTCATGCATAATCGAGGAGATCTGGCATTGATTTGATTTGCTAAACTGAAAGTATGTATGTTTTGTGAAACGGTATAAATATATATGGTATGTTTTTTTGACAAATTTTTTCAAATTTTACTATTTATTAATGTATTTTTCGAAAAAAATATATATATTTTTTTACAAAATATCCCATCAAATATTATTTTAATATCAAATTCAAATAAAATTTTTGCAATTTCAAAGCAGAAGAAACGCACCCATAATTTTTTTTTTTTTTTATCTATCTGAAGTAAAAATAATTATATAAATAATATAAAAATAATATATATAATATGTTAATTTTTTTTATTATAAATTCAGATTTTGTTATGAAATGTTTAGATTGTATGGTTTTGTATTTTAAGTTTGGATTGAATAGTTATTTGACTGCTTTAGTTTTACAAAAAAATAATGAGAATTGTGTTGTAAAAACTTTGAAATAAAATTTTGAGTAAATACATTGATTGTGTTTAGTAATTTTCAAGATTTTTTTATTGATTGTGTTTAGTAATTTTCAAGATTTTTTTGTTGTTGGTCATTAAAATTGAAACTATTATTAAAATATTATATTTTATATTATGTAAAAATAAATAATATATTTGAAAATCGTGTAAGGGTGTGTTTGTTTGAGAGATTTGTTTGGATTTCTACTATTCATCATATTTTTTTCCCCCAAAAAATATCAAATCAAACACCTATTTTTCATTTTTTATATTATACTAAAAATCAATTTTACATTCAAAACATCACATCAACACCTATTTATCACATCATACAACTATTCAAATTCAAAATTTTTACTATTCAAATCCTAATCCAAAATCCAAATCCCTAAACAAACACACCCTAAATTGAAAGCAAACACACACCTATTGTGTATTAAAATAATTATAGACATCTACTATTTTTTCATATTTACAGGATATGTTATATAAAAACATGTTATATATATATTAAAATCAACTGTTTGTATATATATCGTGTCTCTTTTATTAGTACACAATTTTGTGTGTTCTCGTACTAAATTTTAAAATTTGACACAGTAATCTTGTGTACTTAAGAGTTTGTTTAGTATTTTTGTTTAAGGTACAAAAAATATATATAATATTAGAAAAAATAATACTTCCACCATCTAGGCCATCCGTATCTCTTTTATTATAGACACCAGAATTTAGGATGGGTATAATTAGGAAATAATTATGATATAATAAAAATAATTTTAGATTAAAATTAAGATAACTCGTTAGTCTAATTAAAATAAAAAAATTTATAAATTTTAAATGTAAAAATGAGATTAAAGTGTATAATTGAGTGAGCCATACCGAAATAAAAAGTGAATACGGTAAGTGAGATGGAGGAAGTATATAGTTTTAAATATATATTTTTTTTAAAAAAATAGAATATAAATTTTTTTTCATCGACTCACAAAGTATATATTTCTATTTTAAATTGTCTAATTACATAACAAATATTTCAAGAATATCACATTTTTTATAAATACTCATATTCTACCATCATATTATTAATTTTACTATAAAAAAAATAATAAAATTATCTTTATATTGCTTATAATTATTTATTGCAATTAAAATATTCTTATTTTTTAAAATTTTAAGTCAAAAATAAATATATATCTTCAAGTTAATCAAAGAAAGTATTATATACATTGTCAAGAAAATATTGATTGGGTAAACATATTAAGAATTGTATTGATTACAATTATATGAGTATGAAATACGTATCCGTGGCCACGTTTTAATTTATCGTAGTCACGTGACGAGAGTGCATTGCAAATAAAGTAGTCTAAATAACAACGTCATTATTTTGCCAGAACTGATCTGGACCGTTGATATGGTTGAGAGATCATCTGTGCGCCGTGGAGGCTTCCGTAGACAATAATGGCCTCGGCAATAAATGCTGCTGCGAATTCAATCGGATCGCATTTCATTTCAAGTGCAACACACAGCTCACAATTCCTCTGCAATTTCAATAAACATCACCGCGCAAATTTGGAAATTGGAATGCACAATTGCTGGCCGGGGATTGGTTGACTTGTTGATTCATTCGAAAGATCTGAATCGCCATTGGAACGAAAGAAAGAAAGATCTTCAAGCGGTTGGTTGAGGATACGAAGCGAAGCGAGGGCTTGCAGTTGTTCATTAGAGGTAGTCATTCACGTATTATTGATTAGTCCAAAGTAATTAGATCTGATTTTTGGTTGTTCTTACTATTGCTATTTCGCTTCTGGTCGTACGTATAATTGATTTCCATAGAGTTTTGTGTGCGCAGTCGCTAGTTTGAACGCAATGGCGTTGATGATTGTTTGAATCTAAGATTGATCTGAGCTCGTTTGCGTGGCCAATTATTATATTGATGGAAGTTCCGCTTGCCTTCATGAATGTTGAAGCATCTATTAAAATAGTCATTACCTGAATTTTGATAAGATTCCGTTTATGATTAAACTAAAATGTGAAAAAGAACACATTTGATTGTGGTTTGTTTGTAAAAGTTAACTGTTGTTTCTGTTGTAAAAGAAGATTGCCTACAGTAGATTTGTTATAATCGGTTTGCATGTATGTGTAATAGTATGGAATTCGAGGTTTTGAAAATAATATACAGTTATAATGGATAAAAATGTGGAAAATTTGGTTGCTATTTGATATATAATATGTAAAGTGTAAACACATGAGAAAATTGGTTCATTTCTGTCAATGAGATTGTAGAATGACGGAAATGAGGAATATAAGTTGAACGCCTGCTACAATTTATAAATACTCATCTATGTTGATCTTTAATTCAAATAATATCTGTTAAATACATGTTGGATGATGTTAGGTTCACCTTTATGTTGCTGTCTTACACGGGTGGGAATTTATACCTAACAGTTGTTTAAATTTTTGTGTATCAGGAAACCAAAATGGAGTCGGAAACTGTGAAGTCATCTCCATCTCAGCCTGATAAGGGTTCTGACGTTGGATCACCACCAACCAGTGATTTTGAGAGAGAGCATCCGGCACATGGTTCCTCATCTACACTGTCTACCACAGCCTTATCTTGGGCTAGAAGTTTAAAATTTTCACAAAAACAACAGGATTCACCATCTATAAATGATGAGAAGCTCACGTTTTCACGCCTTGCAAGTGGACTAGGACTGCAGTTTCCCAATAAAGCACCCAATGACAGCAACGACTCTGCCCCTGCACAATCAAGTGTTGTGGAATCATTGACAAAAGGAATAGTTGATACATCTTTAAATGCTGTAAAGGCTGTGCAAGTTAAGGCAAGGCACATTGTCTCACAAAATAAGCGGAGATACCAGGTACCCAAACTTTTATTCTGTGTAATGTCCAATTGATGTAGATCTCTGTTTATTTTCTAAGCTTCTGGTTGTTTCATTTTATTTGATATCTATATGTAGTCTTTTCTTTCTCTTTACATCTGTTAATTGCAGTGTCTGTCTGCAATTCCTGTGTTTTTGCTTCAATTTGATACACCTTTAGCTGTCTTTTGGCATTACAAATCTACACGCCTAAAACTTTTAATTTACGTGTTTCAATAGATAAGCAGAGATTGCTCTTGCTTAGTTATAGGCCATTGTATTGTTGATCAATATACTGATACTAGTCTTGATTAGCCTAACCATTACAAAAGACAGTGGACTGAGGACATGACAGCAAGACAAGAACTAACACTGTCTCTTCTTCCTTCTGTGCATTGATAAAAATGGTAACAGTTTAACTCAAATGTTGTACCTTTGAACCTCTGGTCCTGGATATTTTAATATGTCAACCACAACCATCACAATTTCAATCTTACCATTGGGTTTTGATTACATGAAATCATAAATTATAGCACTCAGAACTTACATAATGCTGTTGATCTCCTTCCAATTTATCAGGCCATTCATTATTTGTGTGAGCACTTAAGCAAGCAATAAGTTATTTCCATTTCAATTGATAATCATAATTTCTTAGTTCAGATATCCCTTTAACTGAAGGTGTTTCTATAATAACTCACCTGTGTTCAGGAGGGAGGATTTGATTTAGATATGACATATATCACTGAAAATATTATTGCCATGGGATTCCCTGCTGGTGACTTAAGTTCTGGACTATTTGGTTATTTTGAGGTAAGATGCTTTCACTAACTTCACATCCTCATTTTTTTTGTTCTCTCTCTCTCTCCCTCTTGAGAATCTCCTTCAAATTTAATGCAGGGATTGTATAGGAATCATATGGAGGAAGTGATCAAGTTTTTTGAGACTCATCACAAGGTAAATTTTCTTATTCTTTTTATATGTACAGCCAAAAAAACTAGTTTCTATATGACAACTCACCCTCCTTCACAACAACCTTTTGCCATTTAAACATGGGACTGGTATCAAGGTTCTCCTTTTTTCTGTTCTTCTCTGGTAAAGTCCTTTAAAATTACCCTGGGTGAGCCTATTATAGTTAACCATAGTTTCAGGTGTCGAATTTTCTGACAGAAATTAATACACCCCTTGATGCTCTCTCTCTCCGTAGCCATAAAAAGATGCATCTCCCTATGAACTTAAACTATATAGACTGGATGTTAGTTTAATGCAATACAAGAAGAGGTCGATCCATGTTTAGATCTGCATCACCCTCTTGCTAATTTGCATGTGAGCAGGTTGGTGTCAAAGTGAATGAATGTAAATTGGTGCAGTGCATCTTCCCCGGGTTAGAGTTTTAGGCAAAATGCTCCTTTTACAATTTTGACAACTGTCTTACTTTGGGAAAGGGGATTATCATTACTTCGGGACCTGATATGTTTTGGATCTCATAATTTTATGCTTTCACAGTAGAGCACATATGCTATGGACTTGATGATTCCAGATTCGTGTCAGTGTTTGCCTGAAACAGTTCTATTTGTGCAGGGAAAATACAAAGTGTACAACCTTTGTTCTGAGAGATTATATGATGCTTCACTATTTGAGGGGAAGGTATAGGTTGTTTAACAAACCTGTTCTTTTTTTTTTTATACTGAACCAGAAGTTTGTGGTTTCTTAGGTTCACTTTGGAGTTTTGACATGAAGCACTCCCTTTTTATATGTTAGTGCCATATGTGGTTTGATATTGTTCTCAAATGATGGCTTGCTAATGTTTAAGAATTTGGAACTTGATTATGTCATATATTGTGATGACAATTTAGTTTGTTGAGTGAGTAAATCTTCTACTATACCTTTTCACTTTCTTATAGCAAGTATACCCAACCCATTGATATATGAATATGATGTACCACCTTGCATTAGATCTTCCTTTTTGATGCAGTCAATAAATGACTTGTGATGATAAAATTTTATTTATTTATTCTTTTCAATGATCATGTAGTTTGGAAGGATAACAACCTTCCCCATTTGACTTTTGAGAACATTTTTTTCTGTTTGAAAAATGGTGATGAAAATTGATTGTGCTAGCATTGGCAAGAGTTTTTAGTGGATTTATTCTTCTTCCTTAAAATTGTTCTTTGTTTTGAAATTAAAACCTATTTGTAGTTTTGATTCTGGTATCTGTTTTAGCCATCTCCCAATTGGTACTACTTCCATGTGAAAATCTAAATTGATCTGCCAACCCATGACATGTTCAGGTTGCATCATTTCCATTCGATGATCACAACTGCCCTCCTATTCATCTCATAAAATTGTTTTGTCAAAGTGCTTACTCCTGGTTGAAGGAGGATATAGTAAATGTTGTAGTTGTACACTGTAAAGCTGGTAAAGCAAGGACAGGATTGATGATATGCAGTCTTCTTCTGTTCTTAAAGGTGAAAAAATGTCCCTAATAATATCATACTGCTGATTTTATTCAGTTGGCCAGATGACTTGCTCTGATTTGTTTTCCAACCATTGCTAGTTTGTTTCTACTTGCAGTTTTTCCCAACTGCTGAGGAGTGCATCGATTACTATAATCAGAAAAGATGCGTAGATGGGAAGGGTCTTATTCTTCCAAGCCAGATTGTTAGTCAAAATTTTCCAATTAAGCAATTCTATAAAAAAAAAAAGGGGGGGCTATTGCATATCCTGAGCAGTTAACTTATTTTACTTTTGTGATTTAATCAGAGATATGTGAAATATTTTGAACGAATCTTGACACAATTCAATGGCGAAACTCCCCCTGGACGTAGGTACTTCTCCAATGATTCATTTTTCCTGATACATCAAGTTGTTTACATTTAGTTACTGACCACAGCACATTGCAGGTGCATGCTAAGAGGATTTCGTCTTCATAATTGCCCATATTGGGTTAGGCCTGCCATTACAATTTCAAATCATAATGGTATAATGTTAGAATTTTCAATTTCATTTCTCCGATCTATGTCTCAGTTTTGAGCAGTATTAAATCCTACACGACTAGCTTTAAAATGCAATTCAAAATATATGCTCTCAACATGGGTGATAAGAAATTTCATATTGTTGTCCAACTTTTCTCCACCCCACATGAAATATCGTGGCCTTGTGATAGAAATTTTATTTTACAGGACTTTTGTTTTCAACAAAAAAGCATCCAAAAACCAAGAATCTCATGGTGAGTTTACTTTCTAATTAGTTGTATTTTCTGATTGATTCAGTGATTAAACTGCTGCTTATGAGAAAAAGCAAATTATTATCTCTAGCACTGACACATTTTATTGCGGAGCTATATGGAAAAATTGCATAAGTAGCTAAGAAAATGTGTTGAATGTTGAAGCCCGAAGATTTCTGGATCCGTGCCAACAAAAAGGGCATCGTAGTTTTTGCTCTACCAGGAGAACCTGGTCTGACTGAATTGATAGGGGACTTCAAAATTCATTTTCACGACGGCCACGGGGATTTTTATTGGTAACAACTTATTACTCCTTCCACTTGATAAACCCGTTTATATTTCATTGCCATTCTCATCTAAGTATCCTTTCATGATGGATGTTTGATTGTGACAATAACTTCATCACTGTGCATGGTTTGTTGATACTTTCGACATGACTTCAACACGTAAGCTAAAATATCAATGTTTGCTTGTATTCAGTTGGCTGAATACTACAATGATGGAAAATCGAGTGATTTTAGATGCTTCAGGACTTGATGGCTTCGACAATGTAAGCTTCTTATTTACAAATTGCTCACATGTCCCAATAGCGGTTAAGGTGTTGATTAAGGGTGTGTTTGTTTGAGGGATTTTGTGGAATTTTCACTATTCCTACAAAAATTTTCTTCCAAAACATCAAATCAAATATATATATTTTTTTTATATTATAATAAAAATCAATTTTATATTTAAAATATCACAATCATATAACTATTTAAGTTCAAAATTTTTACTATTCAAATTTCAATCCAAAATCCAAACAACAAACAAACACACCCCTAGGATAAATCAACACTGTGCTGATTAGCCCTCATTAGCAAATGGTAGTAGTACACATAATGCATATTGTGTGGATTATTACCATATGTTGTTGGTTCATAACATCGATATCAATTATGTCATGTCATGCAAATTATCATCATGTGCTATCAACGTTTGTTTTATACTAATATACTAATGTGCTCTAATCAATATCTTAACCGCTGTCTATACCATGAGTCTTGCAATAACATTATTTGGCGCGACAATGTAAGAATTACGCTCACAATCTCCCTTGTCGCAGAGAAAACTACCTTCACCCGGATTTCAAGTCGAAATTGTGATGATCGACTATGGTGGAACGATCCCGGCCAAGACCAAATCAGACAGCGACACTAAAGGCGCAGAAGGAAAGCCGGGAGATTCTTCTTCTAGCAGCCAAAGGAAGGCCGACTCTCAAGCAAACAAGGCCTCAAGCAAACCAGACAACGAAGATGACGTATTCTCCGACAGCGAAGGGGAAGAAACCGATCCATCAAGAAGCTCGACAAGCCACGCCATCTCTATTTCAGGACCCGCCCGACACTCAGAATCCAGCTCCAAAACCGACAGCGTCTCGACCATAACACATCAGACCGAACAGCCCGCAAATTCCCAGCAGCAGCCTATACATGGGCATGAAATGAAAATCGACGATGTTAAAAGTCCCCCGAATCTCCCGAGCTTTGATCCCACAGATATCAAGGCCATTGCAGCAGATGCCTCGGTTTTCAGTTTTGGAGACGACGAGGATTATGAAAGCGAATGACAGGAAGTTGGGATATGAGGTTCTCGGTCGACTCTGACGTTTCCGGCGCCGGAGGAATCTGTAAGTTCACTCTTGTTCATCTTTGCTTTTAGTTTCTTTCGTCCTTAACAATAAAAAGCCTAATTCTTAAATATCTGCATTACCTTTTTCTTATTATAGTTTGTCCTACTGCACAATCATGCAAATATTTCCCTTTTGTATTTTGGTAATTTCCAAATACTCTTTGTTTATTATGTTTTCAAATTCTGTCAAAAGTTATATATTGTTAAGATTGTATTTAATCTTAATTATTTTATTTAAAGTATCATATTAGAAGTTCTTTTTTAACACTGTATTTCCGTTGTTTAAAGCTATTTTGGTGATATTGAGTCTAACCATTCGTTGAATTATATGCTCGTGTTTGCTAAAAATGATCTAATTTTGCCTTGTTCAGTAATTTGTTTCTTTTTTTTTATTTAATTTTATTTAGGCAATCAATTAAAATGTTAAATCAATATGGACATAGATAATAATATTCATTCAAGTAAACTCATCTTAATGTGAGATTGTTGCTCACTACAACATAACAAAGGCCAAGAAGAATAACTAGAATTCATCACAAACAAGAAAACAAATACCTCACAAAATACATATCTAAAGACTCAGGATATTTGAGCATGATTAATTAATACCAAAACACAACATTTATAAGTAAAAAATGACTAATGAATATGTCGATAAAGAACCTGATTTCGTCGATCACCAAAAGTTTCTTTTTTTTCGCAGGCTTCTCATAAGATCAAAGCTCGCTGCGTAGCTAGCTGCACATTTCCATAAAAATGATGTTTTTCAAAACAAATCCGAGAGCTTCGATGGCTCAGAGCCCTTGTTTCCTAGTAAGTACAGCGACTATTTTATTTAAGCTCGAAATTTCCTCATCTCTTTTGTTTATTTCTGTCTGCAGTCTTTCAATCTCTTTCAAATACGCCTCGCACTGTTGGCAATCCTCGAGCTGTTTTAATATTTCATCTGTTTTCAACTTCTTCGATATGCCAAGAGTGTTTTCATCTTCAGCTGGCCTCTTCTTTGTCAGTTGGTCGGAGATCTCGTGAAAAATCTTACACACACATAAAGTGCCAGATATTCCTGAATCAAGCTCAAATTTCACAAGCTTTTGCAATCGCCCACATGAGTCCTAAAACATAATCAGATTTTCGAAGAAAGAATGAAAAAAGATGTCAAAAAAATGGATATCGCAGATGAAATTTTTGCCTAAAAAAATAAATACCTTTTCTAGAGAACCTTCAAGCTTATCGAATGCTTTAATTGCTTCTTGCTGATCTTTGAAGATTGCAAAGGCCGAATATGTATTTCTGACCTTTTTACCCATCTGTAGCAAGAGATTATCGAATGGTGAGGGACGAGCAAAAGAAATACGAAAGCGATGAAAATAGAATTACACGAACCTTGACTTCGATTGTGAATTCCCCGTGAAGAATGCTACTCAAATCTTTGCTAAGAACATTGTTGGGGATTCTGTGTACGAGCAGCTTTGCCACGTCGGATTCCCTCACCTAAAATTGCAAAGTGCAATGAAATATATACATGAGTTCCAAGTATAGGTAAGCGTAACAAATTTGTTGAATTACCTCCTCATCTATGACATCATTGATTCTTCCTTCTAACCTTGCAGTGACAAGCTTCATTGCAGTACATGCATCGTCTAGACAGTTATGAGGATTCCCCTGCTCCCGGAGTTCATAACCTAACAAAGCCTACCTTATAAGAAAGAACATAGAACATGTCACAATAGCTAGCTGGAAGCATCGAGAAGGTAATATTATGTCTATTATAGCAATTTCCATCTTCCGATATTTTTCTTGGATATAAAGCCTTTTGAAATTGGACTTAAGAAATTGATTTATTTATTCATTTTTTTGTTACCTTGTAACCGAAAAAGTGTTTTGAAAAATTAGTGAGATGAACACAGCTCACACCAAATGGACGGGTAAAAGGTTAACCTTACACAGCCAACTCAGAGATGGCTTCTTGTACATAAGTCCATTGGCATACTTGAAGACATAGGATGTATCGACCACTCTCGAGTAATCTAATTTCAGCGCTTCAGATGAGAAACAAAAATGAATAAAAATCAAATAATGCATGTGGCAGAGAATAGAGAAATAGGGATTAATAACAATTCCTGCTAGTCACGGCTTTATCAAAGACAGCCCTTAAACAGAATCATACAACTTTTCTATCCGCCAAATGAATACATGAGATTACGAAACCAAATTGCAGATGTGACAACATACCTTGAAGGTCATTACTAAGACTGTGCCCAACTAGAATGGCACCATGTGATAATATTTTCTTTAGAGATTTCTGTCACATTAATATACCAAAGAAAAATTAAATAAAAGTCAGAACAAGAATTTGTATGTATAAATAAATCACAATTAACAGAAACTATAAGCTCAAAAAAGTGTACCTGTACATCTTTCAACGTATGAGTTACTCCATCCAAATCTTTTGCAGAGATTCCAGTTATATCTGTCCGATAATCTGCAATTTCTTTTTTTGGATGTACAACTTTGTCTAGCTTAACCTAACATTGAACAAACCTTAAATTTAAATCAAACAAAACAAAATTAAGAGATCCTGGTTTGACCTCAATAAAATTCCTTCATCACTTGATACTGGCAAATTAAGAGTACAAGTGTATGACAGTGTGAGACACAGTACCTCTAAATTGCGGTCTACTGCGCAAACTTTAACCAGCGCTTCCGTGCCATCTTCACAGAGAACCATCTCACAATCAATGGCGATCATTTCATTAGACATAGGAGACTTGGACTTCTTTTTGTGTTTTATAACCATCCATTCCTATAGAAGCTCAAGAATTTAGAAGTAAAATATGGAAACAAACTGAATACATCCATATAGATAAGTATATATATATACACACCGTAACACAAAAAAGGGATAATAAATAAGCATGTCATGGTAAACCAACCTCCTCGTGAGAAGGAAAGGAATAATCGATTGGATACAGAGGATGCTCCAAAGTCAGGCGTACTAATCTCTGCATTTACAGAAACAACACACTCACTTCTACTAACATTTAGTTATACAACAAAAATCAAATAGTGAAATTCCTTTAGGCCCCATTTGGTTGGAAGGATTTGGATTAAATATTTTAACTAAGTCAATCAAATTCGCTAGTGTCATTTGGCAAGGAGACGGATTTCAAATATCTAAGTTTTTGCTAGAGATTTTAAATTCATTGCCTCTAATATTTCAAATAGTTCCTACAACCAAATGATACATTATAATTATTAAATATTTCAAATCTGAAGTAATGCAAATCTATTTATTTAAAATACCCCCTCAAATCCAAATCCATTAAACCAAACGGGGCCTTATTTCTAGACAAATCAATTGAGACCTGTTCAGCAGTTTCATCTTTAGGAGAAGTTTTCTTAAGCTGCTCCACCTCATCACGGTTTCTATGGCATTGCAATACTTTCTTGAAAAACTGAAAATACAACATATCATAGAAAGAAGATATTCATAATTTCAACAGCAAATTAGTATATACCCTTTTCCTTCTGCGGAGAGAATCGCTAAAATAAATCAGAAAATTCACCTTAAGATCATCCACTTGCTCAAAAGTTTTTAAAAAAGCAACCAAAGAATCAACAGGTCTCCTGGAAGGGTCACTCAAGCTTGCCCCAAATTTCTTGTCATAAACCTTCAAAAACTCCTTCCAGCCACCTTTACTCCCGACCATTCCTCTCTTTTGTGCCAATTTCACCATCTCAACCAAAGCCTAACAACATTAAATCAACAAATTAAAATCCAATCACAAAGGATAATTTTACACGAATTAAGGAAAGTTTGATACCTAAAACAGAACAAATTTTAAAAAGGATAGTTCTAAGCATTATTCTGAAACTATGAAGAATAAAACAAGCATCTTCACTCGTCGAAATTCTCCAAGGAAGCATAAGAACGCACGTTGGCATTAATGAAGTACACACAGTAAGCAAAAAACACAATCACGAGTTTGATTAGTTTGAAAACAAAAATCCGCGAAAACGCAAAAATCAAAGAACTTACCTCCTTCTTCGCAGAACCGATCAACTTATCCATTATTACCGGTTAGAAGAACACAAATTGATTGCGTGTGCGTCGCCACGCGGGAGGAACGAACGACAAGAGCAGATGCACCAGTCTTCCTACTGGAAAATCGAAATTAGGGTTTATGGGTCACTGTGTTAGGGAGTAGGGACTGAATGGGGAATCGTTAAATTCGGGCTAGGGTTTGTATGACCGTTGAAAATTAATGTTTTAATAAATATATTTATTTAAATAAAAAAATTTACCATCCTAAATCAAATTTATTTGAATTTGATAGTAAATTAAATAATAATATTTTATTAATTAATAAAAATATTAAAAAAAAACTATATTTTTATTTTTTAATATTATATTTATGTACAAAATAATTATATATATAATAATAATATGTTAAAATTTAAAAAAAAATATTTTAATATTAATATATAATTATTTTTTTAAAATAAAAATTAATACTTTAAAATGAAACAGAATTTAAATTAAAACGTGACAAAGTATTTATTTAATCGATAAAATATATTTTTTATTACATTATATTAAAATATAAATTTTTTCCTTATAGTAAATTTATTTATTTTAAATATATTTAATAAATATAAATTAATCTAATTAAATTTATAATATTTTACGCAAAACACACTTAAAATATTTTTATTTACATCTTTTCTCAGTGGATAAATATTTTACTATACTTTAAATTTCTTATTTTTCATAAAATTAATTTCAATTAACATAGACCATGTTAAATTTAACACGGCCTCCTTAGCTCCATATTCAAGCCGACATGATGTTAGTCTATATCAGCTATTATGGAATTAAAATAAATAAAATAATTTCAATCAAATTGATATTTGTAAATACACTAATATAAAAAGGTTACTTCCAAAATTTATAAAATACTCCTCCCTCTCAAACACCTTGCAACATTTCCTTTTCTGTTTGTTCTAAATTCACTGCAACATTTTATTTTTTGTTTGTCCCAAACTCACTGCAACATTTTTAAATTTAGAAATAATTAATAATATTTTTATACATATATTAATATACACTTCACTTTATCCCATCACATCACTCAAAAAAAAAAAAAAAAAAATCATTTCTTTCTCCAATCACATCACTTAATATCTAAATTATCTCAAATTACCATACTTAATACTCCCCACCTAAATTCTCGTGCCAAACACAAATGTTGCACGATATTTGGGACATGGAGTATTTTTTCACCCCAAATTTTAGTATTTGGGCTCTGTATTTTCCGAAAAAGATACATTTTTTTTTTCATAAAATATTCCATCAAACATTATTTTAATATCAAACTCAAACTAAAATTTTTCAAACTCAACCAAAAAAAAGAAACAAACCCTAGTAATTGTTAGTGTTTAGGAAATTTTAGAATTTTGATCGTTAAACTCTATCATGAGTACATCACACGCGACACCAATTTCTATTAATTTTTTCTCTATTACCAAATCAACCTAAAAAAATTCAACACACGTCTAAAAATAGTGGGATAATGAGAATAGATTACAATACTCCAATAAGAAAATAATAGAATGGATCAAGATTGATGAGTTGGAGGAGGATAATATAAAGACATCAAAATATTTCAAAGACTCCACTCTGTGGACCAATTCTAAGTCAATTATCAATGCCACAAAAATCATTTCTATTCAAACTTAGCTGCTGCCCTACAAGACTACCAAACAATACACATAATAATAATAATAATAATAATAATAATAATAATAATAATAATAATAATAATAATATATTGTAACAAGACAAATTGCCAACAACCAAACACAACATTAAAATAAAATAAAAATAAAATAAACACATAGAATTGTTGTAGTAAAAAGGGTTGTTCAAGTTTTGACAAGATGGTTAAATCAACAAAACATCAAAACAATGCAATAACAACAATGGGGTAGTTTAGAACAAACAATATCCCAACAATCATCAATCAAATCCATCCCCAAAAACTACCTAAAATTCGATCCGCCATTACCATTACCGTTGCCGTTGCCGCTGCTCGACAACCTCCTAAACGCGCAAGCGACGAGACTCCTCCCGGCGAAGATACTAAACCTCGACTTATTATTGGCCAGCCGCGTCCCATTGCTCGTCGAAGCAACGTCGCTCACATTCACCGTTCCGCTAACGATCGCCGGGAACTCGACGCGATCGTCGATCGCGCCGTCGCTCGTGCTCGCGTCCAACGCCTCCGGTTCGATCTCATCTGCGTCGAAATTCACCGACAGCGCCGCCCGCCTCGACCTAAGCCAATCGGCGATGTCCCCCGTCACGCCACGGCACTTCTTAACCTTAAGCTTCACCAAATTCGGACATCCAAACGCGAACCTCTCGATCCCCGAATCCGTCACCCGACAAGCCTTTATGCAAAGCTTCCGCAGCGCCGTGCATTTCGCGGCAATGCACGATATCTCAACGTCGCCGATCGTCTCGCTCCCGCAGAGCGCCAAACGTTCCAATTTCTGACAATTCGACGCCAATGCCATCAAACTTATCGAGCTCGGATTGACTCCGATTAGCACCAATTCGACGAGATTTGGCGTGTTCTTCGCAATGGCTATTATTCCCTCGTCGCCGATTCGATTCGTCCTCCATCCGTCGATGTGAACTTTCCTTAAAAGCCGACAGTTCTCGGCGATTGCAACGATGCCGTCATTAGAGCAATCCGGGGCTTTAACTAAATGTAATATCTCCAATTCAGGACATTTGGAGATCGACATTAGCCCTGAATCACTGACTTGGAGCCTCTCCAAGTGGATTTCGGACAGGCAATTCTTTCTTACCGCTATTGTTTCGAGCAATCGATCCCAATCGCCTAAACATCTCAAAATTTTCAATGTTTTTAGGTTTTTCGATCCGGCAATCAATGGCCCGAAGCACTGGCCGTTGTAGAGCTCCTTGAGCGTGATGGATTTCAGCGACGCCGCCGCCGCCGCGCCGGGGCCGATCGGCTCGGCGGCGAATCCGTCGTTGATTCCTCGGAGGCGTTTTACGGACAGCTCCTCCAACGAGGTGCAGTTGTCCAAAAGCGCGTTCATCCCCTTGGCGCCGAACATACACGATCCGCAGGAGAATTTGCGGAGAGATTTGCAGTTTGTGGCAAGGGAGAGCATCCCCTGATCGGTGATTTCGCGGCAGCCGCGGAGCTTCAGCCGCGTGAGGTTGCGACACCGCCGGGAAATTAGGGTCAAAGCGTCGTCGTTTAGGCTGACCGATTTCCGGTCGCAGCGGAGGGCGAGTTTGGTGACGGAGTCGAACCGGTTGAAGAGAACCGGGAGGTGAACCGCCACCTCGGCGGAGGCGTTGAGGGCGAGGCGCTGGCGGCTCTGCCCTTCGACGGCGAGCCATCGCCGGCTGACTAAGGAGCAGCGCTTCCGGTCGCCGGAGCTCACGGACTGGAAGATCAGCGCCAGGCATTCGTCGGGGATCTCGGATGTGTAATCCGGCGGCGGATCGGCGGGGAAAGTTTCCGATGCGGCGGAAACAGATCGGATCGGGTGAATCTCGAGGTTGGGATTGCAGAGGCGGGCGGAGCCGCCGGTGAGAGAAACGTGGGCGGGGGCGGACGCCGCCTGACCCATTTTAAGTGTGTGCACACGCGCCGCCGCGGGGCGGAGGAAACGGTGAGTGATAATGAGAAAGGGGGTAAAGTGTGGCAGGTGGGGTGGGGATGGAAATGGCGATTGCGTTGCGTATGCTTTAATACATAGAAATAGAGATAGAGATAGAGATGAGGCATATGGTAAGAATATTAAATTAGAAATTAAATAACATAATACTCCCTCGTTAGCCATATTTTTTATTTTCGTCCTCTTATTTATTTTTTATTTTCGTCTTTTTTATATATGATGTATTTTTTAAAACTTTAAATTTTAAATTAAAATTTAAATAATAAAAATTTTAAATTTAAATAATTATATAATATATTATAAATAGACATTAACATTATATTTTTAATATAAAATTAATTTTTAATATAAAATAAATAATATATTTTAAATTCAATTCTCTAAACAAATACATCCATAATTTATTATTTTATTTTTAAAAATATAATTATATATGTTAATTATATTTCAAATTTTTAAAAAAAATTAAAATTTTAATTAAATTATTTAATTATTTATATTTATATTTTTATTTATAATTATTTTTATTATATAATAACTAATTTTAATAATTACGTATGGTAAAATTTTTGTATGTAATAAGATACTCCCTCCGTCCAAACTAAAAGTATACTTTTATTTTTGGCGCAGAAATTAAGGAATAATAGTATTTTAATTATAGTATGTAAATAAAAGTAGTGAAATAATATTTTTGCCCTTACTCTTTTGATATAAAAGTAATAATATGATGTAAAATAGAGATATTTGTTAAAAAAAAAAAGTATTTAATAAAATAATTATATAATAAAAAATAAAAATATATATATTTTCTAGCCGCATAGAAGGAATATTATTTAAAAAAATATATATATATTTGACCCGTCAAAAGCGAGTGAATGGGAACTATGGGTGTAAAGGCTGCGCGTCAACTCCACGACCGCTTCTCTTCTTCATGGGAATGACTGGAATTGCAATGCCATGTCTAAATTGTCTATAGCTCTGTACGTGTACACCATTTCCCTATACCCTCTACACCTACCTGGCTACCTACTATACCCCTATCCTACGCTCCTTTAGAAGAAAAAAAAAAAATTGAAAAAATAAAATAAAATTGTTTAGTTTGTATTTTTGGTGATCCAACCATTTTTTGATCTCGATTATCATTTATGTATATATATTCAATCATACATTTTTGTTTTTGCCGGATGATTGGTTTTTCTTAAAAAAAAAATTATTTATTTTTATATTATCTAAATAGTGTTTTGTATTTTATGTTAAAAATATCAAAACACATAATAAACAGACTCGTCATATTTTAAAATAAACATTTATTTTTATGTAAAATTTAAGAAATAATAGTATTTTAATTATAGTCGTTAGTTAAAAATAATATAAAGATAATTTTGTACTTATTTTTTTAGGTAAAAGTAATAATATGATAGTAAAATATAGGTATTCGTAGAAAAATAAAAATAAGATATTTTTAAAATAATTATTTTATAATTAGATAAATCCAAAATAGAAGTGTGTATATTTTATGAGTTGAGAGAGTTAGAGTAAAATAAATTAAATACATATGGATATATGTACTTCACTCTTTATTTTATTCCAAGAAGACTGTTTGGATTTGTTTAATTTTGATTTGAAATTGGTTTTTTGTTTAAATATTAATTTGATATAATATTTTGTGAGATAAAATATTATATATTTTGTTAAATTTGTATACTACTCATTTCCCATAAAATTGGTAATATTTTTTTTTAATGTAAATTTTTTAATATAAATATTTTATTGGTTTACAGTGAAAATGATAAAAATGTTCTTGTTAGATTGTGTGATATAAAAACAATGACATTTGTATAATATATTAGAAGTTGTAAGAGTATTAATTATGTTAGGTAGTAGTATAATTACTAAATTAAAAATTGTGTCATTGTTCTGGAACAAACAAAAGATATCATTCTTATAAGACGGAGGAAGTATAACAAAAGAATAGGAGTAATTTTTATTTTAAATGCAAACTAAATGCGTCCTTAATAACATTTCACTTCATTTATATATTTTCTAGGCGATTTGCACTTTTTTTTGTTGGATATATTTTTGTAAATTATTTTTAAAGAGACAACAAAATAAAAAATGGTGTAAAAAAAAAAAATCAAATAAAAAATAACAACAAAGATTTTGTAAGTACTGTAAAATACTAATACTTCTAATAAATAAAAAATAAAAAATAATAATTATACTTTACTATTTTATATAAAAAAAAAATCTTTTCATCACACATTCTACCTTCACATTGTAATTTTAGTAATTTCCAAAATTCATATCATATCTTCTTTAGAAAAAAAATAAAATAAAAATTGACATACTTTAATTATATATATATTAAAATTTTTTATTTTAATTAAAGTAACTACGGAATATATACATGATTATTTACTAATCAAGGGTAAAATTAAAATGAAGAAAGTAATACTCCATTCGTCGCAGATACCATGTCCACATTGTCGTTTCTGTCCGTCCCACATACTGTCATTTTTTTTTTTTGGAAATAATTACACATTTTAATCTCATTTTAAATTTTTTAATTTTATTTTTTTATTTTAATTAAACTAATTAGTTATCTTAATTTTAATTTATAATTATTTATATATACAATAATTATTTTCACTGATATATTTTTAATTATCTACTAATTATACTCATCATAAAATGTATTGTATTGTATTGTGTATTGTACAGAATTTTCCTAATTTGCGGCCAGAGTCGGCCTTGAAACTTATAATATGAATCCATTAATTAATTAATTAATCAAAAATAATTTAAATTACGTAGCTGTAGCCTGTAGGCACTAGGCAGCCAGCTTTGCGTCTCGACTCGGTCTGGGTATTATTATTATCGATTAAATATTTTAAATTATTAATTTATGTATTTTTTTACTATATATATTTTTTTTGCGGTAGTTACCATAATATTGATAACATACACAACGCGTGTGTTTGTTTGAGGGTTTGGATTTTGAGTTGGAATTCGAATAGTAAAAATTTTAAATTTGAATAGTTGTATGATGTGATATAAGTAAGTGTTGATGTGATGTTTTGAATGTAAAATTGATTTTTAATATAATATAAAAAATAAAAAATATGTATTTAATTTAATGTTTTTGGGGGAAAAAAATAAGATGAACAGTGGAAATCCAAACAAATCCCTCAAACAAACACACCCAATATAAATCAATAATACGGTAAAGCATGTTATTCCTTTATAACACTGGATTATAATTATTATTTTAATAAATTATATAATCATATGATAAAGTAATATTAATAATATTTACTTTAATAGATTGTTCTATAATATTTATAGAATGCAATTTGTAAATACATATCTTATGTTCGCTTAGTATGTATTGTGCACAGGGTCGGCTCTAAGTTCGACGATAGTTCCGTCCAAAACCTAATACAAATAAATTTTGGATTTTTTTGTGCATTAATTAAGAAATTTCGGACAAAGTTAATATTAATAATATTGTTGATATTTTTGCTAATATTAGAAAAATATTTTCTTTAATTATTTATATTTTATTGTAGGTAAAGGAAAAAATATTTTTGGACCCTTTATGTTTATTTTTGCTTTGGTATCTATTTACTATTTGTGTCGTTGTATTTAATATTAAAAATATTTGAATATTTGTATAATTGTATGTACAAATGTCATTATATATTGATTCGTAATACGTTGTGATATAATAATTAATATTCAAACATCAATACGCAAAACGTAAATAAATACTTAGTTACGAGACGAAATGAATATTTTATATAGACATGGCGAAAAAAGGCTTTGTTCTTTCATCTCTTTTTTTCTTCCACATTTTTCCAAAAAAAATTAATACAATCTACATATTCATTATTTTTATATTATGTACACAATTCTCTATACCTGAGATTTTTTTTTTTCAACATTATCACAAAACAAAAATACCCAAATATAGTCTAGTAAGGGATGGCCTGGTGGTGTAGGGGTTGGACTTGTGACCTCGATTTGCCTGTCGGACTTATTTTGCAAAGTATTAGATTCGGTTGATGTTTACCCAGTAAGCATTTTTGGGTAGTGACTGCGAATTCTCATATCATAAAATAAAAAAATAAAAATAAAAATCCAAAAATACTGTTTGGACTTTACATAGCCCAACACACTAATAAATTGGCCATACCTGAGCCCACAATCGAATCATCTCTTGCCTTGCTTGATTTATTAAAATTAATGTTTAATTTTTATTATTGTTGTGTATATATATATTAACTAATAAATTTTGTAGTAAAAAATAAATAATACGTATTCTAACATATTAAACTTTTTAATGGTCACTTACATCTGACTCAAACTGTTTATATATATTTGAGATAACAATATATCATGCTCAAAATTTAAACATTTTTATCTAAAAATAACATAAGGAAGAATCTGGATAAAAATTATGATGAATTTTATTTTTATGTTGGATCTTTTATTTCTATTTTTTTTATTGTATATTAATAATTTGTATGTGGATTTTATTTATTTATTTATTTATGTATATTTTGTAGATATTTTGATATCATCCCTTTTCTATATTGATTTAATTTTGTGTGTTATATTGTGATACTTTTATATTTGACTATATTTTTAAAAAAATATTTTATTTGTAATTATTAATTCTTTCATATACTTCTATATAAGTATTTTGTAATTTTTAAACATATAATGATTTGATGAATTATTATAAATAGTTAAAATATTTATAATAAATTCTGTAACAATTTTTTTATAAATAAAAAATAATTTAACATTAAAATGCCAATGTATAGCACAGGTAATCACTATTTTTCAATATATAAAGATTATTTATTTATTTTTGCATACGCATGCCCAGTTGGATCACGTTAAAGGACCGGTGGGCTGAACCTATCAACCTACCCAATTGATATTTACAAATTTCAATACTTAAAAAATAAAATAAAATAAAAAAGTGTGTACTATTTCAATTTATTTTTTTGGAATTTAAATGTAATTTTAAATTATATTTTTATTTGATAATTATTATTTATTTACATGTTAGTCTGTAATTAAAAACTACAAATATAGCTGGATTGATTTAATTTTATTTGTTTAATTATTAGTATTTATTTATTTTCGTTTTATATTAAAATTGAAAATTATTAATTCTAAGTACTGATTTATTTATTTATTTTTTAATATTGTAACAAGACATATTGTATTTATTTTAGTCATTTATATTATGTAATTTAATTTTCAATTTTTTTAGAGTATACCATAAAATTATATGATTATTAAAAAACCATATTTGAATTCAATCATTTTCTTGGTTATAATATATTATGCTCTATATAACATTTATGAAAAATATTAAAGTAATATATAATTTAATATAGTGTTAATTATATAAATATATATATTGAAATAGTTTGTTAGATGCAATATTTTTTGTATAAATAAAACTGTGTATTATTAAAAAAAAAAATAATTGAGGAATAGTATTACAAAAATATTGAAAAAATAAAATAAAATAAAGAGAACACAATCTTAAAACTTGGATAATCAGATTGTGTATGACTATAAATAAAGGTTGCAATTTTGCAAAAGGATTATGATTTTTTAAAAAATAAAAAATAATAATAATAATAGCACCAGTTGAACCTAATAGTCTGCAAATTAGGAACCATGGTCACATATCTAACCCCTACACCAAAAGGTAATCAGTGACATTATTATTATTATTATTATTATTATTATGTAAATGAGCCTATATACATATACGTATATGTATGTATATATATGTCCAGTTTGTCTCTCTCGATCTGCATTGTAGTCTGCACTGATCTCTCACACACACAAACAGAGGTGTATACAATGTGAGAGTGATGGATAATGAGACCTATATATATATATATATACATATGTACATATTTAGCATACTTGAGCAAGACAAATAAAAATGATAAAAAAAAAAAAAATGTACATTAAATTGAAATAAAGAGAATATTTAATATGATTTTATTTTTTTTAAAAATGTGTATTTTATTTCTTCCATTCTACTTATTTTATTTAATTTAGTTTAGGCACAGAGTTTTTAGGTATTGTGTAATTAGTAAGTAATTTAAAAGTGTATTAGTAAAAATAATTATGATTTAATAAAAATAATTATATATTAAGACTAAAATGACTAAATAGTTTAATTAAAATAAAAATAATTATAAATTATAATTTTTAAAATGTGATTAAAGTGTATAATTATATTTTAAAAAATAAAATAATAAATTATGTAGGATGGACAAGAATAGAAAGAATAAACAAGTAGAACGAATAAAGTAATAAATTAAGAAATAATAATTAATATATATTTCATTGGTAAGTGAAGTATATAGAAATTTTGATGAATTTGTATTTGGTACCTTATGTATAAAATAATACTAATATGTATATAATGATATATTTGGAATTTACTTTTATTTATGAGTGTGAAATTTTTTTTTTTATTACACTATATGAAATATATTGAGTTTATTAGGATTTGTTCTTTTTTATTTTGTTTTTTATTTGTATTTGATCCCTATATAAAATAATTATTAAATATTGTAATCACATAAAAAAAAATATATAAAAACATCGGTTAAACTTTTGTTACCCGATATGAAATATATTGAGTTTATTAGGATTTGTTCTTTTCTATTTTGTTTTTATTACACGTTATGAAATATATTGGTTAAAATGGACGGATTGCGCATGACAAAATTGTACAAAATTTTTTCAGATTATGCATATTGTAAAATCGATCAATTTTAGGTCGGCATATGTTCATATTGACAGTCTTAAGATCGATTTTTCTCAAACTGTGCAACAGAATACTGCACAAATTATAAAAATGGACCAATCCAATTAGTTCAAATCAGACAAAGAAAAGCCAATTTGAAGGTTAAATATGTTTTAATACTATTTAAATATTTTGTTTGTCTATAACAAATAAATAAATATTGGATGTAATATTTTAAATAAAATATATAATATGATATTTAAAAAATATGAATAAATAATACCAAAGTAAAGTTTAATTTTCCTTTCTTCAACTCAATTATAAATGGCAATAATTCTTAATTATTTAATTTAAATTCATGCACTTTAATTTGCATTTCATGCTTTAATTTTCTTTTTCTTAATTTATTTTCCCAAAAATCAAGGCCCAAAATAAAAAGTAAATAAATAAATAAAAAAAAAGAAAGTCTCAAAAAAGGAGATTAGGTAAAAGTAGAAAATAAACCCCATTGATTGCAGAATATGATTCTGCTGCTGTCCACTTTTTCTGCGTCGCAAGTTTTCTGGCTTTTTCTTTTTCGTACCTACAGTTTATAATTGCCCAATTATTTTAATTTAAATTAAATTGCATGTTACCCAATTAATAGTATATTTAATAATTCGAATAATTAATTGTTACGTGCTTCCATTAGCTATAGTCTCGAAATAAATAAAAATAAAAATAAAAATAAAAATCATAACATCATTATTATTAATTGAAATTATTGCAATTTATTCAAATTGGTGGATTCATGCAATAGCCATTATTATTATTATTATTATTATTATTATTAAATAAATAAAATTGAAGAGTGGTCATGCTTATCATGTGCCCAGAATTCAGCCTTATGAGTTGTCACCTTTTAAAGCTACGCTGCAATCGAGACCGTGCGTATAAACAAATCTCCACCGTCCAACACACGCATCCTCTGCCTCAATGTGGATATTGTTTTATTTTGATTTCTATGCATTTTTTTTTAATTTAAATTAATATTATTATTTGAAAGCGTGCAAGTGCTGAATCGCTACGGCATTGACTAGTCGTAGCCCGTTGTCCGAAAACGCGACTCCTTAAAAACGCGACTTTTGTTTATTAATTTTACGCGAACTGTAGAGCACTGGAGGAATTGTACTGTAGACGAGGAAATAGCTCAAAACATTCGAATCCAATATTTTCATAGGCGCCAAATAAAAATAAAATAAAATAGTAAAAATAAATAAATAAATAAAGACAGGCGTGCAAAGTCTCCCCACATAAAAGCCCTCTCAGAGGTAACCCTTACTTCCCTACCCTTCCATTGTCGCTTCAAGAGTTTTCTTCAATCTCTCGTCAGGGAGAAATCAAATCGGAAGGAAGAGGCGAATTTGGCGTAAGGAGATATGGTTTTGGCGGAAGGATTCGGTGTTTGGAGGTTTTGGTTTTTGTTTGGAAGATAATGAGCAGATTCCTTTGTGTGTTGTTCTTCTTCGGAGAAGAAGATGGTTTCGCACATCCAAAACCATGAATCCTTCCTCCATAACTCGATTTTCGATGCTCTTTACTGCGACGAGGAGCATTTCGATGAAAATGTGGGTTGCGGTTCGGGATTGAAGGAGTCGGAGACTGAGACTGAGGTTATTCGCGAGATTCGCGATGAAAAGCTAGGGCAGGATCTTCTGTGGGAGGACGAAGAGGTTGTAGCGCTCCTGGATAAGGAGAAGCAGCAATCTGGTTCGATTTACGAAGAGATTGACTCCGATGCGGATTTGAAAGCGGTTAGGAGTGCGGCGATTTGGTGGATGATGAAGGTGATTGGTTACTACGGATTCAACGCTACGACTGCTGTTTTGGCTGCGAACTATTTCGATAGATTTGTTTCTAGCGCTTGTTATCGGAAGGATAAGCCATGGATGGGTCAATTGGCTGCCGTCGCCTGCCTTTCGATTGCTGCCAAAGTGGAGGAGACGAATGTGCCTCTCCTGCTGGACTTACAGGTAATGTTCTTCGAATCCTCTTCGTTGATTTCGTGCTGTTATGGAACTGCAGATAAATTGTTAGATACATTTGCTTATGTGGTTATGCAATTGGATTGTGACCTTAGGTGGAAGAATCAAAGTATTTCTTCGAATCAAAAACAATTCTAAGAATGGAGCTTTTGATCCTTTCAACTCTCAAGTGGAAAATGAATCCAGCCACACCTATCTCCTTCATCGACCATATCGCCCGGAGGTTCCAGTCCATGAGCAACCTGCCATTGGAGTTTTTAAGAAGATGTGAGAGCATAGCAGTTTCCATCATCGCAGGTATATACATTCATAGATCAGTTCATTAAATGCAGCATTTTGTTGATCTCAATTTATTTGAAACCAATCCAATATCGAAAATCTTAAACAGATTATCGCCTCTGTCGGTATCTTCCTTCTGTCATTGCTGCTGCGATAATAATTTATGTTGTTAAAGAGAGTTGCGATGCATCAGAGTATCAAAATCAGCTGACAACTGTCCTCAAAGCTAGCGTGGTTAGCTCATTAATTGCTCATTTAATTGCCCGTAATCTAATTCTCTGCCGCTAGCAAAGACTAACGCTTTTTCGATCATGATTGCAACAGGAAAACATCGACGAATGTGGAAGCCTCATCGCAGAGGCAATGGGAGGTGGCCTTACTTGCAAGCCTTGCCCTAAGCGCAAACACGAGTGCGCGCCGCCGAGCAGTCCGAGCGGCGTAATCGACACTTATTTCAGCTCCGACAGCTCCGTCGATTCATGGGCTGCTGGGTCGCAATTCTCCGATCCTTTATTCAAAAGAAGCCGAACTCAGGATCAGCAGCACCCCGTATTCGTCGATTATCCTCGCTGAGGTTCCGTTATTTGATATTTAGCTATGAATCCTACCGTATTTTCAAATCCGCGACATTTCTCCCGAATCGCATTCATTCAGTCTGTCCATCCGACCAATATCGTTGCAATCGATGGATTGAAATCGGGTACGGTTGGTGAGATCGGTGAGAAAGGTACTTTGAAAGTTTTTTCTCTGTGATCTATCTTTAAGGTCGATTCCCGGAGTTTGGATTCAAGACATCGTTTTTATTGTTATGCACATTCTATTGCATTTCTAGCATATTACAGCGCCTAAATTAGATTGCCACCGAGGTCGATGAAAGAACAGGGGCGTATTTGTTCGTCGACGAAATCTGGACAGGTTGGTGGTGAAACTATTTACTCCTTAACTTCGTTGGATCCTTACATATATGTATAACTTGTCTCGATGTGGGATATATAAATCAAATTGGTATTTCGAAATTTTCTTTCTTTCTTGCTTGCTTGTTTGTTTGTATGTATATGTGAACTTTTGATAAATGTTGTTTTGTGATGATTCTAACATCAAAGTCAAGGTGGGATTTGGACATGATCTTTAGGGTAGATTTTGGGACATCTTATAGAGGTTTTGGGTCAAAATCAAATCAGGTTTCGTGCCAATTTTGGTCTTGTTGATGTGAAGAGACTGTAATAATACTTTCAAGAAATATAGGTAAAATTTTACGTTTTAAGGTATAGAAAAAGTAGGAAAATGGATATTTTTTTACGAAAATAAATTTAGGTTTAGAGAGTGATGGAGACGGAGTAGTAACTCTGTTGGTACTGCCTTGATTTTTCTGGAATATATGGTGATCTTTTAGTCGTTTTATTGAGTATTTATAAATTGATTATGGAGAAACAAAAGAGGAAATACTAGAATTAAAAAATTGCTTAAATTAAAAATAATATAGTGGTAAATATTTTGGGATTAAGAATATTACTACTTACGTCGACTAACGGTATTTATATTTACTTTTGGTGCGAATACTAAAAATTATCAGAATTTTTGTATGTAATGATTTTTTTAGTGTGTTTTAATTTAATGTAGTGTAGTGATATTAAAATAAATTAGTATAAATTTGATAGTAATTAAATTTATTAATATGAAAAGTATAAATTTTGCATTTGGATAAAGGAAAATATATATATATATATATATATAAACTCATTGAGGAAAAGAAATAAGTATAACATTTGTGGATTTTGGAAATTTAAGGGTGTATTTGGTTAAGGGTTGGATTATTGAATTGGAAGTGATTAGAAGTAATTTATTTAATCAATATGTAATTTATTATATAATATATATATAGTATTAAAAATTGAAAATATGTATTAAGTTATTTTAATAAAATATAAAATTGGGAACATAGGCCAATGCTGTCCGAAAACCAACCAAACATAGCCTTACAATTTTTCATTTTTTTCAAAATATTTGCTATGGTGTTGGGTAAGCATCACAAGAAATAAATAGTTGACCGTAATATTTTAAAAATATTATTATAGATAAATAATTATAAAAACAATTTTTTTTAGTGCATATAAACAAAGCATAAAATTATAAGTATAGCTTTTGCACCAAAATTTCTAAATTTTTATCATTTGTATTTTACAATTTTTATAAAATATTTATATATATATATATTTTTTTAATAAAATATCCTAATAAACATATTTTAATATCAAATTCAAACTAATTTTTTTAAAATCAAATCAAAAGAAAGACTTATTTCTGCCTCAAGCCTAAAACTTAAATTTGTAATGTCCCGGAATTGGGACATTTATATATGTGTGAGACAATATAAATGCATGTTTAATATAATATTTTAACTAATAGATAAATTTTTTAATAGGTGTAATATTTTTAAAACATAAAAAAAAAAAAAAAAAAAAAAGGTTGATAGGGCAAAGTGCAAAAGAAGTAATAAATGAATAATGTATTGGGGCCATAGAGCAGAGATTTTGGTGAGAAAATTGGTACAATCATTTGTTAGAGGCACCAACTCCAAAACTCATTGGGACCTCCAAATTTTATGTGACCACATTAATTCTTGCAATAACCTTTTTTTTTTTTTTTGTTTTAGATATTTTAGAATATAGGGAAAAAAGATAAAAAATTGAACTATTTTTTTCGTTTTATGAGTGTTTACTATAAAATAAAAATTTTGATAAAAAAAACAAATATGAATATTATCAGGGAAAATATTAAAAATATATTTTAAATTTTTTTGGAATAATTCATTAAAAAGTTCTTTTTTTAATAAAATATCACGTGAAATATTATTATTTTTATATAAAAAAATCATATCAAAAGCCAAATATTTATTGTTTTTGAAATTTTCTAAAAATCTGGATTTTTTATTTGTTTAAATTCAGCCACATTTGCGTTTTTTTCTATCTAATTTTTGTTTTTTGTTTTTTTGTTTTACCAAGCTATTTTCGTAATTTTCAATAAATGTATTATTTGTCTCACCAAATATTATTTAAATAAAAATACATATAAACAACTCAAATTCAACTTTTATTTAATTGTGGTTTGAAATTGATTTAAAATGAAGTACAATATTAAATTTGAGTTTTTATTTAAGTATTATTTTTATGTAATATTTTATGAAAAATAATATTTTCTTATTGAAAACAGTTGAATAATATTGATTTTAATTTGAAAGTTTCGGTACCTTTAAAATAAATCTATTTGGTTGCAAGTTCAATTACAAGGTGAGTTCCCAACGATTTTTTACAAAATTTTTCAAGGTATTATTTACTTCTAATATTTATTTTTATAATTTTCGAAATAAATAAATAAATTTATATGGAGTTCAATTTAATATTTTTTATAAATTAATATTATTTATTTATTTATTTTTATTATATAAAATTTAAAAGTTTATTTGATTATAGTTTGAAATTAATTTAAAATAAATATTGATATAAATTTTTGTAAAAACTAATATGTTATATAAATAAATAATATTCTCTTCGTTTCCTATCAATGTACTCATTTAGGTTTTTGTAATAAATTAAAAATAAATTCGTCAATGAAAGAGTAAAATTTTTTGATATTTTCGCCGTCTTTATGTATAAAATAATGTATATGTTATGATATATTTGTAATTTAAATAAAAAAAAAATTTCAATATTAAACTTTGTATAAAACATATGAAAATACTAAAAAAGTTTTTGAACTGCAGTTGCAGTGAAGAAAATATATTTTTTGAACTGCAGTTGCAGTGAAGAAAATATATTTTTATTGACAAAAGTAAAAACAAATACATCCTTATTTTTTATAAAATGACATTTATATTAAAATATTTTTATTAAAAGTACGGCTTCATTTAGATAAATGTTTTTAAAGTTTTGAAAATAATAATTTTTTTTATATTTTATAAGATAAAATAAAGACTATTAAACTTACATTTTTTATTTTTTATTTTTTTAAATTTTTTTTCTAATAAATAGTTTCAAAATTTAAAAAAAGATGCATATAAATAGAACCTGAACCTATGTACTACTGTATTTGTTCATTATTGTAACAAGTTCTATTTATTTTATTTTATTTTATTTTTTAATGATGAAAAATATAAATGTGAACAATAAGGGATACTCCCTCGGATCCAATACAATAATTTTGTTTATTATTTTTGTCCGTTTCAAAACAATAGTCTCGTTTCTATAAATAACAACATCACCGTAAAACTATCTGTACTTTTTCATTATTATTACACAATTGCCACTACTTTTTACACTAATATACTCACAATGACAAAAAATTCATTTATTCTTATTTTTTACCAATTACCAATACAATATCAATATTTTTTAAATTACGTTTCCAACACAATAAGACTATGCTTTTAAAACAGAGGGATTATTGTTTTATTTTATATGTAAACAAGAATGGTACAGCTATAACTATAACTGGAATCCATCAATATTCATTTATTTATTTATTAATTAGTATTCTCTCCGTCCCACATAATTTGTTCCTATTTTCTATTTTTATCCGTCTCACATAACTTGTCATTTTTATTTTTGGAAATATAATTATGCACTTTAATCGCATTTTAAATTTTATAATTTTTTAAATTTTAATTAAACTATTTACTTATTTTAATTTTAATCTATAATTATTTTTATTAATATACTTCTTAATTACTTACTAATTATATTATACCTAAATTCACGTGTCTACGTTAATACACTCATATTACATGGGACAGAGGGAGTAATTAATATTGCTGGTTTTCAAAGCACAACAAATTCTATGAACTAACATAATAATGACTTAACTGGTCTTTCAATATTTGTGACAAAAAATTTCAGAGTTTGTTTGTTTATTTATCTGTAGTTGGTTGGAGTTAGATGATGTTTTATTGGTATATAGTAAAATTATGATTAAATAAAAAATAATATTTCAATAAAGATTTTTTATTAAGATATTATTTGATAAAATAAAAAAATACTCCTTATGTCATAAAAATTAATATGATGCCGATTTTTTCGTACCGATAATCCTAATTTGTCAAAATATATTTATACATTTCACATATTACTTTCTCCGTTCCGATATAAATAATAGTATTTTTTTTTGTCTGTTTCGTAACAAATGACCATTTTTATTTTTAATATTTTTTTTTATTTTAAATATACTTAATAAATTTAAATTTAATTAAATTCCTAAACTAGAACTCACTCAAAACTTCGCACTACAAGAAAATATTAGTTTCATAATAAAAAATTTTCGTTTATAAATCTATTTTTTTATTACTAATGACATTAAAGACCGAATTATAGATAAAATCATGTTAGCTGCGTGAACTTTAGGTTGAATTCCCTTATAAATATATACTATTTTTTTACTAATTCATTATTTATATCTCTTCTCAATAAATAAATATTGTTATATAAGATAAATTTTATTATTTACGAAATGATAATCCGTATTATATACACTATATTTTATTGAGATATAATTAAAAATATTTAAACATATATTCTAAATTTTGTTTTAATCACATGTATTAATTCATATTTTTTAAACTACCAATAACACTATTTGTATAAAAAATAATAAAATAATACAGTATCATAATTTATTAATTTTATGTTACCTAAACAATCGTGCCCGAAACAAACAAATAATATGTTTCGGAGTATTATTTTTTTATTAAACAAATATATACTTTTAATTAAAACAAAGAAAATAATTATTTTTTAAAAACTTTCAAATTGTTTCTAATATAAATAATCTTATGGTGCCGTTTAATTTTAAAAATAATAATAAGAATAAAAATGAGAGAGAGCAAATTAAGGGTGTGTTTGTTTGGAGGATTGGATTTCCAATCCACTATTCATCCAATTTTTTTCCAAAAAGAAAATCAAATCAAACACCTATTTTTCATTTTTTATATTATACTATCACCTATTTATATCACATCATACAACTATTTAAATTCAAAATTTTTACTATTTAAATCCCAACTCAAAATCCAAACTACCGAACAAACACACATAAATAGAACAAAAATTGATGTACATATGATAGCAATAATCCAAAGTAATTAACTCACTCTCCAACTAAGAAACCTTTTTCTCTCAATCTTTTGATGACTTTAGACCCTTCTTTAACTTTAAATCTCCACTTTTTAGTTAACCCTGCCAAGCAACAACAAATAAATATAAATAAAAATTATTCATTTAAACTTTAATCAACTTTTTAAAATTATTTTATTTATTTATTTATACATATAGTTTTTGGAAGGGTACCTTTGTTGAAATATTACTTGAAAGCCAATCTAACCCTTCGTACAGCCCCTGTCCTGAAGTTGCACATGTACCCTGTATATACCTACAAACATACATACACATATAATATAATAATTTAAATTTAAATAGTATTTAATAAAATATTTTGAAGTTTAAATTTAAAAAATAAGTATTTGATGTCATAATTTTTTAAAAAAATCGATGATTAGTACCATATCAAATTAGTCTTTAGAAAAATCAGACGGAATCGTCTATTCCGAACGAAATCCTGTCCTACTATCCTATACACGTGCGTATGGATAAAATAACCCTTTATACATACACATGTATATATATACACACTATGTATGTATGTGAGGATAGGGGATAGAGTGTTTTTGGGACAGGTGATCTCATGGGTAGATAAACAGACCTTTAATATTAATGTATTAATTCACGAAATTACTACAACAAGCACATATACGTGTATTAGTACGCATTCGATCGTTACCAACGACGATGGCGCAAAGAATGGAGGCCGAGTATATCGGTGATCTCCGGAACTTTCATCGCATTCGGAAGATCCATTTTGTTTGCAAACACGAGCAGCGTCGCATCGCGCAGCTCAGCCTGTCGTAAGAATAGTTTTGAACTTTCATTTATAGTTCAATCATATCATATCATATTATATCATATCGACAGAATCATTTACGTGTCAAACCTCGCTCAGCATTCTATGGAGCTCGTCCCGGGCTTCTGTAACCCTTTCCCTATCGTTGCTATCGACCACGAAGATTATCCCTTGCGTGTTCTGAAAGTAGTGTCGCCACAACGGCCGGATCTGCAGATCAACCGCCGGAACTTCCTCGCGCTTTTAGTACAAACAACCTTAAAAAAAAAAAAGATCGGTTATGGAACAAGCGCAAGAAACCTCGCTCTATTACCTTGTCTTGGCCTCCCACGTCCCACACCGTGAAGCTGACGTTCTTGTACTCGACTGTCTCGACGTTGAAGCCTGACGATCATCCGCGATTAGAGTCGAGAAAACAGAAAAGTCGATAATCGAGGGTTATATATATATACCGATGGTCGGAATGGTTGTTATTACATCCCCGAGCTTGAGTTTGTAAAGTATGGTGGTTTTTCCGGCAGCGTCGAGTCCCACCATTAGTATCCTCATCTCGCGCCGGGCGAAGAGAACTTTCACGAAACGGGAGAGCGCCGAGCCCATCGCTGCAACACGAGTCGACTTTTCTTGGCATCGAGGTTGCAGATCGGAGTAGTTAAGAATGTCTCGATTAAAGCTCGTATATTGTTGTCGAAGAATCAGATTCTTGATAGTAAAGGCGAAATATGCTTAAGTTGGAATAAAGTGTCGATCGATCGATTGATCTAGTTTATTCTGATTCTCCCGGTCGAGTTCCTACTCGATCTAACGGCTATAGATTGATCTTTTTTACGTGTCCATCAAATCTACGCTTATTTTTAACTGTATGTAATTGAACCTTTTGAAATATCCTCATGTCGAGCCATACAAGCATAATTTTTCAATAAGACTCCGATAAATTCATCGTAGGGCATTCGATGATCATTCACAAAAAGCTCAGGCAACGACAACTACAGATTTAGATTATCGCAAATTAGTTAACAAGTCTATTTCTCAGAAATGACATTCTTGGCGGATTCGAGGGTGGATGTGACGGAGGCAGCCGCACTTACCAAGATGCCGCCGCTCGTTTTAGGGGCAGCTGCCGGTGTCGGTGCTGGCTGAATCTTCTTCTCCGGCCCTGCCGCTGTACAATCTCCAGTCGTCTCCATTTTCTTGTCGCCACCAGCAGCAGCGGCGTTATTGCTTACCTGAAAATTAGATGACTGCATTTTTATGAACCTTCAATTGATCAACAACAATGGAGGAAGATAAATCGTATTCGTACGTACGTACCGTGTTTGCCGATGCACTCATGTCGTGTGTCTTCTTCCACGATACGACGTCACAAATTTATACAAATTCTAAGGTTTTGGACCCTAAGATTTTGGCAGAAGACTTGCTCTTTCAATGGGAGCCTTTGGTTTATTATAGGATATAACAATTAATTTAAACTCTAGTTTTCTAAAAATTAAAGAGCAAGATGGATTAATATTAAAAACACGATCTTTAATCGACAATCATCTGATAATTGCTACCGTTTTCGGGCCCGAAGGAACCTGGCGGGGCTGAATTGGGCGAGATCAACGATACCGGCGTGGCCATCAAGGACAAGCTCCGACACGGCTGCGCCGGTGGCGGGGCCATTCAAAATCCCCCAGCAGCTGTGGCCGGTGGCCACATAGCATCCATTAAGTCCCGGGACTACTCCGATGACCGGTATGCTGTCGTCTGTGCAGGGCAGGAAGCAAGCTTGCTTGGCCTTCAATGTCGCCTCACCCTCGGCCAAATGGCTCGACACATTCTTCGCCACGGTCTTGAGCACCTGAATTGACTCCGGCGCCGGCACCACCTGCGCCGGGTCGTCGGGGACGTCGGCTTCCGCCGACATCCCGCATATATACACCTCCCCTGCAAATTCAGTACATTGAGATGAACAAAACAGTAAATAAAAATGATCAATTCAGCATATTGAACTTAGCAAAACAGCAGATTGATATTAAACCGTGCTGAAGAAAAAAGATTCGGAAATGGAGGAACCTGTGGGACGGGGATAAACTTCGGGGTCTAATGGAGGCCGGCCCGGCGCAGGATAGTAGCTAAGGAACAAAGCATGGGGTGTAATCATGGCGTCGGGTTTGGGATCGAGAACGATGCTGTGAGCCTTTATGCCATAAACCCTAAATATGGAGCTCAGAAGGGGAAACTTCCCTGTCCATGGACCTAGGGCCAAAACGACGGCGTCTGCCTCAATTACTCCGCCGTCCTCCAGAACAACCGCCTTGGCCTCCCCATCCACCGCCTCCACCCTCTCCAATTTCCCGATCACAACCTTCAATCTGTAATCCTCCACTGCCTTCGCCAGAAGCGTCTGCGTGAACAATTGGGGGTGCACTTGCGCCGTTGTGGCTGTGGTTCCGATTTCCCTAGGGTTTTTCGCCGCCCCGTCGACCCAGGATGGGACGGTGGAGCCCGATTTGCGGTTCGATTGAGCTGAAGAAGAAGACGATGGAGACGACGCCGTTTCGGTTATCGAAAGGCTGAGAGTGTTGACAGTACGATAGCCGTACGATTCGGCGCCGTTGAGCTCCCTGGCCAGTGTGCGGTGGAGATTGAAGCTGGCGCGCGCGAGGGAGGAGACCGGTCCGTCGTCGCACCAGTCGAGGGCGAGGAAGCCGCCGGCCTTGCCGGAAGCGCCGCAGGCGATGGAAGATTTCTCGACGAGAGTGACGGCGGCGCCTCTCTTCGAGAGGAAGTAGGCGGTGCACACACCAATTATTCCTCCGCCGCACACCACCACTCTCTTGGAGGTTGTTCCAGCATCCATCGTCGCAGGCGGCGGCGCTGATGATGAACTGCAACAGCGAATCGAGGAGATTTCAATCGGGCCAAATTTGTTCCGCCGGAACCGTCGGGGCAGAGTGAAATTCGGAAACGACGTCGTAACCAGCACCGCCATCTACAAAAACGGATTCCCTATCTCGTGAGCTGACACGTGTCCGATTTGGGCATCCACTTGATAATATTTAGCTTTCTGTTTTTATTTTAAAATCTTTACTTACTATTTATAGAAACAAATAATTGTCTTCCATAAAAAATAGTCCGGCAATAATTTATATGAAGATAAATTCGTAATCCTAATATCATTAGCTCAAATTTTCGATGTCACACATAGTTTGTTTATTGTGATTGTAATTTGCTTAGTCTTGAAAACTATTCTTATTACTACGTTATATAAAAATATATATATTTCCAACTAAGGTTTGCTCGGAATTTCCACATCATATTAAAGAAAAAAAAAATCCCGCTAAATAATAAATCACCTAGCATATACACCCGAATTCGATCATAAAATAAAAATAATTTGAGTACATATTGGTGTGTTTGTTTGAAGGATTTTGGTGAATTTCAACTATTCATCCAATTTTTTCCCCCCAAAAATATCAAATCAAACACCTATTTTTCATTTTTTATATTATACTAAAAATCAATTTTACATTCAAAACATCACATCAAACCCTATTTATATCACATCATACAACTATTCAAATTCAAAATTTTTACTATTCAAATCCCAACTCAAAATCCAAACCCCCAAACAAACACACCCATAATGTATGTACTGTCTATCCATATTGAATGTGTTGTCATAAGGGCTGAATGTTTCATTGCAACGGCATCTTGGTAAAGCAACAATTTCCAATCAATTCAGCTCTGCATTTTTCTCAATAAATCATCTAATTTCATATCCACAGCTTGGATTCAATGAAATTCCAAGAACAAATCTCATAAGCTATAGTTTCATATATTCAAAGTTGAATATAAAAGGCAAGGGCCAAGGCGGGTAAACATTACATCAAAGGTGTGCAGCTTGGATGGTGCCGGGGCGATGGTCGCCGTGTTCCCCAGCGGGTATAATCAGGGACCGTAATTTTTCAATGTGTTGCAGAAGATCGTGCCTCCACGACCACGCCGGAGCATTCAGGGCGCGGACGGAATTCAGGCAGACGAGCAACGTCCCGCCTTCGTGAAGAAGCACCTGCAACATCAATGTATAACGATCAAACGCTAAACCGAATATAATGGGAGATGAATATCGACTTACGGTTAGCCAAAGGGGTAGGAACCCCAACACGGAAGTGAGCGAGGCCATTGCGATGCTGGACAATGCAAGCACAACGTTTTGCTTAACCTGAAATAAAAATGCATCAGTGTCGAAGAGGTTGGCGCAAAATTGGAGTTAAGAGAGCTACCAAGGAAGTAGTTTGCCGAGCTTTAGCTACGCAGAAGGGAACCCCGGAAATGTTGTCTTGCAGTAGCAGCACATCAGCAACGGCTATCGCGGTTGCACTGGCGCGCTCTGCCAGGACAATGCCGACAGTGGCGGCGGCCAAGGCTGGAGCGTCGTTAATGCCATCGCCTACCATTATAAGGCCGCCTCCTGCAGAAAAGCAAACCGTATATGCTCGAGGATGCAACCACAGGACAATTTAGTGTGGAGATTGTGTGGAGTAGTAGTACCCGAGTTTCGCGAAATGCTTGTAACATGATAGAGTTTGTCCTCTGGCTTGAGGCTGCAGTGGACTTCTTTGATGCCCACGGCGTTTGCTACTCTCCACGCGCTCGATTCATGGTCTCCAGTTAACATCATGACACGAAGATTTCCTTCTTCTTGCAATGACTTGACAACTTCCAGAGAACCGGCTCGAGGCTTATCTTCAAAATGGAAGAGCGTCACCTGTAATTAAGAGTAAGAAAAAGAATTAAGAGATGATTGCTATGCTATCAACTTTGTTGGATTGGGTTCACTGTTAAGAGTGAGGAAAAGAATTAAAAGTCCAGTTTTCGGTAATTCATTCACCTTTTTATTATTGACCGAAAGAGCAGCGCGAACAAAGTCTCTTCCATGAGAAGAAGTGCTGACGGCATCTTGGACTTTCTTCGATTCGTCATTTGATGCAAAAAGAGAGGTGATGTACTCGACAGAACCGATTGAAGCCTTTAATGGTTTACCGCCTCCAAATCCTGGCTATAGCAAACAAGAACAAGGGACTTAAATCCATGAATTGTTGTGATTCACAAGTGACATAAAAAAAATTCCTTTATAGTTCATTCGTGCAAAATGTACAACAGAATAGAGATGCCATGTTTAAAGATTATCAATGGACGGAGTCACGGAGGCAAGTTCCGATAACATTTAAGATGAATAAGGGTGAAACTCAAAGGCACTGCTTTTCAATATTTATGACAATCTAGACATACTAATGGTTTTTTCCCACAAAGTAAACACACCCTTAGTTCATGTTATGCAAAGTGATTTCATAAATTCACACCATATTAAATACTACTTGATAAAACTCTAGAAATTTATAAAAATTCAGTACCTCAATGCTAGATATTGTGGCCAAAAGTCCTCTACCAGGGAGGTTCTCAAAACTTTCAACCAGAACTGGAGGGAGATCTTTTCCAACGCTATGGTCTACAACAGCTCTGAGCCAAGAAAATATGATTTTGCATCAAAACCATGAAATGTCTGAACTAAATCAAAATCAATGACACAGTTCACTAAATATTAGTTGGCAAGATGTAGTTTTCGTAGAAAATTAAAAGGATAGTCTGGTCAAGGAACCATTACGTGCTTTATTTAAAAACTAATACGAGCTTAAGTAGGTTTCTACACTGCAGTATGATACCATTCTACAGTGAGGAATATCAAAGTTGGGGAGTTATGCTAAGGGAAGCATATAAGCTACAGATAAGCAACCTGCCAATAGGGTGGGTGGTTCCCTTTTCCATAGCAGCAGCAACAGCAAGTGCTTCTTTTTCGCAGGTGGGTACACAACAAGAAGCAATTTGTTTCTCATTGCTATCATGACCATGTATTGGTTCAATTGCTTTACAAATGAATTCCCCAGTTGTCAATGTGCCTGTTTTATCAAATGCAATGTGATGGCAAGAAGCTAGAGCATCTAGGACATGTCCTCCTTTAAGCAAAATTCCCTGTATGAAAAAGAAATGTTGCGACAATCAAGAAGCAAACAAGTAGGAGCACAAAGTTTCAAGGAAAACTCATCTGCTTTAATTAAGAATTTGGAAAAAAATTATTCTTGAAATTCAGGATTTTGTATCTGATTTTATACATATGCACTCGTTGATATTATAGGCAGAAATCATTTCTATAGGCATGTATGGGTGCCAGCAGTCAGATATCAACTGGCTTGAAACCAATCACATACATATATGACAATTGAGTTAATATAAGCTATGTAACACAGCTCAATTCTATTAAACACTTGTAATTTACAAATACCTTTCTTGCACAAGCACTAATTGCTGTTGCATACGCCAATGGTGCCACCGCCAGTGCACATGGGGATGCAGCTACCATCAGCCCTAATGCCCGGTAAATTGATCCTCTGCAAACTAGAGAATAAAAGAAAATTACTGATGCCCACAAATCCATTATATATCAACATCAATAGCCACCAGAAAATGCAAATTGTTTCACATATACATCTAGACAAGTTAGCATAAAATCCAGAGAAACAGCATAAACTTTTTCGAGAAGGGACTCCTCAACTTCAAGTCTGTTGATAACGACGCATGGTTCTTTGTCATCTTTTTCTACTGTCTACTAATCAGATTTTGTCTCTCCCAAAATTTATCAAGCTGTAGTATTTTTGTAGACACAAGTTCCAGATGAAATGGCATACACAACATTAGGATGACGATCAAGAAAATAATAAGATGCTCAGAAAAACGCCCCATGCCATACCTGGTGTACTGAAAAATGGCCACTTAAAGAGCACTGGCCCCAACAATGCAATGGATGCAGATAAAATAATAACTGCTTTGCTGTACTGTTCACCAAACTTATCCAGCCATCTTTGAAGCTTTGGTTTACTCTGTTGAGCTTCTTCAGTCAGTTGGACGATTCTGCTTAGCATCGACTCATTCCACGCCTTTTTGGCCTAAATTGATCCTTGGAACTTAGGAAAGAATGATTGAGAGCTTAACAAAACATATGTAAAATAATGCAAAAAAGATGGAATGTTGTTAGTAGGGCATAATTTTCATTTTATTATTTCTACAATAATCATGTAATCTGAAATGAAGTCCAATTAATCTGCATTATATCCAGAAACCACCAATACATCATCTCATAAATTACTCCAAAAGTCATGAAATTATTCAATATCTCTTGAATACTTTTATAACAATAACCCTCCCTTTGCATCATTTGGTGGCTGCTCTACCACTAGATTGAAGAAATTCATCCAAACTTATCAAATTTCGTTCTGCAGCAGTATTGTGTAAGAAAGCTTAGTTAACTGCTATTTTCGGGGTCAAAATGCATATTTCAAAAGGAGAAGATTCACTTGAAAGTCAATATTCATTATATATATATATATACACATAGACAATCTGTGTAGATCTGATGTTGAATGGGGGCAGGAAACACTGCTGAAACAAATACTCATTGTCACATCTAATCAATCATATTACTCAAGGGTAGTAGTTAAATAACTTAAAAAACTCAAATATAACAGCAATAGAAAACAAAGCTATTACACTCAAATAACTGAAACCCAAAAGATAATGATGTATTTTGAGTGGCAGAACAAATCAATAGGGTTTAGAAATTTTTGTACAAACATTTACTAATTGTTAGTGTATAATTTCTTTATTAGTACAATAAATCAAGAAAAAATAAATTCCGAAAATAGCTTGGTAAAAATAGCAAGCATACCTTGACAATCATCATACCATCTAGATTCCTAGCACCACCGGGAATACTGTCTCCAACTCCCCTCTCCACAGGCTTGACTTCCCCAGTCAGGTGCTCTATGGTGATAGTTGATCGACCTTGAAAGACTTCACAATCAACCGGCACAGACTGTACAAGATAAAGATTGCAGTAAACAGGTCACATATTTATACATAAGCTTATGTCCATGTGAAACGTAGTGAAGTCGTGCACTTCAAATCAACAAACTAGTAGTCATTCTGCAACAGAACACATTACATGCCTAACATCTCCACAACTTCACTAGTTCCAATTTATTAATTGGCCATTAATTCTTAAGACACATTTCATCTGATATAGCTTCTAGCAACACGCAAGAACACGATGAGCCTGTAACTTGAAATCGATAAAATGGATGCCCACAAAATATCATAAAACCAAGAATCTGAAAGGCATGGTTATCACATTCTAGTTATCGAGTCAAATTACAATAAACTGTAAGCTACAACTTCACATAATTTTCCAATGTTCAGGAAAGGAAATCACAACATAGATTGACACGACGTGGATCTAAAAGCACAGACCTCGCCAGCTCTGACCAATATGTAAGATCCAACTTCAAGATCATTTACAGGAACTTTGTGGTACTTCAAATCAGTAAAACTCAGTGAATTCCCATCCTCCACATCCAACACAAGTGCAAATTCAGGGTGATTCTCTTTCAATTCCTTGACATCAATTCTAGACCTGCTGGTAAAGTACTCTTCCGCAATATGAGCCAAATTAAACATGGCTAAAAGCAATCCACCTTCTAAGGCATTCCCCATAAATAGCGATGCAAAGGCAGCCAACGCCATTAGAACATGAATGTTTATTTTACCACCCAAAATTTCCATTGCAGCGTCAAACGACGCTGAAACCTGCACCAATGAACAATACAGAGAAATGAAGTTTCTCGTTAAGGAAAATCTCGTTAAGTAGTTCGTCTGATGCTAATTACCCCAACTAAAGGGAAGGCAATGACAATGAAAGCTTGCTGTAGAGGTTTGGCGGCGGGCTTGGGGAGAAAGTAGGGACAAGCTGCCGCGGCCAAAAAGAGAACCGCCGCAGTGCAGCAGAGCTCCAAATGCTCCCTCAGGAAGTTCGCCAGGTCAGTCCACTTCACAGCCTCGGAAAAACTAAGGAAAGCCTCCTGATACTTCGTCGAGGGGGAATTACTCCCGCCATGGCTGTGACCATGATGGTCGTGATGGTGGTGGCCATGGCCGTGGACATGAACATGGTCGTGGGAGACGCCGGAGCATTTAAAAGTGCGTAAACTGGACACAACACGAAGGGAGATCAACAGCGTGGGGCTTCTATGGCGTGCGAAACTTGGATTGATTGCGAATCTGAGTTTTCTCGTCTGAAGGTTCGATGGCAACCTCGGCAACGCCGGAAGATTGAGGGATTCCATGATTGAAAACAAAAAATTGAGGTTTCAAGCCATTGATTCGATGTCTGAAGAAGAAGCGAAGCGATCAGAGTCTTGGCCAGGGATTGAAGCAGAGCAGCGTGGGGACGGAGAAGGAGCGTGGAGGCGTGTGGCTACAATGGTGTCATGTCAGCACACCATGTGCTCATCTCAAGCTCAACAGTAACAGTACGCATCCTCGAGCGAAATCCCCAATTTGCCCCCACCGAAGTCGCTGAACATTAATTGGCGATTTTAGACAAGTGTCCAACAACGCTTTTTCACGTAATCCATCATTTTTAAAAAGACAGAGATTTTTAATCTACAATCATTCAGTATTGTATTACTCTATCTGGCTTACCATCTATCCATTCTTCTTTTTTTTTTAAATAACTGTAATATCTACGTGATCTTAAAAATATAATTTTAATTTATAATATATTAAACAAATATCATTATCTTTTATATCATACTATATAGTACATTACAATAATAATATTTTTAAAATTTTGGATAAAATGTAAATGGATAAATATGAGATGGAGAGAGAGTAATAAATTTTTTTGATGATTTTTATTTAATTAAAATTAAAATTAATTAATTAGAACGGCCATATTAGTTTTAACATAAACTTTACAGAATCAATATATTCATGTTGGGCTCATTGTCCAATTTGGTCGTGTTTCATATTCTAACCTAATTATGTTGATCCTCAGTATTCAAATTATTTAATTACTATATATATAAGTCAATAAAATTATTTAAATTTATTTTGAAATATAAAAATGATTAAATTTTGATGTTTTAGTATTGAATTGCAAAATAATATTCCCTCCGTTCTATATAATTTGTCCCTATTTCTATTTTCGTCCCTCCCACGTAACTTATTCTTTCTATTTTTAGAAATATAATTATGTACTTTAATCGCATTTTAAATTTTATAATTTTCTTAATTTTAATTAAACTATTTACTTATCTTAATTTTAATCTATAATTATTTTTACTAAATAATAATTATTTTTACTAATACACTTCTTAATTACTTACTAATTATACTTTACCTAAATTTCCGTGTCTACAGTAATAGACCCATATTACATGGGACGGAGGGAGTAATAATCAATTTAAATATCTTTTTAATAATTATAATGGTTGAGTAAGAAAAAAATCAATGTGAAGGGTTTTCGAGAATGACCTGATAATGGTAGCAGGGTCTTAAATGAAGTCGGGCAAAAGAGGATGAGACGGCCAATACGGAGGTCGGACAAGATGAAGTCGGGCAAAGGAGGATGACACGGATGATACGGAGGTCGGACAAAATAAAGTCGGGCGAAGAAGGATGAGACGGCCGATAAGGAGGTCGAGCAAGCGGACAAGATAAGGTCAGGCAAAGAAAGATAAGATGACAGACACGGAGGTCGGACAATAGGAAACGTCTGTTAATTGGTCGGGCGAAGAAATGTCTGTTAATTGGTCGCTTAATTAAGCGACCTGTTAATCGTCTAATCGATTGGCCGGTCATTTGGTCAGACAGTAGTTCAGTCGCTTAACTGGGCGACCAATGAATCGTCTGGACGAACGGTTGTTCAGCCGTTTGAAGGGACTGGATGGTGGTTGCTTGATTGGGCGACCGATGTGAGCCCGTCTCTGGGCCCATCGAGTGGCTAAGGGGTTTTTCGAGGCAGTCGATCGGCCTGCAGTCTGTCTAAAGTATGCTGGTCGGTTGAATAGTCGTTCGGGACCAGCCGTCCATTTAAGGAGGTAAGGTGCCCAGAGGCGGTCGGTTGAGCCAGTTGGGTTCTGTGACTGGTGGGAGCGGTTGGTAAAACAGTTAAAACACGTGTTAATGGAGGAGAAATTAGTGAGCGGTTGACGGCGGTTGCTGTAACCGAACAGATGACGGTTCCAAAACGTTTCTTTAGGGACTATTTAAATATCTGGATCTATTCTGGAAAGTCATCTTCAATCGACATCAAATTCAGTGGAATTTGTTTTGGGGATCACCATTTTACTTTTACAGTTTGTAGTATTTATTTTTTCTATTTTATTTATGTATCGTATGATGCTTAGGGATTCTTAATCTCAGGCATTTATTTTATCAAATTCGAAGATAATCTCTATTTTCGGATTTTACTTTTTATTGTTGAAAATTTGCATCAACAATTTGGCGAACACAATGGGAGAAAGGCAAGATTGCTGATCCTACATCAAGAGATAATTTTATACGACTGAGGTCCGGCCGAATCATCAGAAGGGCCCATATGGCAGGTTCACAACCCCAAGTATCTTCAACATCGGTGGGAGAAACAATTTCACCACCTGCTATGCCGAATGCAGGGAAGCACCACAAGTACCTGCCGATTGGGTGTCTTGTGTTCAACAATTGAACAATTAGCAAACTTTGGTCATGCAGAATATGTTGTGTGAGCAACAAAACCTCATGCAAAACATGCTAGATCAGGCTTTGTCAATGATTACTCTTCAATCTACCCAGTCACCGCCAGGGATGTCACAATCCAGATTACAAGCAAATTTTGCGGGGCCTTCATATGTAGATAACACTCTTCCAAGTGCCACTACTAGGGTTGACAGGGGAAATACTCCTCTAACATACCAAAATAATGTTCCACTGGGTGTCAGAGCCGAGCCAACCGTCCCCAGAGAAGAAAGATTGGGAGGTCAGGCTCATAATCTCATTCATGTTTACGACCATATTCCACCCATAGTGGATCCGGAAGACATTACTCAAGTCTTGCGGGTGCATTTCGGAATGAATCCTCAAACGGTGAATAGGCCTGCATATCAAAGGCCATTTCCAGAGAGAATCATCAATGAGCATTCTCTCCCGAGAAATTATAGGCCACCAGATTTTCACTCTTTCTCGGGGGAAGATGGAGCCTCAACCATTGAGCATGTGGGACGTTTCACGGCTCAACTAGGAGAAGTAGGCAATAATCCGTTTCACAAATTGCAGTTGTTCGGATTGTCGCTCACCAGAATAACTTTTTCCTGGTTTGCTAATCTTCCACCAGGACAATTGCAAACTTGAAGCGGCCTTTCATGCAAGGTTCTTTAATCTTTTTCCGATAGTCTCACTCACAGACCTCCTGGAAATCAGGCAAATGCCGGAGGAGTCCGCCTACCAATTCATAGAGCGGATACGACTAATGAAGGGACGTTGCCCGAAAATCATTGAGGAGAGCGAGATGACCAATTTGGTGGTCAGGAATATGCATACACGACTGCGGGAAGCTTTAACGGCCCACGACGTTCAAGATCTAGCCAGTTTAGCATCCAAGGCGGGGAGGTTAAAATCCCTTTTTAGAGAAAAGGATCACAACTTCCGTCAAATGGTCAGTGTCGATACAGAGATGTATGCACCAGACGACGAACAAGGGGAAGGTGCTGAAGAAATGGTGGCTGAAATTATAAACAACAAGCCCTATGTATGTTCCAAATTGAAGCCCCTTCCAGGGGCAAAAGAGCGGGAACAACCGACGTTTGATGCATCCAAAGCAGATGAAATCTTTGATATTCTACTAGTGGATGGGCAAATTCGCATACCGAAGGGGCAACGGTTAGCAACAAGGGAAGAGATAAAAGGAAGGTCATACTGTTAGTGGCATAATTCTTTTACGCATTACACTAACCAATGTACGCATTTCCCAAAGGAAATACGGAAGACTATCAAGGCAGGAAGGTTCAAATACGTGACAATAGGAGTAGAACAACAACCTTTCCCAAAAGTAACTACTGCAGCAGTGATCTCTGTGCGTTCTTCATAGAGCCCACAAAAGGATGATGAAGGAGACAACAAATGGAAGAAGCGCAAGCCAAAGGAACAAGAGTTTGACCAGGATGATAAGTTCACAATCTACGAAAATAGGGTGGCTGAAAAGTGGGACAAAAAGGATCACTCATTCGAAGTAGAGTTAAAGGATAAAATGGTAGTGCGAGATCGACCACCGCGCAAGCCACCACCAGCCCGCAATAAATGGAGGTCGGATCAGAGGCTAACGTGGCCTCGGATGATGGAGGTTGGATCTGAGGCTGACGTGGCCTCTCATGATAGAGTTCGGATATGAGGCTGACGTGGCCTCGGATAATGGAGGTCGGTTGAGAGACGGCCGATGGAAGGGTGAGAGAAGGGTTTTACATAAACCCCACGATGTGACATGAAACAATGTAATGATGGCACTGTACTACAAACTCCTAAACGTCACAAGAAATAACGCTTAGGAGTCGGGCGGGAGGAGGCAAGTTGTTGAGTAAGAAAAAAACCAATGTGCAGAGTTTTTGAGAATGGGCCTGAAAATGGTAGTAGGGTCTTAAATGAAGTCGGACAAAAGAGAATGAGACGGCCAATACGCAGGTTGGACAATATGAAGTCGGACTGAGACAGATGATACAGAGGTCGGACAAAATAAAATCGGGTGAAGAAGGATGAGACGGCCCATAAGGAGGTCGAACAAGTGGACAAGACAAGGTCAGACGAAGAAAGATGAGATGACAGACACGGAGGTCGAACAATAGGAAAAGTCTGTTAATTGGTCGGGCGAAGAAATGTCTGTTATTTATTTTTTATTTAAAAATATTAATTATACTTTTTAATCACTTTTTTTAAATTTATAATTTATAATTTTTTAAAAATATTAATTATACTTTTTAATCACTTTTTCAAATTTATAATTTATAATTTTTTTATTTTAATTAAATTATTTAATTATATTAATTTTAATTTATAAATTATAATTAATTTTATTAATAAATTTATTAATTACTTATAACTAAAATTCCAAGACTAACTTAAACGTGACAAATTAACAGCGGAGGAAGTACTTAATAGGGCTATGTCCGTGTTCTGTCGGTATCAATTATCATAAACAAAATTAATTAATTTCAATTTTTATATGATCATAATTAATAATGGAAAAGAAAAAATCAATATCAAAATTAATTATTATGATTTACCATAAATCGGAAAATCGACAATTTTCCTTTTTAAAATCTTCGCCGGTTTTCCGCCTACCGCCCCTGGTTTCATTGCACCGCCTAAGAACATTCGCGAAGCTTTTACCTCTCTCATAAGCTCGTCGGCGTATTTGTTGTATTCGAGCCGGAAAGATGAGCGCAGGGCAGCGGACGGTGGTGGCGAAGCCTGGCCGAAGCGACGACGTATTGGATGAAGCACAGCAGATTCGAATCTATAACGAGGTCCGAGCGCAGTTCGAGTCTCTCGCCCCAAAACGCCCAATCAAGCCTGATCGGAGCGAGCCTGGTGCTTTCTCGGACGCAGTTTCAGCTCCAGATGTAGAAGTTCCCGTCCCCGAGCTCGACAAGCTCCGATCTCTTCGAAATCAATCGCAAGTTCGATTCGATCTATTCGCGTTCCTTCGTGAGTAATATTTTTGTGATTTTTATGCTTTATTTAGTGTCTGGTTTTGATCAGGCGGTATTTCCTGAAACTAATCCGTCGGAGGCGGAGGAGTTTGTGGAGACTGAATACTACAAAGCACTGGATTCCATTGACAAACAGCATCATACAGTTGAGACTGCTAATTAATCAGTTTTTACTCAGCGCAGGACTCTGTTTGTTAAAATGTTTGACAATTCTCATTGCTTTGGTTGTTTATCAGACCGGAAGTGGATTCATAAAGGCAGGGATGGATCGCAACGCCGTCAATGGATATGAACTCCAAGTAAACGGTTTCCATGGAAAACAAACAGAAATGGCGTTCAAGAGCAATCCAGCAACCAATGACTGGACACCAAAACTTGAAGATCATCAGGTACGCTAAGAAATTAGCCAATCCTTTTTTATTCTGAAGTAAGCGTCGCATCAGATGTTAATTACGCTAGTTTTGGTTCCTAATTAGGTTGAATTCCTCTCCTCTAAGCCTGATAGGAGTGAAATTTCTTGAGTGAAGATCGATGTGCCCGTCCCTTCATACTCTCTTCTTCTTTCTCTGTGTGTGAGAAAATTCTGCATCATTGAACAGATGGCGGTGATGATTGTGATTTCAGTGTTTATAGGCAAAATAATAATCGATTTGGCAAAGATTGAACCTTTTTTTTTTTTTTTTTTTTTCTAATGGATACAATTTTTTTATTTTTACCAGTTGGATAACTGCTATTATACGAATTCTCCTGTTATAAAAAAAAATAAAAAAATAAGAAAAACTGTACAGCATTACATTGCCATAAAATATTTATTACAGGATATATGTTTTGTTAGAATATAGCACAGTATATGCTTATATATTGTGTATAATATATGTTGTAAGCATTTATTAGTATTTTTTTTTTTTTATTACATATGTTAGCATATTGTTAATGTACTGTGCTTTGGTTACATGTTGGGATTTAAGTTAAATTTAGATTAAGAATAATTTATTTAATTAATATTTTATTTATGATAAAATATATATAGTTAAAAATTAAAATATTTTAAATATTATATTTCAATAAAAAATATGTTGCCGAATAAAATTTCATATTATATAAATAAATATTTATTCATCATTAATAAAAATTAATTAAATATCCTACAAATGAATCCAGCCCATTACTGTTCCCTAATTGGATATGTTGTAACTTAAAAATTATTGATCCGATCCAGTCATATCGGATCCGCTTCCTTTGTAACTTTTTGTTTCACTCGTTTGTATGTGATCAATTTATGTGTTAGTTTAGCGAGATTGTTTAAAAAAATTTATTTTTTATTTAAGATATAAAAAATTATACAAGTAATATAAAAATAATAAATGTATATAATATATTAATTTTTATGAAAAATATATTAGTGAAAATTGTGAAAGAACAAACTTGAATCTCTTATTTGAATTGGTGCTCAATTACTTGCTAAATTGGGCTCCAACACCCCCCCCCCCCAACCAAATTCCCCCATTTTTTTTTTAGTAATACTGTTACTCCATTTTATTTTTTGAGTGGAATTTTTATGGTGTTTTTTATATTTTTGGTATTTTTTTTGTGTATTATATAATTTTAATTTTTTAGTACATGATATATAATTTTATATTTTAAAAAGTTGTATATAATTTTATTTTTTTTAAAAAATAATGTATACTTTTATTTTTTAAAAGTGATATAATTTTAGTTTTTGGAAAGTAATATATAATTTTATTTTTTAAATGTTAATTTTTATATATGTAATTTTTAAATAATTTATAAATTATATGTGTATGAATCTAATGTCAAAATAAATTAAAGTTGGGATATAATTTATAAATATGAAAAGTTATATAAAATAATATAAAAGAGGAATATATTGGGAATATATTTTTTAGAGTAAAAATTAAATTTTATGATTGGAATAAAATTAACGCATTTTTACTATAGCAACTGTAAAAATGGAATGGATTATTGGAGATGACCTTAAAGAGTAAGACCTTAAAGAGTAATGCAAACCTTTTACTCTCTGAATTCTGCAGTAATGTTTCTTGAAGTTACGTTTCCATGCATAACCTGCTTTGTTTAATTTTACCAATTTGGAATATTTTCTAGGTAGCTACAAATTGGAAAAAGAGTTCTATACTTCTAAATAGCGTTAAAATTATAAATTATAAAATTTAAAATGTAATTAAAATATAATTATTTTTTTAAAAAAAATATATAAATGATGTGAAATAGAATGAAAATGGAAAAAAATATTGGGAGTATCAATTTTTCTTAGAATATATCCTTACTTATTAGATTTATTTATTTATTTTTTTTTTTTATGTCCGATCGAACCTAATACCATGCAAATTAGGCTGATAGACAAGTAAGGTTTGAACCCATGATCGTGTCCAATTTTTACACCATCAGGCCATTTAATAGCCTTGTAACTATTAACAACCTTATGAGATTATTTATTACTCTCTTTGTCATTTAAGAATCTATCCATTTTTTTATTTTGATTTGTCTATAACAAAATATCTATTTCTTTTTTAGTAATTGTACTATCTACCTAATATTACAAATACCCTTTCAATTTACAATATACTAGCGGAATACCCGTGCTACGCACGGTGAGATCAACGAAAAAAATTATAATCATATATTTTTTATTTAATAGTAATTTCTTTATATTATATATATATATTTTATTTTAATCAATATAAAAAAATAAAATACTATCAATGAATTATACTATCTCCATAAATATTAAATTTTGTAGCATTTTATTTTTATTTCTTAATTGAATATAAAATTATAATATAATAGTATTACTTTTTATATTTTCTTTATAATCGTAATTACAAATAAAAATTATTTATCAATATATACATTGTAATTCTAGAATAAATTTATAACTTAAGTCTATGTTTTTTTTCAAACATATATATATGTGTTTATATAATTATTTAAAAAATTAGTAAAATATGCAATATAACCAAAATAATTTAATATTAAAATTTGGATAAAACATGCAATATAACCAAAATAATTTAATATTAAAATTTGGAATAAAACATGCAATATAACTAAAATGATTTAATGTTAAGATAACAATTTAATTTATTATGAACAAAATCAATTAAAAAATATATAAAAATTATACATATATTTGGATGTGTTTAGAATTTGATTGATTATGAAAATAAATTTATTATTCATATATTTGGATGTGTTTACAACTTAACAAATAAAATCAATTCCCCAAATAACTTAATTATAGTATTGTAACTCTATGTGATGAAAAAAAAATAATAAAAATAACATATAACTTAATACAAATTATGATCAATTTCTGATTTTTTTTTTCCTCTTTAACATTCATCTCTTTCTAAAGAAATTAAATACAAAATAAAAAAATAACCATAAGTAAATTCGAAATTTCAATTTCAAAGTGAAAAAAAATTATAATTCTTACTCTGCGCCACATCAAAATAAACAATTTAAAGAATAACAAAAAAAACTATAATCAATAAAAAAGTATCAGAACAATTGTAAAAAATTGAGAGAATATGAAAAGAAAATAAGAAAATAGTGAAAAATAAAATGAAAATTTTAGGAAATTGCGGTAAAAATTAATTTTCTCATTAACACTCAGTTAAAAAACTATTTAAAACCAAATTTTGAGAAAATCGTAAAACCACCTCATTTATTGATAAAGAGTTAAAACAATAAAACAAAATTAAAAAAATGAAAAAAATAATAAAAATAACATATAACTTAATACAAATTATGATCAATTTCTGATTTTTTTTCCTTCTTTAACATTCATTTCTTTATGAAGAAATTAAATATAAAATAAAAAAAATAACTATAAATAAATTCAAATTTTCAATTTCAATATTAATAAAGAAGAATAGCAAAATAATTCAATATTATCAATAAAAAAAATATTTATTACAAAATTGGATAACTTATTATATTAAATATAGATAAAATATTTTTAAAAAAAATTCCTACAGTGGATTGTAAAAGAACAACATGTAAATTTAAAAACTTACTTCAAGAAGACGGACTTATGCTCGTAGTAGAAAATTTTTGTCAAAATGGCTCAAAAATTATATAAAAGTTCAAAAAAAAAATTAATTAATAAAAATGAATATGAATCAAATAATAATAAAATATAACAACTTGAAGAAGTAAAAGTTTCAAAGAACAACACCCTCTCGTGAAGGAAAAAAAACCTTGCACACCCTGTAAAGCTTGCCTGAAGAATTTTTGTAAAACTTGCCTGAAAAAATAAATGAAGAACACCCTGTAAAATTTGAAAAAAAAAAAAAAAAAACACCCTGAAGAAATTTTCTTATCCGAATGGCAATCTTCTCTAATAAAAAAAAAAGTTTATGTTGCCCGAAAAATAACACCCTTGCGTTGCCTGAAAAAAAAAAAAAAAAAGACAAAACGTTGTAAAAATTTGCCTGAAGAAATAAAAGGAGAACACGTTGTAAAACTTGCCTGAAGAAATAAAAGAAGGACACTTGTAAAACTTGCCTGAAGAAAAAAAAGTCCTAAATAAACTTGCCTAGGAGAACACACCGTAAAACTTGCCTGAAGAAATAAAATGAGGACACCTGTAAAACTTAACTTGCCCGAATAAAAAAAAAGAAGAACACCCTATAAAACTTGCTTGAAGAAATTTTCTTCTCCGGATGGCAATCTTCTCCGATAAAATAAATAAAGTTTCTGTTGCCTAAGAACACACCCTTGCCTTGTGGATAAGAAAAAAAAAAAAAATTACACTTCCTTCACATGTTTCTTGGCACCAACAGATGAATGATGCTGAACGGATTGTATATCTATATATATATAAAAAAATCAGTTTTATCTTTTGAGTTGTTATATATATATATAATTACACAAATGTCATTACTTTTATATCATACAATACTAATAGGATTAATTTAGTTTTTTTACCTTTATTTTTACTTTATCTCAATATAAAACTAATATTTTTAAAATTTTATGTAAAAAATAAATAGATATATAGATATGGGACGGAGTTTGTAGAACAAGGAAATGGAAGTTGTGGAATGGTTAAAATGGTACAACATACAATAAATGACATAATTAATGTCTGAAAAAATGAGTGGCATTTGGATCTGGGTATTAATGTCCTTGTATACTTAAAATGCCTATTTACAATAAGACATCAATTTATTTATTTTTTATGCATAATTTAATTTAAAGTAAAAATTTACACAATAAAAATGAAACAAAAAATATTTTGCACATTAAATATATTAAAATATAATGTGATTTTTATATAATTTACCTATATTTTATACTGTGATATTTTAATGTGGAATGTGATATGTGTTTTCAATTAATATTGTATAATTTTACCATTGTTCAGAATCAATTTTTATATTACCATCCTAATCCATATCTGATTTATAACAGTCAAAGAGGCCCTAATTATTGTCGGAATATTTGTGCAAATTGATTAAAATACATAATTGTAACAACAAAAAAATTGTCCAAATTAAAATAATTGTATATAGTTATGTCAGTCTCATTGTTCCATCCACCAGTTATGGCACCAACACAAGATTATTGGGTTGTTGGTTTACATCATATTTAATTATATTATAGAATTAAATAAAATGTAACTATTAATTATTGTCAAATAAAATAAAAGTACTAGAACATATATATGTATGCATATGGCCATCATAATTTATTTGAATATGTTTCAATGTTATTATTGTGGGTTTGTTTTTAAGAGTGTTGAATAATTTATTCATCAAAATTATAAATAAATAAAAAAAAATTAAAGAATTATCAAGAATATAAGTCTCGAAAAATTAAATACGAGAATTTAGGAGAAATATATTTTATAGATTAGTATCATATATTCTCAGTTAATTTGTATTATTCCCTCCGTCCTGAAACTAAATATCAATTTGCTTTTTGCACGTAGTTTTAGAAATATTAGTATTATATTGGGATATAGTATGAATAAAGTAGAAATGACTAAAATAACCTTATTAGTATGTATGATATAAAGGTAATGACATTTGTGTAATATATTGTAAGTTGTAAGGGTATTTGTAATGTTAGGTAGATAGTACAATTACTAAAAAAAATGAATACTTTGTCATGGGACAGACTAAAATAGAAAAATAAATATTTGTTGGAGTACTATAATTATTATTTTAATTCCTTTGTATTTCGTCCAACATAAGTCAACTATTTAAAAATACATCTTTTTAATGATTAATTTGGGATGGTCATTAATTAGGTTGGGTTCATTGCTTTTGCCCTAATAATCCGTGATCATCATTTCAATCCAACGGTCAATATTTAATCATCCTCACATTTCAAATTTTTGTATAAATAAAAAATTATGAGGCATCTTCTATATGTATTTAGACTAAAAAAAAAGTCAGACCGTATTTAAAAATATATACATGTATCTCCCATTTGTTCGTGGAAAGTCAATTTTACGTAATATTATTGTTTTTAAATATTTTTTAGACCGCTTAATTAAAAAAAAATAAAAATCATTAGACTGATTTAAATAAAGTAATCCGTTTAATTTTTACATTATATAATTGATAATGAATATTGTTTCTTAAAAAAAAAATAATGTATTAACAAAATAAATTTAAAAAAATATGCCGAAACACACATCATCATAAAATGTAATTTACTAAAACACCCTTTATTGTTAGACAATAATTGACTTTATTGTTGTTTATTTATTTAAGCATTTTATTATAACAAGGAAATAAGCTACCCAAATAACACGACAGAAAAAACATGACACGTATGATGCTTAGTCAGCATTAATTATTCAGACTACACTCTGGCTTCGCTATAATATATATAAATTTTATTTTTTAAATTTTATTTTGATATATATAATAATATAAATATATTCATATACTTTTTGTTATCTAAAAGATTTTAAATTCATATACTTCCAAATTCAAACGAAAACAGTCACTTTGTACTTATTAATGAAATAAGATTTAAATAGATGCATTTGGCATTGTTGGCCACCGTTTACATACATATTTTTTGGAATTTTTTGTATTTGGTTTGTATTATTTATCAATATTTTTTTTTATTTTATAAAATATTACATTAAATATCAAAATTTTAAATACTAAAAAAAAAAATTCTATCTAAACATGGCCTAGTGTTTTGAAAAAGTTAGAAATATTAAAAAATTAAATTTGGGCTATAATATTTTATACAATAGAAAATAGGCATATAATATTATATATATTTTTTTAAAATAACATTAATAAATAATATTAAAATTTCTAAAAGTCTATATATAGAAATATATTTTAAGTTTAATTTGAACTTAATAGGCACGCAAGCAAATAAAGTTGCAGTGGTCACGTTATGAATCTCGAAACAGAACATTTTACTCTGCTTTTGGTGACCTTAGCATCTCCTAACTTATTTATTTATTTTATTATTATTATTATTATTATTATTATTATTTTACGCTCCAAATTTGTTGTTATTCTATTTTAATTTAATATGTACTAAAAAACAGAATTTTAAAAATTATTTAAATAAAAAGATAAGAATAAAATTATTGAATTATACTATCTTACAAATTTAGTTATTGCAATATTTCCCTGAAGGCTTTGTTCAATCCATTTGTTGAGATACAGTATACATATATGCATATAATATAAAGCCCTCTCGTCTTCTTCTAACAACTAACTTCATTTCTCCGGACAGCGAAGGACTACAGATTACTTCACCGGAGGTTTTCTGAGTTTCGCCATTTGACTGGTTGAATTTCGTGAGGACAACAAGGTAAGCGGAAATTTGTCTGAATTTGATTTCAGATTTTGTGCTTAATCATATATTTCGGTTGATCCGTAGGCGGTAATATTTATGTTAAGACCTAGATTATTACGATCTGATTTTTATTTTCGTTTTTGGATTTGGTAGATTTGATTCATCGGAGTTGAAGTAATGGCCGTTCCGACAGGAAGGCAGGGCGGAGACAGCCTGTTTCCGAGCACATCTTCGAATGTAAACAGCATAGTTTTTAAGACTTTATTCATTTTCCGGTAGATTTTTTCTGTCCAAATCGAACAATAAATTCGTTGTTTCAATTCTGCTCTTAAACAAAAAATTAAGCGAATCTGCTCCTCATTAGCTACTCTGCTCTGAATTAAGGATGTTTTACGTAATAAACAATCCTACATCTAAAGTCTAAACTGTCTTAATTCGAACAAACCTGATGGAAACCGATGATGTAATAATCGTGCAGGATGTAGAAGACTGGGGAGGAGGAACACGCCACTCTGTTGATGCTACAATCTGCGCGATCTTCTATGTGGCAATAATTGGTAATGCTTGCGTCGTTATTCGTTGCTTTGCTTGCAAGCGTATACTTCACTCACACACGACACATGTGGTCTACAGTACGATGTGGTTCTCGCTTAGACACACTTTAACTGCTATGATTGTTAGAATATTGCTTTGAGGACTTTGGTGGCTATATTACATATCTTCGTCTTCAAGGCATCATTGTTTTAGGGACTCGACATTGACATGATCATCTGTGTTTTTTAGGATGTTGAGTTTGGGATTGGAATTATAATTAATTTTTTTTAAAAAAATTATATAAAAGTATTGAAGTATTAAATATTATATTTTAATTTTTACTATTATTTTTAAGTATATCTTTGAATCTACGTTCAAATGCGTATGGATAAAGTTTTGCGTGCAAATTTGAAAAACCAAAAGTAGAATAGCAAATTTGAAATAAAAGGTAAATTTGATGTAGAATTACCAAACTAACCTTGTTTTAGTAAACGGTTACCAAACATTGAGCAAGACGGGCGTCTTGCAATTCGACCTTACCTAATTGACGGGTACATAACGGCGTTAACGGTCAATTTTAGTTATTTTTATACAGTTGAATCGGACAGGAACGCATCGATTTAATTAATTACTGAATATTAATTTATTTTTTATTTTTTATTTTACTGAATATTAATATATTATTTATTCAAATTAAAATTGTTACTGTTCTTCAGTTATATTCGCAATGATCATCCTCCTGATCGTGAAGCTTATGAGGGACATAGACGACGACGGCGATCCGACAGCAACGACGGAGCAGACAGCATTACTGCCTGCAGCAAAAGAAGAAATTGAGTACAGCTGGTACGGCAGCGCCGGCGGCGGCGGGGATTTAGAATCCGGCGGTGGCAGTACGTCTTCAATTACGTCATCGGACGACGACTTGTACGACGCTAAGATTTGTGTAATATGCTACGACGACCAACGGAGCTGCTTTTTTATTCCCTGCGGTCACTGCATCACGTGCCACTCATGTGCCCACAGGTACGTACCTTGCCCCGCCCTCCCCCTCTTCACATAAATTCGTCACTACCTCATTTGCTTATTTTCGTATATACTTAGATTTAAAGTCTTATAAAGTTAAGTAAAATGACAGTATTATGAAAAGGTTTATAGCAAAAAGAAAAAGTATGGTTTATTAGGAGGGTTTTTTTTCAATGTATTATTTATTTGTACAATTATTTTTCATTATAAAATACTGTTTTTTTTTTTTATTTATTTACAAAATATTACATCCATAACATACATGGATTATGAATGATGGATTAATTTAATTTATTTATTTTGGTGTTACTTAGGATTGTGACTGACGAAAACAAGAGCTGTCCCATATGCAGGACAGTTATCAACAATGTTACCAGGCTGCACATTTTGTAATTTTATTTATTTATTTTTTAATCCAATAATTTGGGAATTTTCTTGTACATAGGGTTTATTTTTATTATTTTAATTCCGGAGCTGTTATTTAGTGTAACAGTTTGTAGAGATGACAACAGATTGGATTGGGAGCAATTTTTGCTGCAGGCTTAGATTAAAAAATTGTTTGCAAGACTTGAGACTGTTGGTTGGATAGATTTAGTAAAATTAGTACAAAATTATAAATGTATATAAAATTAATATTATTAATAATTTAAGTTAGGTAAATTCAATTTTGCAGCAAACCCCACCAATCTATTATATATCCATACACATATATTATAGTTTATTGAATTATTGTTTTGTTACACTCGACAACTATATATGTTCAATATCCATAATTGTCGAATTATTTTGCTTTTGTCACTGTAAAGGTCTTTGATTTATGCAAACACAGTTGTGGGTTTTGAGTCCTGAATTCATATATAATTGAGAATGGTGGTTAATATAATTTGTAATTTTAATTGGATATTTATTGTATATTCAAGGTACGTTACCTTAGGGGCATAAAAAAACATATTATATAAAGTAAATAAAATAATTATATAGCTATTGATCATGATTTGTTTGTGGATGTATTGGCAAGCTCTTAGAATAGTTTGGCTTGTTACTATTTTTATTAAATATTGATTTTTGTAATATATATATAAATAGTAACAAAAATTGATTACAAATATATTAAAAGTTTAATTGAATAAAATAAAGTTTAGCTTCGTAGTAAAAAACTATTTCTTTGAATCCATAATGAGTTTGTGTTTGACATGGTGAAAATCATAAATTTTAGCTGCATTTACTTTAAATATATATATATATATATATATTCTATTATCTATCATCAAATATTACATTCAATTAACTGTTAAAGAAAAAAAATATCTTCAAATTTATACAATAAGTTATATACTTCCCCAATCTCGATCCAAAGTACCTTTTGAGTTTTGGTAATAGATTAATAAATAATAATACTTCTTCTATCCCATAACAAAGTATCCATTTTTCCATTTTAGTCCGTCCCATAACAAAGTATCCATTTTTCCATTTTAGTCCGTCCCATAACAAAGTATCTATTTCTTTTTTTTAGTAACTGTACTATATGTCTAACATTACAAATAACTTTACAACTTACAATATATTACACAAATATCATTACATTTATATCACATATACTAATAAGGTTATTTTAGTCATTTCTATTTTATTCCTACTATATCCTAATATAATACTAATATTTATAAAATTACGTACAAAAAATAAATGGATATTTACTTTTGGGACGGAGGGAGTAATATTTTATTGACTAACAAAAAATGTGTAAAATAAGTTTAGTATATTTTTTATGTATAAATTAATTATATAGGTAATACTATATTTGTACTTTAGCTCAAATTTAAAAATATTCTGGTATTAATGTGATTGTTTTTACTATAATAAAAAATGAATACTATCGAGTATCACATATAAAAATGGTAAAAGAATAATTTTGGTTTGAAAGTAAATAATATATTTTCAATTATTCATCAAAATTGGTAATTTATAGACTTTTCATTTCATACTAATTGGATATGTATCTCTAAAAATATTATGTAAAAATATATTTACAACTCAATTTTTTATTTTTTTTTTCAAACTCAAAATTAGAAAATAATTTTAAAACAAATGCTTCCTTTAAATATATTTTAGAAGATACTTAGATGGTAATTGTTTAGAGATTTGTTACTAATGATCAAATCACATGTTTTTTATTTTAAAAAATAAAATAAATTAAATGTTTATTTTAATAAATTTACATCAAAATTAAATTAAATTTGCGATCAAAATATTAAGTACACGAGCATTTATCTATATTAAATTAAATAATTTTTAAATTCAAACTTTTATTCTTTAAAACTCAAATTCCAAATAAAAATTCAAGTTTAAATTTGAAATATTTTTATAAATAATAATATTTATTTGATTGGGGTTTAATATTAATTTGAAATGAAGTAATTTAAATTTTTGTTTATATAATGGTACTATCAAATATTGTGAGAAAACTAATTTTGTATTTTTCTTAAAAATTATATCAAAAAATAATTTTAATTTTAATTTAAAATAACAAACACATTAATATTTTTTAACATAAAATATTTTTTGTTTATTTTTAATTTTATTTTTTAGTTGTCATCCGAATTTATTTAAATTTTAAAAGAAAAATACCAGTTTTTTATTTTTATTTTTTTTTATCATAAGTTTCTTTTAATCCACCTTTTTTACATTATTTTATAGGATAAGAAAGGAGTAATTATTTTATTACTAGATAATTTTATTTCAATCGTGAACGGAAAAGAAGCTAAGGGTAGATCCGGGATAATGACAGAAAAGGACATCTGTATTCAACTGAGGCTACGTGTCTGATTCTTATTGGATCACACGGTCAAGGATAGAATAGTCATTTCATTTATACGGCGAATAAAAAATATCTGAAAAATATCAGTAGCGTCCCTGCACTTTTTCCCATCAGTTTCACTTTCACCTGCGGTCACAACTACAAGTCCAAATCCATCATTTCTACTTCAATCTCTTGAAGCTTCACATCGAATCTGCCTTTCCTGCAGAAAGTTTCAGCTTAATCGTTTCCTGTTGGCGGAGAGCATGTTTGTTTTTGTATTTGCTCTTCGGTGATATGTATATTATATGTATGTGTGTATGTACAGGTTTGTAATTGTGGACTCGGCATACCGTTTCTGGAAATTGTCATCGATTAATCGAAGCTGGACATCCCAGGCGTGAATTTGAGAGCAGGCGATGGAAATCGGGTAAGGAAAATCAGTTGCGTGTTTTTAGTTTTTGAAATTGCTTCGAGTTCATCGCGTAATTTAGGTTAATTAATTATCCATGAAAACGACTTCGATGTTTGTTGTTGTTGTTGTCAGGAATTAGTCAGGAGTAATTGGATAAGGTAGGGCGACAGGAAATCGTGAGGGGGGAGGGGGAAAAGGATCACTAATAATGAATGTTCCTGAAAGTCGTAGCGAATTCGATCATTTTTCTGGCGCTTTCGCACTTCAGAAAGTATAAGAAGGACATTCCTCATCATTCACTTCAATTATTTGGATATAATTCGGCAAAACTTTCTGAAGATTCTGTGCTATTTTTGTACCGCAGGAGGATGAACTTTCTGGAGAAACCCATCCTATTCTCGACTACGCAATGCATTTGGCTTTTTATGCTGCGCTCACTGGTAAGTTAATTACCGAATCATCCATTCGATATCATGATTAGAAAAACCGTAATGATCGCTACTGTTGTCTTGAAGCATTGCTGGCTTCATCATGATTGCATCGATGAAAATACGTGTTATGTTTCTATGTGTATTTAGCTCAACCTGTTTGATCTATTGCCTTTCTAATATCGATCTTATTCTTGTTCTATCCAAATATGTTCAAAATCCTCGAACAACAATAATTGGTTGTGGTGGGGTTACTGGGGTAGATGCTGGGGCAGTATGGCTGTATGGGTAGTATGTCAATGTCCTTTTCATATAATTTGCAAAAACCACGACAAGCGATGCCCATCGAAAAATATCTTGAGTTTAAAATGGCATTATTGTTGTTCATGATATATTTAATCAATTTAGGTGATTTTTATTCTGCCCCTTAAAGCCCTGAAGAGGTAGAAGGATTTCAAAATTTTTACCTGCCTAAATATTTTGGATGTGTTTGGTTGTTGGTTTTATGTTGTTTTTGTACCAAGCAACCTACATAGAAATAATTTCTCACCCGAAAAAAAATATCATGCCAAACACTCTTTCGCATTTGAAATTTACTTTTTATTTCAAAACATACAATTTTCATTTTAAACACTGCATCACAAATCTGTTTGTTGTTTAAAAGAACCAGGGAGTGAATGGAACCTATCCTGTAAAGTAATTACAGTCGAATTCTACATAGAGAATTTAGAAGTTATAACAACATACCCTCGGTGAGACATCCTCGAATTTCAATTCCAAAACACACTCTTAAATCTGCCACTTGGTTTATTTGTTAAATGTAAATAGCACAGAGATATCGAATGTAAGTATGCAGTAGATTCTTTGTTGCAAATGTGATAGCACTCGTTGTATTCTCATTACATGTGGCCCTCGCAAACTATAACTTGCGCATTCTTTTAGCAACAAAATAAAGCTCCCGCACAACTCCGGATCCCATCAGAACTCCGAAAGTAAGCGTAATTGGACCAATCTTTCATGTTTCTTGTTGTGTCACTTGTAGAGGAGCTTAAAATTTTATATTTTTAGGTTTGTCGAACTGGTTCACAAAATTCTCATATTTACAGGGTGTTCATCTTGATTTTCCTCTAATTTCGTTACATATATACATACAGTTATATATATATGTATACATGTCTTTGTTGTGTGCTATGACATTCTTTAATTTTTGTGTCGAACCTCAGCAATCTTCTTGATGATCATAGCCTTGATCACGAAACTCTTGTGCAACTACGACGAGGAGGGGGGCAGCGGAGAAGCAGCCGCAGCAGAGGGGGCGACCGAGCAGAGTCGATTATTGCCGCCAAAGGAGGAGGCTGTGTACAGTAGCTACGGCACCAGCTGGAACGATCTAGAATCCGGCAGCACCTCATCCTCCGAGGATCTGTACGATGGAAAGATATGCGTGATATGCTACGACGAAAAAAGGAGCTGCTTCTTCGTTCCTTGTGGTCATTGCGTCGCTTGCCACACTTGCGCCAACAGGTAAACTCTAAACTCGCAATCGACTAGGTGATCTAAATGAGGCTCGGGTGTGGTCGGGAACTTATTGGAGCCGCGCCCGCGGACTATACTTTGTTTGCGGTTAAATGTTTGGACTCTACTAAGTGTTTGAAGATTATTTATGTTGTTGCAGGATTGTAAGAGAGGAGAACAAGAGCTGCCCAATATGCAGAGGAATTATTGACAAGGTAAGAAAATTATACATCCTTTGAAATTTGTGTGAATTCGAAAGAAAGATATATATGTGCATATAATAGTATTTAGTAGATTCTGTACATTGTTATTGTATTTGCTTAGACATCATTCTTCCATGATTTTTGTAAATGGCTGTACATTTTAAAATAATAGAAATCTATATATATATGTTCACACAATAATTTTTGCTAATACATCCACATAATTTCTCGTAAAAAAAAATTAAAAATACTAAAAAAAACACATCCTGAATAAATAAAAAAATAAAACAAAATGCATTAATATTTATTGTTAGTTCATTGTTATATGTGATTGTCAATTTTTGTAACGGACTATGTGACAATATTTGATTAATAAAAATAGAAAAGCCCATTATTGTAATGGACTTTAAGTGGACACTCTTTTTGCTCTTGTCCAAATATTAAAGCACAAAAAAGGCAGAGGGAATTTATAAATTAAATCACAAAAATATTTTGTTGATATGTGCTTGAAATTAAGCCTACAAATTTTTAACTATTCATTTATGTTTTTCTTTAAAAATATCAAGTAAAATACTCTTTCCTTTCGTTTGGGTGCAATATTGTTGTTTACTTTTTACACGTAGATTTTTTAATATAAGTATTATACTCCCTCCGTCCAGCTAGAAAGTATACATGTTTCTATTTTGGGACGTCCAATTACAAAGTAAACATTTCATTAAATATTTTACTTTTTTCCACAAATACCCATACTTTACATCACATCATTACTTTTATACCAAGAAGCAAAGGCAAAAATGTCATTACACTACTTTTAACTACCACTTTTTTTGTGGACGGAGGGAATAATAGATTGTAGTGAAAAAGACGAAAATACCCATATTAGATTTGTGTAATATAAAAGTAATGACATTTGTGTAATATAGTGTAAGTTGGAAGGATATTTATTATGTTAGTTACGTAGTACAAGAAAACGATAACCTTGTTTTGAGACGGACAAAAATAAAAAATAACAACCTTTCAATTGGACGGAGGGAATATTTATCTTTTATATTATATCAAAAGTCAATTTTATATTCAAAGTATTATATTTGCCACATATTTATAGCAAATGAAATAACTATTCAAATAAAGACGTATATAGAAAAGTCCGATTATTTTGTTGTTGTCTCTTAATTATTGAAATTTGTTTGGTTAATTATTGTTGAACATAAATTAAAAGTTGTTTGGTTGTTTCCAAATTCATTTATTTTGTTGAAGTGTCGTCAATTATTTTGACATTAAACATGTTGCAATATCACATACATAGATATAATTGTGTAGGAGAATCCCTATTTGTGTATTTATGGATTTGGTCGGCCTATGTTTAAAATCTCTTACTCATTCCGTCTAATTTATTATGAGTTTATTACTGTAGATACGGAAATTTAGGTAAAATGTGATTAGTAAGTAATTAAGAAGTGTATTAGTAAAAATAATTATAGTATAATAAAAATAATTGTGGAATAAGATTAAGATAACTAAATAGTTTAATTAAAATTAAAAAAATTATAAAATTTAAAATTTAAAATGAAATTAAAGTGTATAATTATATTTCCAAAAAAAGAATGAACAAATTATGTGGGACGGACGAAAATAGAAAATAGGGACAAATTATGTGGGAAAGAGGGAGTATTAATTTGTGTACCCTTTTATTGTTTGTGCTTCTCGAAACCACGTAAATTGTATTTTATTTTTTATTTTTAGCACTATTTTGAAATATTTGTGCTGCAAATGTAAAACATCTATTTAACTAAATCTCAAAACTAGTTTTACGTTTTGAATAGTAAAATTCTGAATTATAATAATTGATAAATATGAATTTATGTAATATTTTTAATATAATGTAGAATTTTAAAAAATAAATGCGACAAAAAATAAATGAATAATAAAATTGAATTAGAAACTCTCAAACAAATATATGTAATGAGCAAATATAGATGTCAAATTGGAGATGGTTTAATGAGACATGGACAGACCACCAATTTATGTACATACAACTTGCAAATAAATATATACAAAATAATAAATAAATAAATAAATAAATGTCAGGAATAATAAAAAATGTTGCAAATAAAAATATCATAATTATATTTTTATTTAAAAGATTTATTATTTTTAAAATTGGAGATGAATACTAAACTAATATGTGTACATATATATAATTCACTGTGATGAGGCTTACGGCAAATAAATTTCCATTTTGTAATTAATATTTTGGGTCTATCACTAATATATTTAATACACTTGCATTTTTTATTTTTTAGATATATATACTATTTATTTATGTAATTTGTTCATATTTTTTTAAAAATAAAAAATAAAAGAACAGTAATAGGATTAAAATAAAATTTATATTAAATTAAAATTAAATATAACTGAAATTATAATACTTGCACTCGCACGTAAAAATTAAAAAAAAAAAAACATATATGTTAATATAATTGAACTATAAAAAGAAAACCTTTAAATTTAAACAGCAATTATTTGTTCTTTAAAAAAAAAAAAAAAACCATAAAAAAAATATAATAATAGTAACTTTTTAACTTTAAACCCCATGGCCCATGCCTTGTGGTGTACGGATCGAAATCGACCGGTCATGTGGTAGTGGGAATAAAAAAACTGCTTCGTTTTGGATTTGTTAGGGTTTCGGGAATTTGGTATATTTGTTTTAAATTTCAAATTATGTTACCGTAAAATTGCTTGTAACTCTAATTTGATTTTAAATTTTTTGTATTTTAAAAATTATATTACTCTTTTATATTTTGAAAAATTTTGTATAAAACTCCAATTCCATGAAATTTTCGTTGTGTGTGATGGGATGATGATTTTTTATTCATATTTTTGCAATGACAGAGAGTGAAATGGAGATTTACAACGAGCTTCGAAACTACGTAGGAGTTTCATGTAACGTTTTTTTTAAAGTATAAAAGGTTCAATGCAATTTTTAAAATAAATAAGAGATTTGTAGTTTCGAAACTACAAGACAGTTATGGGTAAATTTGCTTTATATTAATAATATATCATACTCCTTTCGTCATGCAAATTTGTGTTCATTTGACCGGACACAAAAATTAATAAAAGTGAGTAATAATTGTTAATTTTTCTTTTTTATAGTACAAAATGTAATAATTTTTTACTTAAAAGAAAAACGAGAATACTTTTCGATGACAACTCAAAAAAAAAAGTGAGCATAGATTTGAATGACGGATGGAGTAATTTAATTTATGTTATATTTTTTTATAAAATATAATATTAAAAGAATATTTAAACTAAAATATAAATAAAAAAATACAATTTTAAATCAAAATCAAACAAATTCTTAACATCTATTAAATGTGAGTTTGATCTAAATAATTTCGTCGATCACAAAATGTATGCTCGCTGTGCTTGATACAATTTTTAATAAATATAATATTATATTAATTAATTATGATTTAAAGTGAATATTTTTTAAAAAATATTTGGGTGAATTAATGACTAGAGTGAAATTTTTTAATAATTTGAATGTATAAATAATTATAGCAATTTTATTAATAATTGCAACGTTGAATAATATAAATTAAAAAATGCATAAGAATTATGTATTATAAATAAAAATAAAAATATATATTTTTGTGTAGAAACAATGAAGACAGATATAGATTTAATGACAGTGAAAGGGTACTGCTTTTATATAACTCCACTAGTCTCCACTAAAAGAATATTTTTTATTTTTTTTGTTTGTCTTATTTAAAAGTGTTATTTTTTATTATAGTAAAAATATTTAAGCGTCAAATATCAAAATATCATTAATTTTTTACGTAAATTATAAATATATCATTACACACTTTCATTTGTCTATATTTAACTTGTACAAAAATCAAATTCAATGTAATATACTCCATCCGTCTCATATCTATATATCTATTTATTTTTTGCATTTTTAAAAATATTAGTATTATATTGGGATAAAGTAGAAATAAAGATAAAAATATTAAATTAATTCTATTAGTATTGTATGATATAAAGGTAATGACATTTGTGTAATATATTGTAAATTTGAAGGGTATTTGTAATGTTAGGTAGATAATACAAAAAAAATAGATAAATTATTATGAGACGAAGGAGTATATATTAGTGACACACTTACTCATATTTAACCCAAAAATATATTTTAAAGTAAAAATATAAAAGAAGCACACAAGATAATAATAATAATAATAATAATAATAAATAATGGGGTAATGACAATTTACTCTTTTATGTATATCTATCTATCAATTTACTTTTTTTTTTTTTTTTTTTTTTTGTATATTTTAGAATAATAATAGTTTAGACATAGATAATACAATTTTTAAAAAACAAAATAAAACAAAACAAATTCTTTTTTTTTTTTGTCCGTAAATTTGTATTTTTTTATGATTTTTTTTATAATGCTGTATAAATTTCATAAGTATGTGTTTTTTAAATGCAAAAGAACAATTATTAGAAAAATAAAATAGATAAATTAATTATAAACATACTAAATTGATAAAAAAAAATAATAATAATAAATAATTTTAAACAAATTAAAATGACAAAATTGATTGTAAAATAGTGTTCAAAATCAAGTGTGAACGGAATAATTTGAAACAGTCGAATGTGACTATTTAAATTTGAATGATTTGGAGTATTGTAAATTTTATTTTTAAAATAAATTAATTATACTCTGTTTCTTACATTGTTTATTTTATCAAAGCATATATGCCTTACTTTTGAACGTAAATATTAACCATTGATCTTATTTCCGATAATTTTACTTGTAATATAATAATAATATAAATATATATATATTCATTCCTACACCACCCGATTATTTCTTATGTCACATATAATTTTTATTTATTTGAAAAATCTTGTAAAATAGTCATATGTTACTGCTATAAAAATGTAGACACTAATTTTATAATAGTATATATTTTAAATATTTTATTATCAAATGAAAGTATATATTTTACAAAATATAACGTCTAATAATTAATACTCCGTCTCAATATAATAATCCTATTTACCATTTTTGTCTGTCCCAAAATAATAGTTTTATTTTCATAAATAATCATATCATTATAAAATTATCCTTACTTTTTTATTATTATTACACAATTATCATTACTTTTTACACTAATACATTCATAAGGGCAAAAAAATATTTTATCCGTACTTTTTACTTACTACCAATATAATATCAATATTTCTTCAATCTCGTGTCAAATACAACTCGGACTATAGTTCTTGGACTGATGGAGTATATTACTATTATTAAAATCCTCCAAAATTCTCATATAAGCAAAGCTAAATTTACAGTCAATTCATTAACATACAAAATAAAAAAAAAATAAATAAATAAATTGTATGTGGACATTATCAATCACGACATAAAAGACGACGTGCACGAATTGTATAAGTTTTGAAACTCTTAAAGGTGTGTTTGTTTTGGAAGTTTGAATTTTGAATAGTAAAATATTTAAATTAGAATAATTGTATGATATGATATAAATATGCGTTAATACGATATTTTGAATATAAAATTAATTTTTAGTATAATATAAAAAATAAAAAATAGGTGTTTAATTTAATATTTTTGGGAAAAAACTTTCCATTTACATGTTACAAGTAGAATTTTAAATATTGCAATTCATTTTCGGACATATTCAAATTTAAAATTAAATAGAATAATTATGAATGAAAAAAAAAAAAATGTTTAGCGTACATATATTTAATAAATTTTGTTTTAAATGGTATATTAAGTATTTATTTTTTAAAAATTCAAATAATAATTTTAAACTTTTAGAAACCTTTATGTAAATGGAGCATTAATAATTCATTAAAGTTGGAACCGTTCAAAGATTTATTGGCCCAAGATTGCAGTCCACTGAGGGAATCTTTTCCTTTGTATTGTATGGTCACTTTTATAAATATTATTATTATTATTATTATTATTATTATTCTTGTTATATTATTATTATTTTATTTATTCATATTAATAATATTAAAGTATAAACTAAAAATATTTTATTATTTATATATTAATTTTAATTTAATTAAATATATATGTCTCTATTTTTTTCTTTTATCTATTTCACTTTCATTGATACATTTTTATTTTTGTTAAAGTTTACTAAATCTAAATATATTTAATAAATATAAATTAATTTATCTACGTTTAAACTCTTATTTTTTTATAAAATTAATTTATCTTAATTATAAACAAATAAATAATTTTTATATTATTTAAAATTTTACTATCTACAAAATGATACTCCCTCCGTCCCATTGAAAGGTTAACATTTTCCATTTTCATTCGTTCCAAAACATGGTTTTCATTTTCTAATTTAGTAATTGTATTACCTACTTAACGTAATAAATACCCTTTCAACTTACAATATATTACATAAATGTCATTATTTTTATATTACACCTTACTCATAGGGGTATTTTTGTCTTTTTATTACAATACAATATAATACTAATATTCAAAAATCTACGTGCAAAAAGCAAACGCCACCCTTCCAACGGAACGAGGGGAGTATATATATTTCATGTATTTTATTGAAATATGGTATTTAGAATATTTAAACACATATTTCAAAAAATTTTAAATTAGATATATTAATTATTGTTCTAGAATTATTATCAATATTACTCGTATAAAAAATATAACAAAATAATATTATAATTTACTATTATTAACTAATTAAACCATTTTCCCTTATATAATGTCTCCTAAATGAATTGAACCAATCTGGGAGTATTATATAATATAAAAAAAATTAATATTTTATTTAAAATTGTTTATTACTTTGATTTATTCTTTATGTATGTGTATATTTATAATATTTACAGGAAATCGAATTTAGGCTTTATTCTTTCAATTTTATAATTTTATATATTTTTTCAAAAAACTTAATACTCTAAGTACATTCATTAGTTTTATACTTCATCTATTTGCCTCTAAGGGTCATATTTATCTTTTGCGTCATTGTATTTAATATTAAAAATATTTTTATATTTGTATAATTTTTTGTACAAATGTCATTCTATTAGCATTATAAGATACTAATAGAAGTATTATTACAATTTTTTTTTTATTTGTACTACGTTTTGATATAATAATTAATATTCAAATATCAACACGCAACAAGTAAATGAAACTCTTAAAATCGAATGGGATAATATACTTATACAATTTTTTATACTTTATATAATTTTTTTTCCCAACAATTTCACAGAACAAAAACACCATATTTTTTTGTTGGACCAGCTTATTTTTACATGCATTAATTTATCAAAGTGTTACTGTTAAACTAAATGAGAATGCATTTGACTAAAAATATGTATTTTAAATAATATTTCATATTAATTTTATTTCAAATAATTATTTCATATTAATTTTAATTCTTATTTTACACACTAAATATATTGAATTGGCCAAAATATTCTGAAGAAGTAAAAAATAAAAAAATAATCGTACCATTAGTTCTTAATTTTTTTGTTATTCTAATTAAATGATTTGGAATTAAACACCAAAAAGAAAGATTCTATTTATATATAGTATATATTTTTTGAAATGCTTTATATTATTCATTTCATCGATCGTAAATAACTAAATATATATATATATTATTACAAACTATCATATAAAAAAAAATCCTATTTATTTATTAAAATTTAAAAAATCACATAATTGGAATTACACGTTAGCATAATTGGAAAAGATAAATTTACATTAGTGGTCATCGTACTGCACAATCTCGACTACTACTTATCGATATGTAATAAAATCATCACGTGACCGACACGTGCTAAAATTTGAATAATTTCTGCCCATTTTCATGCACATCAAAATTATTTGGCCTTCTGTTTTATTGTCCTGTTCCAGAAACTTAATTTACTAATAATATTAATTAATCAATTAATTAATTATGCAAGAGAAAGAACGAGTGCGGTGGGGAGCACGCACGCCCACCTTGTGCCGCCACGAGCACGTGCCCACAACGCCACACGTCTTTCGCCACGTGTCCTCTACCGATAATAAAAAAGTACACGTAAGCAAAATAAAAATATCACAGCATAACAAAAAAAATAATAGAAGAAGTAATTATAAATTAGTAAGTGGACCCTATCTAACATAAATAAAATTAAATATTTTGTTCGAATTAGTTAGTAATTGTACGAAATTCTCGTTCCTAATATTATCTGGATGAGTAAACATTCCATAATCCCTTGTAAATAACAAGTGTGCTATTCAAGGTCCAGGACTCGGAGGTTCAGGACCTGGCTGGACTCAAACTCATATAATCAATTTCGGGGTTTTTTTTTATTTTTTATTTTGAGAAAAATTGGTTCGAAGTTGGTATTAAAATAATATTTAATGAGACGTTTTGCGAGATAAAAACATATATATTTTTTTTAAAAATGCAAAAGTTCAAATAGTAAAATTTAGAACAATTGTATTAAAGAAATATACCTTTAATTGTTATCACGGTTAGTATTATTTAATTAATTTATTTTCTTTAAAGGAATATTTTAACTATATATATATATTAAATATTATATTCATCTAAAATATTATTTTAAAAAAAAAATTGTGTAAAAAATTAAAAAAAAAAAAAACATACTGGCCTTTCAACACAATTGTCAACGCATTGTTTTGTTTGTGATGTGAAATGCAATTATGTTATCTTCTATTGTTATGTGATAACCAAGAAAATTGCTACAATGAGTAACTCCCCCCAATAACATATAAAGATAAATAGTATAATATTTATTTTAATATAAATGTATAAAAGACTTATATTTTATTATTATACCAAGTTTCTTTATATTAAATTAAGATACACAAAATACTTTATTTGTTAAAAATTGATACTATTTGATTATATATATATATTTAATTATACAAATTTTATACATGTAAAAATAGTTAAATGTTTTAAATTTTTTTATTTAAATAAATAAATAATAGATTCTTTATTTAAAAAAAATGAAGTAAAAGAATTATTGATAGATCATTATTTTATTAAAAAAAATATTAATATTTTATGCTTTTACTCTTCACTTTTGTATACTTTAATTTCCAATAAGGATTTCAGACAATAAATTTGGAGTGTGTTTGTTTAGAATATCTGTAAGGATTTTAATTATTTATAAAAAATAATTAAAAATATCAGATCAAATATTTATTTTTAATTATTTTATTATATTAAAAATTAATTTTATATTTAAAATATTAAATTAAACATTTATTTATGTCACGTTATACAATTTCCAAAATTTTAATTCAAAATCTAAATTCCCAAACAATCAAACAACCCCCATTATTTATCCAAAAGAAAAATAAAAATGACGTAAGAAATTTCGTGGAAATTACGTTCGGTGGCGTTCGAATATAAGGGATTCGATTCTCGGTTCCCCGTCTCCCCCAATTCGCTCCCACACTCACTCTGTTTCGATTTCCTCCATTTCAAACAACCAATCAACCCAATCTGAGTTTCCGAAATGCCGCCGCTCACGGAGGACCACCGCCACCGGTTGCTGGAGGCGCGTGAGGACGACGAGGGGGAAAAGGAAGAGCGAGCGTATGATTCGACGGAAAAGGTCCACATCGTGGGCGTCGACGAGGATTCCGACGACTACGCGACGGAGGCGCCGCCGTTCTCGTGGCGGAAGCTCTGGCTGTTCACAGGGCCAGGGTTTCTTATGAGCATAGCGTTTCTGGATCCGGGCAATTTGGAGGGCGATCTTCAGGCCGGCGCCATCGCCGGCTACTCTCTGCTCTGGCTGCTTCTGTGGGCGACGGCGATGGGGCTTCTGGTGCAGCTCCTCTCGGCGCGTCTGGGGGTGGCAACGGGGCGCCACCTGGCGGAGCTCTGCCGCGAGGAGTACCCGAATTGGGCGAGGATGTTGCTGTGGGCCATGGCTGAGGTTGCCCTAATCGGCGCCGATATTCAGGAGGTCATCGGAAGTGCCATTGCTATTAAGATACTCAGCCATGGAGTTCTTCCTCTATGGGCTGGAGTTGTCATTACAGCACTTGATTGGTAAAAAATGACAGTCGGATTTTCGTTACAGCTTTGCATTTTTTCGATTGTTTTGGTTGGGGATTTTTCTGAATGTTTTGGTTGATTTCAGTTTCATCTTCTTGTTTCTGGAGAATTATGGCGTGAGGAAACTGGAGGCACTCTTTGCTGTGTTGATTGCTACAATGGCAGTGGCTTTTGCTTGGATGTTTGGGGAGACGAAGCCGAGCGGCGCCGAGCTTTTGATCGGTGAGCAATCGAATCGAATAATTGAATAATCGAGCTAGGATTTTATTTGATGATGTGAATTTGGTGTTCTTGTAGGTGTTTTGGTTCCGAAGCTCAGCTCGAAGACGATAAAACAGGCTGTAGGAGTGGTAGGGTGCATTATAATGCCACACAATGTGTTCCTACACTCGGCTCTCGTGCAATCCCGGGACGTTAACAACAAGAAGATCGGCCGCGTACGAGAGGCTATTACCTACTACTCGATAGAGTCAGGGGTGGCGCTTGCCATTTCGTTCGTGATAAACTTGTTCGTCACGACTGTTTTTGCGAAAGCGTTCTATGGCACCGAGCAGGCGAAGAGCATAGGCCTGATCAACGCGGGGCAGTTCCTCGAAGAAAAGTACGGTGGAGGGCTGCTCCCGATATTGTACATTTGGGCGATTGGGTTGTTGGCGGCCGGACAGAGCAGTACAATCACGGGCACTTATGCCGGCCAGTTTATCATGGGAGGGTTTCTCGACCTGAGGTTGAAGAAATGGCTGAGGGCATTGATAACCAGGAGCTTTGCGATTATCCCGACTCTCATGGTCGCGCTTGTTTTTGATACGTCCGAGGGGTCGTTGGATGTTCTGAACGAATGGCTTAATGTTCTGCAGTCGATACAGATCCCGTTTGCGTTGGTTCCTCTTCTTTACCTGGTGTCGAAGAGTGAGGTCATGGGGGTCTTCAAGATTGGCCCGGTGCTTCAGGTAGTTTGGATTCTCCGAACATTTTCCTTTCGGGCATTCATTAATTACTGACATTGTGGTCGTTTCTGCTCTGTAGACGGTGTCTTGGATCGTAGCCGTGCTGTTGATCGGAATCAACGGATACCTTATGGTGGATTTCTTCTCGTCTGAAGTCAGCGGCGTGGTGTTTACCGCGGTTATTTTGATTCTCACGGCTGCGTACATATGCTTCGTTGTGTATCTAGTTTTGAGGGGAATCCCGTTCTCCGGGTTGGCTGGCAATGTCCGGACTGCGCTGGGAATCTGAACGATCGAGGGCGTCGTGAAACTACATCTCTAGCAAAATAATGGTATTACAGGGCATTGTTAGAAGGCACCTTGTCTTCGTGGTTGCATTGCACGCCGATGAACAACGAAGAATTCGCGTCCTGTCTTCTTTGGAGAAGTGTTCTTCTGCCTGAGGTATGAACAAATGTATGTAACTAACTGTTAGATATGGGAAGAAGTAAGAAATTAGCTAAGCCATTGTCCTGTTGATTTTGCACTAATCAGTCAGGCTGTGATTCTGTCTAAGAATTGTATTTCATGACAACCTTGAATTATGAAGCATCAGATGTTTTAGCCTAATCTCATGTGGTATTCTTACTTTGTTGCTCAATGTTGTCCAAAATTAATCACTGTTTATACAGTTGCCAAGAGAATTGTCTGTAAACTTACGTATCGCGGCTGTACATTATCAACCACCCATACCGTAAGAAGGTCGAGCCGTGTTCATCTCTTCTCGGCTTGCTTCAGAACCGAGGCGCGAAGAAAGCAAGTTAACCTGGGATTGGATCGATTATATCCGATGATGATTGTTAGAGACATGTAAACGTAGCGAGAACTGAATCATCCTCGATGAAAACATACATACCTTCATGATTTTGGAAACTCGTCGGTTGTAGGCTGCCAAGACGGCCATGTGGAAATGCTGCATCGGTAAAATCGATGAAACTTGGTGTTACATACTTCAATTGTTTTCTGATCGAATTACGATTGTAACGATAAAAACTAACAACGTACTCTGAATGGGTCGCTTCTCAACGATTGCACGAAAACTGAGCTTCCAAGTCCAGTATTCTGAAATAGCAAACAATGTCGATTATAATCGCAAAAGCTTGTAAAGCAAAAGTGTCTCCAAGTTTTTGTTTTCAGAATTACCTTCAACGATATGTCTCTTAGTCTTCTTCCGGTTTGGGCGCAACATATGCGAATGGTTGGTTCTTCGGAGCTTCCACTGATGATATAATCTCTCCCGTTCATGTAGTACGATCGAGTGTAGTTATGAGAGCTTCCCATTGATACGATTCCAAAATCCGTGTGAAGCCTCCCGTCTGCTGCGTGAAGTTGCTTCACCTATAAAGCAGTAAAAATATCAGTCACTGTGAAATTCAGAATGATACAGCCTTCCGAGGTTTAAAAATGGCAGATTCAGAACCTCATTATCAACAGCGGAGACTAATAGATAAAGATCATCAGGAGAAAAGACGGCCATCACGTTTCCTCTGGAGCTCGAAGCTGTGTAGCAAGCTTGCATAGGCTTCTGTCTTGAATCCCACATCTTTATGTCCCTGTCGAATGAGGAAGTCACGAAAAGGGCTGGGGAATGATTCGAAAACTTGGCTACATTTATTGGTTCGCGGTGCATATCCTCGAACATATGCAGTTGTTGGCCTGTGCAGATATCATATATGGCAACTTTCTTGGAGTAACCACTGGTTAGACATTGATCCTCGGTTGCATTGACATGGACTGAGGTTAGCTGCTCGAAATCATCGAAGATCACAGTAGAGTGGCAGCAGTAGTCATCTTCAAATTTTGACTCGAACCTATTGATGTCGTACAATCTCAAAGAACCATTGTCGGAGCCCACCAGCAGCTAGATAGCATAATCTAGTAAAATCAGTTAAGCATCTTCAAAACTATGGATATAAATATATATATATATATATGTATATATTATACATGTAATGATCTATCTAACTATGCAATGGATAGCTTAAACATTGCATACCTTGGAGGGTTGTCGTTTGAGCCAGCACAAGCCGAGAATACCGCTCAGTTCCCACTGAGGGGAAATGCAAGAGAGAATACTTCCTGTTTCATGATTGAGAACTACTACTTCGCCGTCAAGAGTTCCAACAGCCATTAATCCAGAATCTGAGGGGTGATACTCAAATTGTCTCGGTCGAAGCCTCTTTTCTTCCATTGATGCCATCTGATTTTCACAAGTAATGGGATGTATGATTGGCTGCACACACGAGCCAACTTTAGCTGCGCAGAGAGACCTCGTATAGAAGCATTGATTCTTTCTTGCTCCCGCTTCGCGTGAATACAAGATACTAACAATGCTCTCCTTTACTTGACGATTATAAGGTAAGTACTCGTAATACTTCGAGAATACAGTTTTAGCCCTTTCTACATTCCCAATAAAATCATCTGGCCTTTTTGAATGAACTGGTGCTGTGATCATATTCTCCCCACACATCCCCTCAAAGTGCACTTGGCCAGTGATAGAGATAAGATAATTAGAAGGATTAGGGCTAAGAATTTTCAAGTTCCTGAGAAGTATACTTGAAGGTAGCTTGCCTTTCTCTTGAACATCCTAATTATCTACACACGATATGAACGAACAAGGAGTGTAGGAGTCGATGAATAACTGAAAACAGCAAGTCAGAATCACAGCAAAGTTCAGATCATTACAGAAAAAGATGTTCCTTGTCACAAATTCTAGCTCCTATTTGAATGAAACAAAGGGAAACAGCATCTCTTACTCAGATGAATCAGAACTTCTACCCTATTATGCCGACTTAAAATTTTTGGAGAAATTGACAAGCAATTGTACAGAAAGGGACATTAATTGAGCTGAGTAATGGAAAAGGAGAGCAATTGCCCATTCTTCATCCCCACGACTCTAAATCAAACCATGTTCCGTTTAATATACAAAACTCTGATGCCATTAAAATAACAAAATAAAGAAATCAGAAAACCAAACTATGCCCACCTACATCCAGAATTTCTCTTAAAGCATCCAAAACAAGATTAGTACCAACAATTTTCCACTTTGGCGGCTTACTCATCCAAAACTACACCATTCTCATCAGTTGTCAACTATCAGAAAACAGCTTCAAACAGCATCTAAATTCAGTGTTAATTCATCTAATCAATATCTTAATACTTTTGACTACGAGACAAATAGACAATGCATACTTATCGTGTTCTATACTAATTGTATCTCTTCCTTTTTGGTTCACTGTACTGTAGGCTCGCGATCGAGTTCAGAAACTCCTGACTAATAATTCCAACCTGTGTTATTCATCCACCAGCTACCATTCCAAAGAACCTAAGCGCACCAATTAGGCCTATTTTCAGAAGTCTAAGCTAATTCCTCTCACAAACAATTAGACACGTAAACTCTTTGCTGTTTAAGATCGGTTCCATAACAGATGAACCATCATCAACAAACAATCACTAAAAATATCACCACGAAAAAAAAAAAAAAACTCATTGATCATCCAATTCGCATACCTCCACAAAATCAATACATACTTTAGAGAACAGAAAATTAATAACATTAACAGGGTAAAGGATAACAGAGACGAACAAACCTCGTTGCGCTGCAGACAGCATCCAAACAAACCTCCGCCGGAGCTCAAAACACCGATGAAGGGAGAATCGAGTCCAAAAGTTGACGGGCAGGGCAGGGGCAGGGCAGGGCAGGTTATTTGGAAACTAGGAAGGATAAGAACAACGAAAGCTCCCGCCAGGCTGCCCACTGTCTTATATTCTAAATTAATTAACTGATTATTTTATTATTTAATAATTTATTTAGTTGGAGTGTAGTTTTATATTTTTATTTTTTATATTACTATGGAATCACTATTTAAGCAGAAATTTATTTCATTTATTTCATTCAAATCACAATTAAACAAAATCATATATACTCTCCTTGTTATTCAATAGTGTGTCTAAATATTTAGATAAATGTTTTAATAAAGACAATAATTATTATTGTTTACTATTTATAATAAAAACTGCAAAAGAAATAATGTATTTTTTTTTTTAAAAAAAATATTAATAAAATATAATATTTTTATGATAATTAAAAAATAAAATAATATAAATTCGAATCATATAAAATGTTAAGTTTTTTAAAGCCCAATTGGAATGTCGAATATTATTGGGTGGGTGACCACACCCAATAAAAAATAAGCCACAATATTCCCCATACATCAATTTATACAATTATTTTGTCATGTTGGTAGTAGGTCCACAATAATAGTGGGTTTCAATTTAGACGTAAATTTGGGTATTTTTTTGAGTTTGGTTTAAAATGTTTTTTTTTTTTTTTTTTTTTTTTTTTTTTTTTTTTTTTATGTTAAGGCCATCTCCAACCCTCCACTTCGTTGTTATAGTAAAAATGCAGATGATCTACATTAATTTTACTCCTAAAAAGTATATTCCCTACAGATTCCTCTTTTATATTATTTTATATAACTTTTCATATTTATAAATTACACCCCAACTTTAATTTATTTTTACATTATATCTATACACATATAATTTATAAATTATTTAAAAATTACATATATAAAAATTAACATTTATAATTAATAACTATTACAAATAAAATAATTTTAAATAAATAATTAAATGCTATCAAGACAATATGATCATAATAATTAAACATAACTTTTTACAAAGTAAAATTACAAGTTAATTTAAAAAATAAAATTACATATCACTTTTAAAAAATAAAAATTATATCACTTTTCAAATAGTAAAATTATATATCAATTTAAAAAATAAAATTATCTACTACTTTCCAAAAACTAAAATTATATTACTTTTAAAAAATAAAATTATACATTATTTTTCAAAATAAAATAAAATTACATACAACTTTTTAAAATAATAGTTTATGCAGTGGGTTGGAGATGGTCATAGTCTTGTCTAAATAATAGTTTAATATAAACTTCTTCTTTTTTTAATATGAAATAATATATTTTATTATGAACAATAACAAATGAATAATATTAATTTTAATTTAAAATATAATTCAACACCTATATTTATATAATAATAATAATAAAAGTAGAATAATTTTACGATGCTACAACTATCCATAACAATAATAAAATTGCTTAAGAACATATGTAATTAGTAAAATAGGATAATATATATTGATTTGAGATATTTTTTAAATAAAATATAATAAATCATGTTAGTTATGTAAAAATAATAGTATATTATTCTAAATAGTAATCTCTTGTAAAATGATGAAATATATATATTATATATATTAAAAATAATGTCGAAATAAAAAATAATTTGGCAAACAAGTTACTATAAAAATTAGTACTATATGATAAAAAAGTAAAACTAAATTACAAGGACAGAGTCATATAAGTATTATTTATTAATGATATTAACAATCAGCATTATATATCTTGGGGTAAATTTCAATAATCTTGATAGGGTTGGTATACAAAATTTTTAAAATTTGGTCTCTATATAAAATTATAGATAAAACAATTTTAATAAATCTGCTAACGTGTATCTAAAAAAAAATCAAATTAATACAAAATAAGTAGGTGTTACTATCCAAATAATTTGATAAATTCCATCTATACATCATTATAGATTATCGTGTTTCAATTAAATCCATTATATTTTCTTATAACTATGGGAACAAAATTTGTATAGATGGAGTATAGTGTGTTCACTTTGACTTTGTTCACTTAGGGTGTGTTGGTTTTGGGATTTGATTTTAAATATACTGTTCATTTCATTTTTTCTTCTCTCAAAAACATCAAATCAAATCCATATCACATCAACGACGCCTATTTATATCACATCATATAATTATTCAAATTCAAAATTTTTACTATTCAAATCCGAACTCAAAATCCAAACCCCAAACAAACACACCCTTATGGTATATATTTTTTAATGAATATATATATTTATGTTAAATATTGAGTAATTAGTTATATTGATAATATTAAAATAATATTTTGTATTAAATCATTGAATTTATATGACTGAGTGTGAATATGTCTACATCGTATTATTTGAATAATATTTATGAGACATCGTTCAATTTAAAAATAATAAACACACCTTTTTGTATTGATTTAAATTTTTATTTAAATATTATTTAATATATTTTGTTTTATAGAAAAAAAATGAAGGTAGTATAATTTTATTAAAAATCCTGTGAATGTATTTGAATAACAAACCCTAGTGTTATAATTTATAAATTATTGAATATCTAGTTTTTTATTATTATTTTATTGAAAATTCATATTGATGACATTATTTTTTGAAAATTTAAAGTTAACGTCTCAATATTTTTTATTTTTTTTTCAGATTTTAATTAATTAATTAAACATATCTTTATTAGTCGATTGAGGGAGGATAGAAGAGAAAATAAAAAGAAAACGAGGGGCCTGAAAGTCCATTCAAGTGGGGCATATAGTACAATATTTATAGGTTTAGGGTTTCATTGTGCCTATCCTGCCAATTTCTGGATTCGATTCTCCCTTCTCTTCACCGGTTGTTTGAGCTCCGGCGGAGGTTTGTCTGCTGCGCTTCAAGGTTTGCTTCTCTCTGTTATCCTTTGGCCTGTTAATGTTGTTAATTTTCTTTTCCTCTCGAGTATGTATTGATTTTGTGGAGGTATGCGAATTCGAGGATCAGTGAGTTCTTTTCTTATTCGTGGTGATATTTGTAATGGTTGTTTGATGATGATGGTTCATCTGTTATCGAATCTTGATCCTAAGCGAAGAGTTTACTGTGAGTTTTTTTAGAGGAATTAGCTTACACTTCTGAAAATAGGTCTAATCGGTGCGCTTAGGTTTTTTTTTTTCTTGGAATGGTAACTGGTGAATGAATAATACAGATCGGAACGTTTAGTCTGGAATTGCTGAACTTGCGAACCTACAGTGCAATGAACCAAAAAGGGAGAGACACAATTAGAATAGAAAACGAAAAATATGCATTGTCTTGTAGTCAAAGTATTAAGATAATGATTAAATGAATTGACACTGAATTTGGGGTGCTGGGTGAAGCTGCTGTTTTCTAATAGTTGACAATTGATGAGGATGGTGTAATTTTGGATGAGTAACCCGGCAAAGTGGAAAATTGATGGTACTAATCTTGTTTTGGATGCTTTAAGAGAATTAGTCATGTAGGTGGCCATAGTTTTGTTTCTGATTTCTTTATTCTGTTATTTTAATGGCATCAGAGTTTTGTATATTATATGTAACATGGTTTGGTTTAGAGTAGCGGGGATGAAGAATGGGCAATTGCTGCCCTTTTCAAATTTCAACATGCTGGAAGGCAATAAATTCAATTGTTGATATTGTCAAAATTATGGACTGTAGACTGCATTTTCTTTCTCAATAGTCAATACTAAGAGAAAATAGAGTGGGAGCATTATAGAGGGCTTCTCACATGAATGGAGGCGTTGTTTGTCAAGGCTATTTAAAATTTTCATACAATGGCTCATTTATAGAGGGAAAAACTAGAGGCACCAGCGACTTGGCCTCGTGCAGTTTCAACCACTGTGCATGCTTTAAGCTCAATTAATTTCCCTTTCTTTACAATTGCTTGTCAATTTCTCCAAAAATTATAAGTTGGCATAATAGGGTAGAAGTTCTTGCTTCTGATATAATTTAACAAATTCTGTCATTTGAGTAAGATGCAGTTTCAATTTGTTTCATTCAATTAGGAACTAGAATTTGTGGTAAGGTAACAGCTTTTTCTACAATGATCTGAACTTTGCTGGTGATTCTGACTTGGTGTTTCCAGTTATTTATTGAGTATTTTGTTGTCTTCTCTATTTAGATATTTTGTATAGCCTTATTGAGTAGGAAATTCTTTCTACTCAAGAGTAACATGGCTAAAGACGACGAAGAAAGCCGAGTGCATCCAGATTGCAGAAATGCCTCAAATCCATTTCATGAATGTAGTGAATATTGCTTCAAGATTATTGCTGAAACAAAGAAGACAATCAATAAAAGTGGCACAGGTTTGTTTTTGATTGATATCTTTAATTACACTTTTTCAACATTACATTGATATAAAAAGAAGGGTGAGTAAACCATAGTTAAATAATTTTGATGAGACGTGTATTTCAAATTAAATTATTGTTTTTCCCTCGATTACTCTAGAATTGAATGCTAGTGATGTTGTGGCACATCAAAATATGGTGGCTTCTCCCAATCATCATAACAATGAGGATGATGGGACTGAAATATCCAACGAGCATTCTGATAATGAGGATGGCATGGATGGTGATGCCGCTGCGGCAGAGAATTCTCATAATCTTACAGGGAGGCAAAAGAAGTTATTTGAGTTGAGATTGAAGATGGTAAGATTCTCGTATTTTAAATCCAGTACAAAAGTCTCATTTCTATTGCCATGCATGTGGTACAAGCATATAGCAGTAGATTTCATAATGCGATAATCTGACAATAATTATTATATATCTCTTATCATCATGTAGAATGAGGCTAGAAAGGCTAATCAAACTGCCATGGTTGCTGAGAAGAAAAAACTAGAGGGTCCCGGGGAATCTAGAGGAGTTTCTAAGCAAAAATGGCTGGAGGAGAGAAAGAAAAAAATTGGAAAGCTTCTAGACGCCAATGGCTTAGACATGAGCAAGGCATATATGCTTGATACCGAGCAGATGGCAGAGGCAAAGTATAAGAAATGGGAGAAAGAACCAGCTCCTGAAGGTTGGGATGGTAAGTACCCGATAGTTTCTATTACAACCTTACTTCTATTAACACTGTTTCTATAGTCGGTAACTTGTATCCCATGATCAGTTTTCAATCAAAGGACGTTATACAATGCATACAAGAAAAGAACAAAGAACATTGAGGTCGATCTTGACGAGTACAACCGAATGAAAGCTGTGGATCCAGAATTCTATAGAGAGGCTTCGAGTCTTCAATATGGAAAAGTAAGCACTAGCTAGGATGATCGGGGTGACAAATATATATATATATATATATTGTTAAGCTTTAATTGTCATTGTAAAAACTGTTTCTTGGGCAGGCACCAAAGATCTCGGAGGAGAAGATTGATAGAATGGTGAAGGAGCTGAAGGACAGGGAGGAGAAGTCTAGGGCCTTCAGTAGGAGGAGGAAATTCCGTGAAGAAAAAGACATCGACTCGATCAACGATCGCAATGAACATTTCAATAAGAAGATTGAGAGAGCCTTTGGGAAATACACTTTGGAGATCAAGAACAACCTCGAGAGAGGGACTGCCTTGCCTGATTGATTAAGGTGCCTATACTTATCCTCCTATATTGTGTCTTTGTATTTTATTTTATTTTATTTTATTTTTAAATAGGTGTTTACCTGATATTTTGTATGTTTGAATTTGTAGGCTGCAATTAATTGGATCTGCATGAGCTTTTGATGTGTTACTTACTAGCATTTACTTGGAAGATGTATAATATGGTTTTGTATGTGTTTTTAATGTTCATTTCATATATATATATATGTATAGATGATGATTAATACCTTGTTTGGTTTGGTTTTGTCCAGATTAGCATCTATGGTAGCAATTTTTGTTAGTTTGGGACTAAAATTGATTAAAATAGTTTATATTGGGATTAAAATTGACAATGAATTTTTTATATTAAGACTAAAATATAATTCATTTTAATTCAATCTAAATTATATGTAATTTATAGAAAATAATATATATTTTATCAAATTAATACATTTTTTTTTCTACAATTATTCTTTAACACACTTCCTTTAGAGTCTCTATATAAATTTTTATTATTTGAAGTATACATTTTGTAAAACTATATATTTTTTTAATACAATATGATATAAAATATTATTTGAATAAAAAAACTAAACTTCCAAAATCAATCAAATAAAAAGAGGAGATATTAAACTCTAGGAGAAGAAGACCCAATTACGTTGGCACGCCGGCCTTTATTAGTTTATGTACTATTTATTTTGGTATTATTCAGTTGCATTAATAAAAAATTATTTATTCCCACATGAAAGTTACAAATCCAATTGGCAATTTTATTTAGACGTCCATATTGTTGTTATTATTATTGTGACGTCCCCTCATTTGGGCATAATTAGACCCATTCATTAAAGTTTACTGGCGTCGCCTATATTTATTTTAATTGCAATTTGCATATAAGAAAATTCGATTAATGGTATCAAAAATATAATTTATATACTCACGCAGTTAATATATAATATACATGATTATACTAAAAAATATATTTTTAATATATTTATATATTAGAAACTCGTTTTTTTGTTTCTTCTTAAATATCATTTATAAGTAATTAATATATTGATGGAATCTAATTCGAATCTTGTTAGACCTTGGACTTGATCTTGACCTTATTAAGGTATATAAAACTCGACTCATTTTTGGGTCGTAACCTAATTCTAAGTAAATAGGTGAATTCGGGTCAAATTTTGGTTCTGTCCGGATCCATTGTCATTTTTTTTTTAGGGGGGAGGGGTTTAATGAAATAATTATTCACTATTTAATTAAGTAAAAGTGTTTATTTATATATTGTATGCTTTAAACAGAATTTTTTTTTTAGTTTTAAACTTTTCTAAATAGTAAAATAATTAGTATTTAAACTGTCTTTTAAATATAAATTCGGAATTATTTATAATACTAAGAGGATGTTTGGTATATTAGTTTTTTTAAAAACTTTTTGGACCAAAAAGCTAATTTTTGAAAAGTTCTATCTACTCAGCGTTTTGAAATAACTTTTTCATTTTAATTTTGATTATTCCTTATTTACCCTTAAAACTTAATTATTTATTTTATACATACAAATATATTTTTATAGCAGTATTTATTAATCATTTTTAATATATTTAATTTATTAATTTATATTGTTATTTTTGTAAATTTAAAATAATTACTATTATTAATTATTACATATAAATTATTTTATTTATAAAATATATAAATTTACAAAAATTAAATCAATAAAAAAAAGTTATTAATTTATTTATATACTTCCTCCGTCTCTTACCAATCTATCCAATTTTTCATTTTGGTCTGTCTCATGACAAAGTATCCGTTTCCTTTTTTTAGTAATTTACAATATATTACACAAATGTCATTACCTTTATATCACACAATACTAATAGGGTTAATTTAGCCTTTTTACTTTTATTTCTACTTTATCCCAATATAATACTAATATTTCTAAAACTCCGTGAAAAAGCAAATTGATATATAGAATAGGAACGGAGGGAGTATATTAAAACAATAATTAACATAATAAAAATATATATTATTTTATATTTTACATAATTTCAATTAAAAAATTATTAATTTTAATAAAAAAAATTCAAATCTAAATAATAAAAATAAAAAAAAAATTATAATATTTTTATAATTTTCAATAATTAATAACAAAATTTTTCATAAATTTCAAATTAAAATAAACAAAATTAAATATTTTAAAAAATAACGTATCAATGTCCTTAATAGTCATTTTATATATAAACAGCTAATATCAAACAGTTATTTTATCAAATATTTTAATACAAATCACTAATTGAATCAGCTAAAAACTAATAGTTAATTGAGAAACGCATCCTAAATATAGCAAGGGTTATGCTTACTAAAAATAAAATGGCAAAACATATTATAATTTTAATATTTTTATTTATTTATTAAATGCTTTTATAAATGATTTTGTATTATATTATTTTAAATAACAATTAACAATTAAAATTTTACTAAACAAATTCGAAAATTGAAATAACACTCCATTACATCTCACCAGCCAACAATTTGTACAAACAATATTACACCCAAATTTAATTAGATAAAAAAAGCAAACTCTAGAAGCACAAATAAATAAAACCCAACCAACAACAATTAATATATATATTTTTTTAAAAAAAACAATAATTAATATATTAATTAATTACTAATCAGGCAGCTGCAATGTCGTACCGTATATGCCTGAGCAGTATCGGGACGACGACGTCCGGCGAGCTGAGCTGCGGCAGATGTCCGTCGGTCGACATGACCTCGACGATCGACGCGGCGCCGAGGTGCTGATGGAGATACTCCGACACCACCACCGGCACCGCCAGGTCCTTGACGCTCTGGATGATGTGGCACGGCACGGTGACGTGGCGCAGCAGCGGCCGTACATCGCTATAGAAGATTGTCTGAGCCACGCTGAGCGCTATGTCCGGCCGCATGTTGAACAGCGTCCGGCTGAACTCCTGCACCGCCACCGACTCCATGTCGCCGCCGACCGCCAGCGGGGCGAAGCCGGCGCACCACGCCTTGTAATTAGACCTCATCGCTTCGAACAGCTCCAGAAGCTCCTCCTGCTCGAAACCCCCAAAATACTCCGGATCATTCAAATACCTGTCCGAAAATCATCACAGAAATCAAATCGAGGTACGATTTCGAGGAATTTGAGATTAATTGATTGATTGATTTAATTGACCTCGGAGAGGCTGAGATTGTGAGGATTTTGGTGAAGAGGTCGGGTCGGGAGATGGAGGCGAGGAGGCCGACCATGGCGGAGACGGAGTGGCCGACGTAGATGCAGTTGGGGACACGGAGGTCGTCGAGGATGGCGATGACGTCACAGGCGTAGCCGTCGAGGGAGGCGTAGCGGTCGAAGTCGAAGTAGTCGGGGTTGGTGGTGCCGGCGCCCATGTTGTCGTAGAGGACGACCTTGTACTGGTCGACGAGGTGCGGGACCAGGTGCTTCCACACCGACTGGTCCGTGCCGAACCCGTGGGCCAGGACTACGGTTTGCTGGCCCGACCCGACGACCCGGATGTTGTGGGCTTCTTCTACCACTCCCATGGTCCGTTGTTTGGTTGTGTTTTTATATTTTATTTAAAAATATAATTTCTGTAATTTGGGGGGAGTTGACGGGAAATTGATGAAGGAAGGGGTATTGGTATTTGTAGGCGGAATGGAATGGGAAAGTTGGAAGTGATGAGAGAGAGCCACATGTGTTTGGATAGGCAAACAGACAATAGTGTGTGTGTGTGTGTGTGTGTTGGATGTTTATTTATTCATTTATTTGTCTAATTGCTTCCAATTTGGATTGGATGGACTCGTTATTATATTTTTTTTAACGTATGTGCTTGCTTTGCTTTGACTCTATTTTGTTGGATTTTGATTTTTTATTTTTTGTGAATATTACTTTAAATTCAATATTTTTATATAAAAAAAATATCTTGTTCCCTTGAATCAATTTATTGCTCCAAACTTTTACATATTATTATTAAGTATAGTACAAAAATATCTTTGCAAGTAAAATTGTATATTTATTCTATTTTACTACTATGTATATACATAATACTCCATTAGTTCCGAGTCGAATGATCTATTAGGTTAGAGACAAAGTATTTTAAATAATACTTCCTATGTCCCATCACATATTACTTTTTCTTTTTTTTTTTCTCTGTCCTATTAAATATACTTTTTTATTTTTTATAAATTTATCAATGTTAAATATATTAAATAAATATAAATTAATTTAATTATAAAAATCATTTAAAATTATTTTTATTTTTATTTTTCTCCTCAATTAATAAATATTTTAATTTTTTTTAATTTTTTTTATTATTATTTTTTATAAAACTAGTTTATGATAATAAATAAATAAATAAATATCTTTTTTATTTATTTGTATTATATAAAATTTTATTCAATAAAATAATATTCATATGATATATATTTTATTAAGATATAATATTAAAAATATTTAAATATATATTTTTTTTAAAAATTACTCATTAAATAACTTATCTATAACGTAAATTCTTATGCCCAAACAAAAAGCTCCATCCTTGCCTCAATGGATGAAGTATAATTAGTAAATTATTATTAATTTATGAATTATGATATTATTTTATTATTTTTTATATAAGTAGTATGGTTGGTGTTTTAAATATCTTTAACATTATATTCAATAAAATATATATAATATGAACCTCATTTTGTAAATAATAAAATTTTATATAATACAAATAAATAAAAAAATATATTTATTTATTTATAATTAACTTAAAACTAATTTTATAAAAAAATTAATATATTATAATATTTATATTACATACACAAAATCTTCTATTATCTCATATAAAAATATATTTTTAGAAACTATATCATAAAACAAAGACCTCTCAAAGTTGCAAAATATACAGTAATACAGCATATGCTAATTTCTTCTTTAAGATATTTAAAATTAAGTTTTAAGATTTATTTAATTTGAAATTTTTAAAAATATAAAATTGCTATTGAAAACCTTTATAATATACTATGTTTAATCAAAGTATAATAAGAGTATTTTAAATATAAATAAAATAATTATTTATTATATAGTTAAATACATCATGATATATACGAAAACAAATATGAAAATACAAAAGAAAAATAAATAAAATATTAATGCGTGATAGATGAAGGCTAACTACCCATAGTTGCACCCGTACCACATGCTACGGCGTCGTTTTAACATTTTTGGACTATATGTTGTCGCTTTTTGAGGATGTGTTAATGTCAAGTCATTGTCTTGGGTGGGAAATGGTCTGTTTCTCTTTTATGGAATTCTGAAATTTTTTATTTGTATTTAACATTAACTATAATGAGATATATATATATATATATTTTTTAAAAAAATAAATATATATATAATATATATTTATATACAATTATATTAGATGGGACATTGGGCTTGGGCTGCAATGGGCTGAAGATCCCCTCCCTCTACTTACTTTTATTTGTTTATACTGTATGATTTAATCACAATTTTTTTTTTAAAGTAAAATATTTAAATTTTTAATAATTGAATACTTAATTTTATATTTTTTAAAAATTATTCAAAACCTCAAAACTATATTATATTGTTTGGTTTGTATTGGGATTGAGTTATAATTTATACATAATATCTTTTTACATAAAAATAATATTTCTATTTTTTGTCACAACTGAAAATATTTATTTTACTATTTTTATATGTTCTATTAAAAAATATTTATTTTTTAATTATAGTAATAGTATTCAGCATTAATACAAAAATATTATTTAATTTTTACACAAATTAAAAATATACTATTATATATACAATTACTTTATACGAGAGTACAAATAGTAAAACTGTCAAATAATCTTATTATACATTTCACCTAATTAATAATATATTAGTATTTATTAATATACTATAAAACTCTAAATGACCATTTGAATTGAATAGTTGTAGTGATATAAATAGGTATTAATATTATATTTTGAATGTAAAATTAATTTTTAGTATAATATAAAAAATAAAAAATAAATATTTAAATTTTTTTTAAAAAATAATAATAATAATAAATTTAAAATCCAATCGAACAAACACACCCTGGTTAATGGAGCCTCAATTACTCAAATTTCTAAACAAGTTCGAGTGTAATATCCGGATACATCGAATCGGGACAAAATTAATAAATATTAATATATATATATATATAGTAGTTGGAAAAAGGATCCAAATCGATTTGCAAACTGATGAGATTATGGCAACTGTGATATCTCCAAGTTCCAAATTATAATAATACTAATGTCAGAATTCCAACTAGGTAACTCCGTTAGCTTAGATGGAAATTGAAATTTGAAATTAATAAAAATAAATAAATTATATATATAAATGATTAATACAAAATATTGACAAATTGTTTTGTGTCGAATAAAATTATTCAATACAGTACTGATAACATCGTAAATATTGATTAACAACACATAATATATAAATCAATAATATAAATAAATGCTTCATCTACAGTACCAAATTATTTTTAAATAGAAAAATGATTTAATTTAATTTAATTTATTTTTTTCCATTTTTTGAGAGTAAAAAAATAGTAAAACTCTCTTTTAAAAAAACAATAAAATAAAAACTCGAGCCAAACATGTAAAAAAAATAAAATAATATTTGATGATTATTTTTAAAGTAAAGTCATAATATCTTTTTAAAATACTTGCACTATAGTTTGTATTTCTATAAAATTTTCAAAAATTTAAAAAATTAGCCCCTCCCTTCACTGCTTCAATATATATTAATTCCACAAAACTTTACCATTATAAAAGTTTCAATTATACTTTTATTTTTTACTTAATCAAAGTATAAAAGGAATACTCTCTCAATCATCCAATTGTGTACTCATTTGATCGGACACGGATTGTAAGAAAAATATGTAAAAAATATAAATTTTTTTTTACTAAAAAAAAAACGACAATAAATTTGGATGACAACTAAAAAAAAAAGAACAGTGAGAATAAATTTGAATGAGAGAGTACTAAAATATATGTTTTTTAAATAAAAAATTGTGCCAAAAAATTGTTTTAACGGACAGAAAAAGTATTATATATCTATTTGATATATGTTTGATTAAAGTTAATTAGTACTGTATTGAATAGCTTAATGATATTCTTATTAGGTGATTCGCCAGCATGCACGAATCCATTAAAACGAATTATTAACACTATTTTTTTTTTTAAAATAAAAATAAAAAAATAAAATAAATAATATAATAAAAATTGGATAATATCTTGAGAAATGATTCAGGGGACCATATTGAGATACGCTATGAATATTCACTCCTACTTATTAATAAAATTCGCCTCTCTCGAATACGTTAATAAATAAATAAATAAATTGATGGATTTTAATTATATCGTATTTAAAATAATATGTGTATGTGCGTTTATGATAGATATATATATATATATTTAATTAATTAATTATATTATGTGTGATCTTTATTGTGATCGAAAAGTTGATATCAAAGATGATTTTGTGGAGGATTAGTGAAATGTAAGAGGAGACCACCCGGATCTGTCGGATTTTGTTAGGGTATTGATTTAAATTAATAGCATTGCACAGACAACACATAATATATATATATATTGTCTCAACACATGATTTTATTTTAATAAATGTAGCGTTGATTCTTATAATGCTGTCAAATTATATTTTAAAAATATGCTATTTTTAGACATTATATTTATATTATATTAATATACATCCTATATTGTCTGCTTTATACTTTATGTGCTGATCTATTATATTCAATGTGTTATCAGAACTATAAGAATTGATACTTTATGGGAGTATTTGACTAGTTGTTTCTAAATTTAATATTTCAAATAAAAAAATAATATTATATTTTAAAAATATTAAAACAGTTTTAAAGGCTTTCAAGAATAATGATAAATAAATAAATAAAAAATGAATAGTAATTTTTTAAAAAAATTTACACTCTTTTGGCATGTTTTGTCAAACTTGTTTAGATATTTTTAAAAATTACTATTGAAAATCCAAGAAAATTGTTAAATCGATTTTCCATGACTTATATTAAAAAATACTCTCTCCGTTTCAATACAATAGTCCTATTTATTATTTTTTTCCGTCCCAAAATAATAATCATATTTTCATAAATAATTATATCACTATAAAACGACCCTTACTTTTCCATTATTATTATACAATTGCCACTACTTTTTCAATTAATATACTCAATGGCAAAAAAATCTTTTACCCACTACCAATATAATATCAATATTCCTTAAATTTCGTATCAAATACAATCCAAATTATAATTCTGGACAGAGGAAGTACCAATCTATATTAAAATCATTTATATATATAAAAAAAATATATATATAAAAAATTATAAAACCGCAATTTTACACATTATTTTTAGCAGTGATAGTGTCAAAGTTATTTGAGATATTCAAAATGATGTAGCCCAACAACTACCCATCCAAGACCCATATGGAAAAGCCTATTTGTGATATAATAACTCAAGCCCACTAAACATAAATAAATAAATACATATTGTTAATAATCTCTAATTCAAATGTTAGATACTTTATTAAAATTTTTAAAGTAGATATAACGTAGACATTAAATATTACTAGATATTTTGAAACTAAATAAAATAAGTTATACAATTCAAATTTTCGTATTTCCAAATTTTAATGTATGATACCAAACGTAATTGTATAATTAAAAACTTTAATATAATACCATCTTTCATCATTTAATTTTGTAGCTACTTTTAAAATAAATAAATATTAGTATTCGTCAAGATGAATGAATACTCAATTTAAAATATCATAAATATATTTTTACTAATATATTGTTTGTTAATATACGTTATTTTATTTTATTTTTGCTAAATGTCACTATATTTGCATGCGAGTTCACGGGAGATAAGCCAGCATCCACCAAATCCTTTATTTTTAGAATATAATATTTTTAATGCTCCTTCCGTCCCGGAGCAAGATTATCATTTACTTTTTGTACGTAAATTTTTTAGTATTAATATTATAATAGATTGTAGTGAAAAAGACGAAAATACTCCTATTAGTATTGTGTAATATAGTGTAAATTTGAAGGGTATTTATTATGTTAGATAGATAGTACAATTACTAAATTAGGAAATGATAACCTTATTTTGAGATGGACGAAAATGAAAAATGACAATCTTTCAATGGGACGGAGGGAGTATTAATATTCTATATATAATATAAACGAGTATGAATTGTCAAATTTGTTAGCAATGAGTCTTAACTATTCCCTCCGTCTACACACAAAAAAGTAAATATTTATTTTTGGCACAGTGTTTAAGAAATAATAGTATTTTAATGACAGTGGGTAATTAAAAGTATTATAATGACATTTTTGCCCTTACTTTTTTGTATAAATGTAATGATGTGACGTAAAGTAAGGGTGTGTTTGTTTGGGGGTTTGGATTTTGAGTTAGGATTTGAATAGTAAAAATTTTGAATTTGAATAGTTATATGATGTGATATAAATAGGGTTTGATGTGATGTTTTGAATGTAAAATTGATTTTTAGTATAATATAAAAAATGAAAAATAGGTGTTTGATTTGATATTTTTGGGAGGAAAAAATTGGATGAATAGTGGAAATCCACCAAAATCCTTCAAACAAACACACCCTTAAAGTATTTGTGAATTTAAACGATAATTAAATTTGAATCAAGAATTTTGATCCAGTTATATATACTGGTTAATATGAATCTGAACGATATTGAACAGACCAGCTAGAATTGAGTGATTTAACTTATTTAAAAAATTTAATCCAATACAAATTCACACAAATCGACTCATTGCCAACTCCATCGCTAACCCAGGAATAGTACATGTCTTTCGTGAGCCCAAAATTCAAAATAATGACTCAAATGTTGATTTATCCAATTGGCCCATGTTGGAATTTTGGTAAAGTCCAAGAATAGATGAAAAACCAAGGTAGAATAAAATTATGAGAGAAAGCAAAAATTAATTTTATGAGAGGAAATTAGAGAATGTAAGATTGGGAGTAGCCATGACTGGTAAGAAATTATTTTAATTATGTTGTAATAATATGTGATATGTAAGATTTTCTTTTTAAAAAAAAAAAAAATATTAATAAAGACATAAATTAATTAACTTCAAAAGAATCAATTTTTAAAAAAAAATATCGAATGTATCTTCAAATATTTAAAATGATTCCACAAAATCTAATTTCATTCAAGTAACGGGTCCTAGCCAATTAAAAGGATTTTTGATCAATCTAGAGATAATTTGGATTCTATTAATAACGAAGATTTAGAATCTCAAAAGTTAGATCAATTAAAGAGAATAAATCAAAATAAAAATATAAATAAATTGATTTCGAGCAAAGTAAATGTATATATATATATTTTTGTCTTAATTCAATATATATATATTTTTTATATTTCATTGAAAAATAATTATTTTTAATCATAATAAAAATACTTCTATTTTTAAATTTTATAAAGTATTTATTTTACTTGTATTTTAAAAAATTAAAATTTATTTTTTATACTTTTATTAGTTAATAAAATACTATTTTTAAAAATTTACTATAAAAGAAATGTATATATATATATTGAATTAAAATGAAAAGAATATATAACTAGTGAAGCAGCAACAGCGCATGCCATTCTCTTCTCCTTTTGAATGATGGTTTATTTCAAATCATCAATTCCATCACAACTTTCATGCCTCTCTCTCTCTAACCCTTTAATAATAATAATAAAAAGTAGTAGGAGTCATGAACATTTTAAAGCTCACGCTTTGATCATGAAAAATAAATATTTTTTATTTAAATAATAATTTGAATATAGCGTGTTGTATTAAAAAATAATATATTGTTATAATAAAAATTTATAAAAACACTCCAATTGTTAAATGAACAAACACAATCACCTCCATTTCATTATTTTCTATGAAAGAGTTTGAGTGATTTATGTATCGTTAAAAATATATGAGTGCAATTTTATTTTAAAAAATAACTTTTAAATACTTTAAATAAAACTTTAGAGTTTATTTTCATTTTATCTATTGAAGTACAATATTATTTTATTCTTTTTAATAAATAATAGAAAATACATATAAACTCAATTTCTATGATTATAATCATTCACACAATTAATAAATTAATTGATTAATTATCTATTTAAAGACATTTCTTTTATAGTGGCGCAGTCAAAAGGGGAAGGGCGCACGTTATCAAAGGTAATTAAAAATCTATTAAACTTCACCATAAGATGAATTATTAATAAAAAATTAAAACTAAACAGCATATATATATATATATATATATTAATAAATAAAAGACAAAGAAACAAAAAGAGAAGCACGCGCGTGGGCACACTCTGCTTAGCTTTACGCTTCATCGTCATCATCAATGGCGTCGGGTGCGCCTTCCAGAGAAAGCTGCTTTATCCATTCAAACGTTCGATGATGTGACAGCTGTTTCTTCGTCGCCGCAATTCTCTCCGGCGAGCTTTCCCGATGGTGGCTGCGGCGGCGGAGCGACACCGTCTCGCCGGCGCCGCCCTCGCTCGCGCTCCTCCTAATTATTACAGTTCTCGAAGGAATTGGTGCCGTAGCCACCGCGTCCGACGAGCAGCGACACCCGCTGGAAATTAAAGCCCTGACTTTCCTCCGGCCGGCGGCGACGGAGCTCCCGCCGCCGCTGCTGCTGGTGCTGTGGCGGCTCCCGAACCGGTTCGCGCCGATGTTGCTGGGGCACCGGGTCTTGAGGTCCTGGAGCGCGAGCTCCGGCGGGGGCCCGACGAGCCCGAGCCGGAGAACATTCCAGACCGTCGACGATTTTTTGGTGGACGTCCGGTGGGGTGTAATCGGGTTACCCTGTTTGTGACCGGGTAATCGAATCCGGGGCGACGGGCTGGGTAGTGAGTGGAATTGGTTGACCCGCGGCTTGAATTTGTGACCCGGTTTGGAAACGGAGCTCCAGCTGCCCCCGCTGGAGGACGACGACTGGTGGCTGCTACTAATGCTGCTACTCCGGCTGGAGATCAACCCGCCGGAGTAAAACCGGTCCATCGATTCCGACCGGAAAACCGGGCGGACCGGGCGGTTCTGTGACAACAAAGATCCTCCTTCCTCGGAGCTTACAGAATGGCGACGGCGCAGCGGCAGAATCTGGCCCTGGAAGAAAACCTCGTCGGCCGTACACATTTCTGAGGTTTTGGAAAATGAGCAGAAATCGAAGTCGAAATCCTCCTGAATGATCTGTTTCTTTCCCTCTCCTCGTACGTGTTCTTCCTCGTATTCGTCGACAGTGTCCTTTTTCTGAATCAGAAGTGGGAGATCGCTGAGGGACAGTGCTTCTTCTTCGTCGTCGTCTCCCCAACGAATTTCCTCCATTAATTCTTCTTCTAATTTCTTCGACTGAATTGAGAAATGGCGGAAAGTGTAATAAAGATTAAAGTTTTGAGGTAAGCCGGCGAGAGCTTTATATATAGCGATTGATGGAGGAGCAAATGGAACGAATAATGATTGTTTATTAAATCGAATTTGGGGTGCGAACAGTGAAGTGGGGCGTCGGCTTTTTTAATTTAATTTAATTTGTTGTTGCAAAATATGTAATGGGAGAATTTGGAATAATTTTTGAATGAAGGAAGAATTTTGGGGCTGCGGGCAGCTTTTGTTGGTGGGGTTTGGGGACATAATCAGGTCTGGTCTGAATCAAAGGTTGAAATGAAAATTCTTCAGATTTTGCTACGGGGAAGAAGAAATGGAAGGAAGAAGAAAACCCTAATTTATTTCGTGACATTTATTCATTGCATTGCAGTTGTGACGTCACGTGACAGGTGGCAGTAATGGTTCTAGACTTGTTATAGCAGCGCCAGGACTTCAACACCGGAACGTTTTATACCCTTGGATGAGGCAATTGACGGTACTGATTCACTTGGTCTTGGAAGTACCGGGTTCGCTAAAAACTACTTCTAAGAACTACAATGCATGATATAATTAATTATTACTCGTTCCTCCCGCATACCATGTCACGTTGCCGTTTCTGTCTGTCCCACTTACCATGTCACTTTTTTTTTTTGAAAAATGATTATATACTTTAATCTCATTTTAAATTTTTAAATTTATTCTTTTTAATTTTAATTAAACTAATTAGTTATATTATAGGATAATTATTTTTAATAATACATTCTTAATTATTTACTAATTACATCTCTTCTAAAATACCGTGTTTATAGTGTAGCAGACACGGTAAGTGGGATGGTATTATTTTTTATTTTAAAAAAGGATATTCAATTTAAAATTTTTTAAAAAAAAAAGAAAAGAAAAGAAAAAAAGAATAATTGATTTGCCTCTTGAAGGGGCAACCGATGGCAACGTTCCATGCTGTTTGTTGAAGCAATTGCTTTAAAGTGATAAAGTAGTGGATCCAAATATTTTTTTGTCTCGTGGAAGACATAAATATGCGTGATGGATACAATACTTTATAAAGTTATTTTTTATGTTTATCTTTTTAGTATATTTTTATAGACCTTAAATATGGCTGTTATTAGTTTTTAAAATGGGCCTCAAAATCAGCCCACAAGAATCTCTAATGGGCTTTAAACACAAATCATTAGGCCTACGTAACAAATCTTCATTACTTTTGTCCTTTTTATGTAAAAAATAAAGTATTTAATGAGATGATTGTATATATATATATAATTAATATAATATTTTAAATTTAAAAAAATATTTTTACTAATTGATATCTTTCTAAAATTTAGAAATATGAATATTGCTAATAATTTTAAAAGTACTTATGCAAAGAGGGTTTTAAGTTCAAAATGAACTATGACTTTGGTATGGGATTACTAATTTACAGTCACAAAACAGATAACTTATCAAGCAGGTAGGATCCTTGGTCCGGGCTTTGATCCAGTACCAAGAGTGCCACACACACATATGTATATATATACATGCGTGTGGGCACTTCCTGTTCCCGGAATCGAGGATCCTCTGCGTTTATTAAGAGAGTAATATCTGTGTGTGGGCACTTCCTGTTCCCGGAATTGAGGATCCTCTGCGTTTATCAAGAGAGTAATATCTGTTTTCTTTTCATTTTAATTATTATTATTTAAATATAGTGTTTTCATATAAGAATATAATTTTTTTTATATAAAATATCATATTTAATATTATTTAAGAAAATGAAACCTAATAAAATGCCAGATTGAAAAATAAAATTGCAACTTTGCATTAAAATATATTTTGAAAATGGATTGATTTTTCTTTTTTCTTTTTTAAATAAAAAATATTTTGAATAGAGCTTGTTAAATGAAAATATCACATACTGGAATTCGGGCTTCCAATCTAATACCAATTGGTAATAGAAGGAAATTTTCACATGTTTAGCGATAAGACAACAAAATTGACTATGTCTATTTTACTTAACCTCTACAAATTCATATACAAGATAAATTGGAATAATAGGAATAGTCAACACTATGTCAAATTTATAAAAAATCGCTCTACTTCATTTCAGTGCTAAGAGAATTAATTGATCCATTTTTCTTACTCAATAAGGCTTGGGACAACCTCGGTTGTGATAGAGAGAGAGCGCATATTTGAGAAGCTATTTTAGAGAAAAAAATTATTGTTTAAAACTCCTATTGTTGTTTTTTTTAACATTCATATTTTAAACTTATATTGACATAAAAAATCGCTGAAAAAGTTGACAGATGAAAGAGTTATCGGAGATTCAATCAGAGAAGACGAGCAATTCAAGGATTGCATTACTCTCGTCTTGTTGTAAACTCCACAAACTCCAGTGTCAGATTAGTTATTGAATTGGAAGGGAAAATGTATTTATTAAATATATTTATCATAAATAAAAACATATCAATATTTTAGAAAAGATTGAAATGAAACATATTAAAAACTGAGGGAGTATAACATAAAGTATAAGGAAACATTAGTACATATATCATATGCAAAACCATGTTTTATGTCCCAATGATTTGCAATGTCACGACCGTAGAAACATATTTTAAATTTATTCAATTTTTATTTAATGTTTATGTTGACTACTAAAAAGAAAAACAGTGGAACTTCTAAAAGTATATCTCTCTATCCAACTATTAGTTAATGTATTTATTTTAATAATTTGGAATGTTCATAACTAATATAGTATTTATTTTCTAACGTAGAGTACATGGCCCTCACACGCTAATAAATAGTACTCTCTCCATCTCAAATATCGTGTAACATTTATGTTTGACACGAGAATTTAGATATGGAGTATTAAATATGATAATTTGAAATAATTTGAATATTAAATAATGTGATTGGAGAGAAATAATTATTTATTTTTTATTTGAATGATACGATGGATAAAGTGAACTGTATATTAATAAATATATATATCTATGACAAAAAGAGAATGATTTCCTCTAAATTTTGTCTTCCATTCATATTTGAAGGTTTGGTTTATGTTTAAATTTGAATATTTTGTTTTAATTTCGAATCCAAATAGTAATTTACTTTATTTTTATTAAATAATAATAATAATAATAATAATAATAATAATAATTTATATAAGTGTGATTTGATACATAATCCAAAGTTATCATTATTTGTAGTACGTGTGTCATAAATGGCATGCTCCGGTGCGTGATTAATTAATGAACCCCCGGCAGGACACAATATTAATGAATCTAAACTGCACTGAACATTAATTAATCTAATGGAGTAATAATATAAGGTCATAAATGTTTTTAGTACATAATAATTGCAGTCATTAATTCCACGTGCAATAATAATAATAACACAACTAGTACATAACTCGTTTTAAATTAATATTAATACACTTTATTTTTTTATACATAAAAAAAAAACATATTAAATAATTCAATTTTTTTATTATTTGGAAAAAATTCAAAGTTTCAAAAAAATTTGGTTACGTGATTACTGTGACTGTTAAAAAAAAAAAAAAAAAAAAAAAAAAAAAAAAGAAGAAGAAAGAAAGAAAGAAAGGAAGAAAGAAAAAGCCATGCACATGAGCCTATGGTCCTACGCTCAAATAAATGCGGAGTTGTACACTGTGGGTACGTGTTTTTCTTTTGCTCCTAATTTGTTATTTTATTTTTTTAAATATTAATTTAATACTTCATTCGTTTCAACAGAGTTGTCTTATTTATCCTAAAATAACTATTTTATTTTCTTATTTAGTAATTGTAGTCTCTACTTTATAACAAAATTATTCATATTTTTTCAAATTACCCATAATTATTACTCTAATATACTTTTTATAATTATTCAAAAAGCATGATATTTTAGTATTTTACCTTCTACTTTATATCCATTTTCAATTAAATATTATTATCTTTTAATTGCCGTGTCCACTCCCAATAAGACATTTTTTTTTTTTAGATGAAGGGGAGGGAGTATAATTTATTTGTATGAGAGTTAATAATGGATTTGTTTAGTAGGCACAAATCTCAATATATAAAAAATATATTAGATTTAATAATAAAATAATATTTAATATACAATATATATTTTTATATTATCAATATAATTTAATTTTTTTTAAAAAATAAATTCAAACTAAAATATTAATAATTTATTTATTTTAATATTTTAAATTAAAATTAATATTACTTACTTTGTACTATTTTTCAATAAAATTATAATTTTTTTTACAAAATATTAAAATATTATTCAAATAAAAATTTAAATTACTATTTTATTTTAAATTAATTTCAAATCACAATCAATCAATTTGTTACCAAACAAAACAAATCTTATACTATTATAAGATCGCAATATTAAAAAAATTCAAAAACTTTATGCATACAGAGCCTAACAAAAGTCACCATTGTCCTAAACAACTAATGCCTACCAATGCACTGGCATAGATCTGTTTAGATATGTATTTTGGATTGTACATTATTTATTAATGGTAAAAAAAATTAAAAATAGTATTAAATATTTATTTTATTTATTAAAATGTTATATCAAATATTTAAGATTTTTGTTATTCCTAAAAATTGAAAAATATATTTTTTCTGTCCACCAATTTTACTCTTTTTTTTTTTTTTGTTTTTTTGTTTTTTAGGTCCTAGATAACTACTAATTTTGACCGAGATATATTTTCAATACTTAAAGTATTATTCTCTATTTAATACCTATTTATTATAATTGTTACTATTTTTATTATAATTTTCTCTTTGTTGTTAATCATTACTTATTATATTTTAAAAATATTTTTAACTCTTTTTTTTTTTTTTTTACTTTTATTATTTTTAAAATAAAATATTATTATTATATTATTTTAATTTATGTATTAAAGAGAATATTTGTAAAGAAAGTGTGTTTCACAGAGTAGTTGACTCCATCATTGCTACAAAAGAAAACATCCATTTTTAATGGACTCCATAATTTTAAGTGATGTTCAGCCCTACACACATTACCACAAAAATTCCATATTAAAAAAAAATAAAATAAAAAGAAGAAGATATTTAATATTTACTTACATACATACATACATATATATATATTTAAAATGTTTCATAATGTTGTTTATTAATAGTCTTTTTAAGAATATTATATTAAATATAGTATATTTTATCGTACAAAATATCAAATTAAGTAATTATTTATTATTCTTATTTTTTATAATCCAAAACTTACAAATATTTTGAGTTTGTATGATTTTAATTTGAAATTATTTTTTATTTGTATTTTAGTTTAAATAATACACTTTTTTGTCCAAAACGATTATGCTATTTCTTTTAATAGATAAAAAATAATATTATTTTCCTCCGTCCACAAATTAATGTCCTATTTTTTTATTTGAGACGACCAATAACTATCATTTTATTTTTTTTTAAATACAAATTTTATATTTTTACCCTTCATTCATTTATTACTTTTAATTTCTATCATACAATTAAGGGTAAATTTGTCAATTCATAACAAAAAAACAATCACCTAAAAAATCGCCCAAATATACTTTAGGACAATAAAAATTAGACGGATGAAGTATTTTATTTATTAGTGAAAGTTATAAGATGATTTGACAATTTTGTCCTAATAAAGTATAAATAAAATAATAATATTAATATAGCTTTTATAAAATGATATGTGTTGTATATAATGATATTTTATTATGTTTTGAACGACTTTTAAGATACAAAATTTCGTATATATGCTACTCATGGTGTGTTTTGATTGCGTAATAGGTTTCATGGAGTTGACAAGTTTTGATGTGTATTTGGGAGACAATGAGCAGAACACACGAAAGCTTTAGCCGTGATCACGCAACACAATGTGAGAAATGTAGAATTTACAAAAAGTCCCTCCGAGGTAAATTAACAATATAAAGAATATTTGAGATTTAATTACAAATTAGATCTATTTAAAACGGGATCTTGGGATGAAGTTGAAGAGACGATTTGCAATTGAAGATGGGAAGAGAAAAGGGCTACCACGATATATTTTCTTAAAGGAAAGAAGAGAGAAAGGAGAACACGAAAGAGAGAAAAACTTGAAGGAGGATTGCAGACGACTTTTCAGGGGCGTTCTTCTTCTATTTTTCGTATTATTCTTCTTTGTCGATTTCAAAATTGAAGGAATTATGAACTTCTTTATTTGTTTTGTATTTTCAATTTTCATGAATTCAGAGTAATTTCATTTCTAACTTAGGTGTGAATTGATGTTTGAGATTAAATTGGTGAGACTTAGTTTTGTTTAATTGGGTGTTCATTGATATTGGGTATTTCTAATTATTCTGATTTATAAGTTTAGAAATCTTAAATTGATTATTGCGCACATATAGATTTGAGATTTCTTAGCTAAATTGGAGATTGACACCTGTAATTGTGTAATTTTTGAATTGGTGTAGCAACATAGAGGAATACTCTATGGAATAACAGAATCAATTTTAAACAAATCAGCGTAGGAAATTTGTTAAATTGAATTGGACATTTCTAGTTCTTAAAGCTGTCGAGTCAGTAAAACTACGGTCGTAACTAGAATTCTCATTCGATTAGAGAAATAGCTAACGGTCGTACCTTAGCTATCGATAGTAAAGATTGATTGTGAACGCGTGTAGATTAATTATAACCAATTTATCCAACTAGTCAATGAACTTGATTTTTAGTTGATGAACAAAATTTATATCCCGAACAGAAAATTCATGCATATGCTAGAGTTTAATCATCTTTGTTAATCCGCATTGCATTTTATTTTATTTTATTTAGTTGAACAAATTTATTTTCTCCTTATTTAGTTCGATAATCAAAACCCCCCATTATATATATATTTAGTATAATTATAAATAACCGAATATTCAATATTATTATTATTTCATCCGGAGACAACCCTACTTACTGCGCTACTGCATTTTGCAAATTTTTTATATCGTAAGAACTGATACTTTATTTTGCAACTTTGCGATACGCTTGCATAAAAAATTGAAGTATTTTGGTAGTTATATATATAATATATAATTATATTAAAATATAATACTTTTGATTAAAAAAATAAATAAATAAAAAATATTTTTAACTAATTTTTTTTAAAAAATATAATACTCCCTCGTCCCATCATAATTAAACATTTTGATTAGGGAAAAGACATCTAAATCCCATCAAAATTGAACTTTTTTTTATTAGGAATACGATATTTAAAATAACAATGTTTAATTAGTTAATAATAATAAATTATAATATTTTTTATTTTTAAATATAATTAATAATATTTAAAATTTTAAAGTAACTTAATATATATGATTAAAAAATTAAAATATATGCTTAAATATTTAAAAATTATATAGAAATAAAAAATATATACAATATCGATATCATTTTTGTAAAAAATAAAATTTTATATAATACAAATAAATAAAATTTATTTATAATTAACATAAAGTAATTTTATAAAAGATGTGTAATTTTAAATATATATATATAATATTTATTTTTTTGAAAAAAAAGATATAAATAAAAGAATTTTAAGTGGTCTTATATTATTTATGATGCTATAACTCAAAGGCTCAAATAAAACACTAGGTTATTTATGATGTTATATATTATATAGTTAATTAAATTATTTATATTTATAAAATATATTTTGATTTAATAATTTTTATTAAAAATAAAAAAATATCAATTGTTATACTCCCTCAGTCCTAAAAAGAGGTATCTATTTGCTTTTTGGTTTTTGAAATATTATTATTATATTGAGATATAGTAGGAATAAAGTTGAAATAACTAAAATAATCTTGTTAGTATGTGTGATATAAAGGTAATGATATTTGTATAATATATTGTAAGTTCTAAAGATATTTGTAATGTTAGGTAGAATTACTAAAAAAAATAAATATTTTATTATGATACGGATTAAAATGAAAAAAATTGATAATTTATTATGGGACAAAAAAACTAAGACATAAGAGTAAACATAGTATCAATTGTGAGGTGATAGAGTGAGAGTGAGTATAATTTTTTATTTTTTCAAAATTAAGATATTAAATGTAAAATATGAACACAATAAATGCAGGACGCAGAGTGATATTAATTGAAACGCACACCTCATTAAAAAACAAGCAGAGCTGCTGCAGTGTAATAATGAGATGATTGCAACAATAATTGAAGTGTGAAGCACTAGTTTTATTGGCATGGGACAGGATATGTCAAAGACTGGACTCCCCTCCAGACTGTCAGTACGGCCGCCTCTTTATTGGCAGCTCCTGGACCTCAACACCAGATCTACCGAGGTACCATTTACCTTAAAAATGTTAATATTAGCACTTTTTATTTTTATGTTAATACGATTATTTCATTCTTCATTCAACTCTACGAATATCATTTATTGGTCAATCAAACACAATATTCATTTTCTATCCTACTTAAATATAGATCTGATTATATATATATATATATAGAGTAAGTAAGAGAATGAAAAAGTATATTATAATCAAATTAAAAAAATTATTATTATTTTAATTATTATTCTCTATTTCATTTAAATTTATAAGTTTTTTTTTTTTAAGCTGTCATAAAAAAATATTTTTGTTTTATTTTTAGGTAAAAAGAAAATTATTATTAATTACTTTTATTAAGATTTATATTCGATTAAATGAGCAAACATTTGGAGCACTATTATATATATATTTAGGCTAAATTGCACAAAATTTACTTGTGGTTTCATGAAATTGCACCAAATCCCTTGTACTTTTTGTACTTCTAAAACTGCGTCAAATTTTATCGCAGTTTCATAAATTTTGCGTCTAACCCACTTATTTAACGGTATTGATCTAAATGCGCTTAAACTACGAATAAATTTTAAAATCTCAATTTCTAGATCCCTAAAATTACAAATATATTTATTTTTTTATATATATTTAGTCTTAAAAAATAGTAAAAATAAACTATTATAACCTGAGAAAAATAACTATTTTTGAGTATATTTACTATTTTTTAAGTGTAAATATAAAAAAATAAATATATTTGTAATTTAGGGGTTTAAAAATTGATATTCTAAAATTTATTTGCAATTTGAACGCATTTAGATCAAATACCGTTAAATAAGAACCTATGAGGGGATTAGACGCAAAGTTTATGAAACCGAATTTGACGCAATTTTAGAAATATGAGCAATATGACGCAATTTCATGAAATCAAAGTTAATTTTGTGTAATTTAGCGGTATATTTATTAAGAACTAAATAAAGAAAACTACCCTCTGGACAAGGGACCTCCAGAGGACAGCCCTCGTTTATCACTCTGCAGTAGGCCTTGTTTGGCTGGAACTGTAGATTGGTCAAACTATAAATGATTTGTTTCAATTAATTTTCCAATAATTTGCTTTTCCATGTTTTCTTGTACAAATAACCATCACTTAACTTAACCGAGATGAGTTGATTGCTGGTAATCTTAAAAAAAAAAAAAAAAAAACAAGACAAACATGACCTTACCCATGTTGTGATAATATAGAAACAGCCAACACTCAGCACCGTTTTTTGCTTTTTTGTGCGAGCGGAATTACCATTTAACCCCTCACGTCCAACTAACTGCAACCGGACTCCCGACCACATGTTTCCCGTCGGACCACTCAATTCGCCCAAACTCATTACTATTGGACGGCATTCCTGTTACCGTGAACGTGACCGTATAAGAATTTTTCTCACCACTTTGACCGAAAGTCAAAGACGTGGGGTCCACCGAGATCTTAACGGAATCCGATGTTGACGTGACGGATGCCTTGTACGTTCCGGCGGGCCCCACGTTAGTCAACGTTCGGGTGTGTTTGACCACGGTATCACTCCCGGAGCCGGCTGTACTACTCATCTGAGCGTCGACAACGACGGAGAAGGAAGGGTAATTTAGGTCATTTACACTGTAGGATTTCTGAGCATCGCAGGTGAAGTTCCTCCTCGCGACGCTGGTGATCTGTCCGGAAGTGTAATTTAATGCGCAGAGGAAATTGAGATAATCCTGCGGCAGTAGATCGTACACGAGGCCGGGATTAAGGGCGGATACAGGGTCCACGTGTCCGGCTCCGTGGTCGAACGGCGTGGACGGCTTGCCCGTAGCCACGTCCTCCATCAGCTTCCCGTCTTTGTAGGACGAATAGGCTGTGGTCATTAGAGCCGACCGGATAACCGCCGGGCTCCAGTCGGGGTGAGCCGCCTTCAACAGAGCCGCCAAGCCGCTGACGTGGGGGCACGACATTGACGTGCCGGAGATGATGTTGAACCCCACGCGCCGGCCGTCCTCGGCTAAGCCGGTCGGGCCGATGGCGCCGGACCAGCCGGCGAGGATGTTGACCCCTGGCGCGATTATGTCCGGCTTCAGAATTTGCTGCGTGATCGAATTCGGGCCGCGTGAGCTGAACGCGGCGACCACCGGCGACGGCTCGACTCCGACCTTCGTGCCTTGGAAAAGAATCGTGGCCGTTGGATTGGGATCTGAGAAGACGTATTGCTTGATCGCGTCGCCGGTGGATTCCCCCACCGCCGTGGCGGGTAGCAGATGGGCGTCCGCCACCAGCTCCTCCCCGTTCGCGGCGGTGTTTGTTAAAACCATTCCTATCCCTCCGGCAGATTTCACGACGGACCCTTTCTGAACCCTTGGATTAATCCCACGGTCACACAATACGATCTTGCCTTTAATCTTGTCGGGATTTAAGGTTCCCGTCATACATAAATTCCCGTTTGTAACGTTGCTGACATTTCCGGCGTAAACAATCGGCAAAGGTTTTCCGGGCAATGAATCGCCCTTGAAAAGCGAGACGCCGGAGAAATTTTTACCGTTTCCGAGAGAAACAATCGCCGGAAAGTCACGGTCTAGGGTTCCGGCGCCGACGGTGGTTATCCACGGCGCCACGTTGGATAAACTGTACTTGCTGGGGCCGGCGTTGCCGGCGGAGCAAGAGACTAATATACCCTTCTCCATGGCGGCGAAGGACCCAATCGCGACGCTGTCTCTGTAATACTCCGACATCCCGCCGCCGAGCGACATCGACAGGACATTGACGCCGTCTTCGATGGCTTTATCTATGCCGGCGAGGATGTCGGAGCTGAAGCAGCCGCCGACCCAGCAGACCTTGTACGCCGCCACTCTCGCCCGCGGCGCCATCCCTCTGGCCGTCCCCGCCGCGTAGCCGAACAAGCTCGCGCCGGAGACGACGGATCCGGCGGCGGTGGAGGAAGTGTGCGTGCCGTGGCCGTCGTCGTCGCGCGGCGATTTCGACTCCTTCGATTCGTCGATCGGGCCGAGTGTCGCTTCGTAGCCTTTCGCGAAGAATCTTGCCCCGATCAGTTTCTTATTGCATTTCAATTTGGTGAAATTCGTCCCGATTTCACATTCCCCTTTCCAAGAACTCGGTACAGCTCCGAATCCTGCATCGTCGAAGCTCGGGCTCTCCGGCCAGACGCCGGTGTCGAGAACGCCGACGATGACGTCACTCGCCGAGTCCGACGCCGGCAGCATCGCCGCGTTCTGATCGAGCCCCAAAAACGTCGGCGTTCGCGTCGTGTGGAGTTCGTATCTCATCTCCGGCAGTACGGAAAGAGTCCCCGGCGTAGACTCAATCGCCTCCGCCTCCGCCGCCGTGAGCCTCGCCGAGAATCCATGAATCGCCGTCTCGTAACTGTAGATAATCTCCGCCGTCTCCGACACCGATTTAAGCGACGCGTCGTACCACCCCCTGTGTTCCTCAAACTCCGCCGGCTTCGCCGATTTCGCCATATGAACAATGTACGTCCTCTTCCCCTCCTCCGCCGCGGCGGCGGCGAATCCATAACAGAACCCTAAAATCAACACCACCACCGCCATTGACGCACGGAAGCAGAAAACCTTCCCCATTAGAGTGAAGAATTCAGAAAAGTGGCCCAAGTTCAGGACGCTAAATAGCGTGAAGGACAGCTGTAATCGTCGCAGTGGGGACACCAATTCTTGTCTCCTTCATAGCCATGATTGCATTGCAACAAAAACACAACAACACATTTCAGCTGCAAACGCCAGATCACAAACAAAAACCAGATTCGAAAAATTCCCCAATTCAACTCACAATTCTCACCATACAGATAATGTATAATAGCAATAAATTACCTTTGATCACGTGTGTCTTCAGCCTTTCAAAACCCTAATTTCAAATTTTCCCCCTTTTCAAGAAATTATTCCCATTTACTTTTCCTCTTTTCAAAAGAAATCCCCAAAACTGCTGCTGCTGCACATTGACAATATATCAGCTACGAATCTGCTGCACTTTTCTTCTAATGGTCCAACGCGTCTTCCTTCGGATAATGCACAGACTGTAAATGCAGTAACCGTAGAGAAATGAAAACAGTAAAATTAGGTTAAAATAGAAGTAAAAAAAAAAAAAAGTGTAAAAATTTAATTAAAAATGAGAAAGTGGGTAGTTGAAAAATTGATATAATAGAGACGTGGTAATGTTTCCAACTTATAACTTCCAACCAACTCAATATCTTTCCCCTCTAAATCCACCCTCCTAATAATAATAACCATACAAATTAATTAGTTAGATATAGGTAGAAAAAGATTGTCCAAAAAATAAAGTTTGTTTAAATAGAAGATTTTGAAAAATTATAATGATACTAAAAATTACTTATAAATAGAATAAAAAAGGTTGTAAAAGTAATTGTGTAGTGTAGATAGACCCTAATTTTGTATTGAGAAGAGAAAGGGTTCACGTGAGGCATTAAGAATAAAACAAAATGGAGTTATAATTGAAACATTAATTAACACCAATTTTTGTCTGTATTATGATTTTTAAGTGAGTATTGAAAATTGAAATTAGGGAGGAATCTGCATAACAAAAGCCTCTTTTTACATATAAATTTTATCATTTATTAACACTTTTTTTTTTTAAAAAAAAAAGTCTTCATAAAATGTTGCATCAATTTATTATTATTATTATTATTATTATTATTTTAATTTGTATGTAAGTAAACCCTTCGACCGAAGGTTTACCCAGTGCGCACTTTCAGGTAGCGGCGACGGATTCTCGCGTGATAAAAAAAAAAAAAAAAAACGATGGTCCTTATCACCAACCGTCACAACTTTTTGGTACCATTCATTCATTTGCCTTCCCCACTTCAACTTGCACACCAAATTAATCATTTTTTATTTAATTAATTGTTTTTGTTTATTTAAACTAATGACATTATATATTTATTATTATTATTATTATTATTATTTGGTCTGTTAATTTTCCAACCGTCTTATCGTATCTCATTGATTGGTTGATTTTTTATTTTTTTTTAGAAAAAAAAATTATTAGTATTTGATTAAAAAAATTAATTGGGAATAGTGTGTGCATGGGAACGCTTAGACGTGGGTGTGTTTGTTTTGTGTTTTCGTGAGCATCTTTCTTTCAATTCAATAAATTTTACTAATAGCGGACTATATTTTAAATGTTTTAAACCCTTTTTTTATTATTATTATTAACATCATCTTATAACCCTACATCTCCTTCTACTACAGTCAGATCTATTAAAATTTTACAATAATGAATAATACTCCATTCATTCCCAATCAAATGGGTAATTTAGAATTTTGTAATAAATTAAAAAAATAATATTATTTTAGTCCCTTCGTCCCAAATATCATGTCCACGTTGCCGTTTCTGTCCGTTCCACATACTATGTCACTTCATTTTTTTGGAAAATGATTACACACTTTAATCTCATTTTAAATTTTTTGATTTTATTTTTTGATTTTAATTAAACTAATTAGTTATCTCAATCTTAATTTATAATTATTTATATTATAGGATAATTATTTTTATTAATACATTCTTAATTATTTACTAATTATACCCCTCCTAAAATACCGTGTCTACAATATAGCAGACACGGTATCTGGGACGGAGGGAGTATTAATTAATAGAAGTGTGTAAAAAATTTGACATTTTTGTAATATAACTTTATGTATAAAGTAATTGTATATATAATAGTATGTTTATAATTTAAGTTAAAATTAAAAATATTTTAGTATTAATATATGATTTTTTTTTTTAAATAAAAATAAAATATTTTAAAAAAAACAGATATAATTGATAAAATTATTGATATTTTGAATTGAAAGAAAATAATATAATATATATATATATGTAGGGATATCTCTATGGCATTAGACAAAACTAAAAATATTCATTTTTTTTTCAAATGAACAAAGATGTTATTAGTATTTTTAATATTATTCAACATATAAAACCATATATATATATAATATGTAGATACTTTTAGGATTTTTTTTTATATATTATCTTTGTCAGTTTTTTAAAGTTCTATATAGATATTTAAATATTAATTATTATAAAAAAATAATATAAATTAAAAAAATATAAAAATATTTTAATTAATGTCTTATAATATTAATAAAAAAATATTTATATAAAATATATAAAAATATAAAAATATTTTTAATATTAAATAAAATAATATATATATATATATATATGCGTGTGTGAAATGATGGCACTTATGTGTTGAAAAAGTGAGTAAATAGAAGTGCATGCTGTCGTAGTCACATAAGAAGTGAAAGCTGGTCATCAATCAATGGACGCGTACTAATTATTAAAATAAATTAAAAACCCTAGTGTTCGTTTATTTTTACCTGATTTTACTATTTTTTTTATTATTATTTTTTTAAATATCAAATTAAATATATATTATTTCTTTATTATATTAAATAAAAATTTTATTTTACATTCAAAATATATTTATATCAAATCAAATAATTATTTCAATTCAAAATATTATTATTCAAAATCAAAACTGTAAGTAAACTCACCCTAATAATTCATGTAGATTGGAAAATATGCTATCATTTAGGGAAAAAAAAAACAAATAATTTTCAAAATTATTATTATTATTATTTATTTATTTATTTATTTTTTATGTTTTGAAAAGTTTGGATCAAACTTCTTTTTAAGAAATTATGTGCAATATTTTCGAAAATACGAATAAATTTTATATAAATTTAAAAAAAAATTGTGCAATAATTTTAAAATATGAGAAAACTTCATGCAACTTTTAAATTATAAGAAAATTTAGTGCAAATTTTCAAACCATATATAAATTAATAACTTGAGTCAAATTTTGATATGAACTTGAAAGGAGTCAATAAAATAACAATGAAATTCAAGTCAGTGACCTTATATTAATCACCGCCTTTATGTATTTATGTTTCTTTTTATAGATTCGGAAAATAATTGGTTTGAATTTGGTACTAAAATAATATTAATATGATGTATTTTTTTGTATTGTAAAAAAAAGAATTTTTTTTTTTTTTTTTAAATCCATAATCCAAATAATAGAAATTTATATGATGAAATTATAATTATATAAATACAAATATTTTGGTACTACTTTATATTTTATGCATTGTATGTCAATATTTAAAATATTGTCTACATCATATTAAATAATTTTGTTAGTACACAAACAGTCTTCATCTACATGATATTATTATGATTTTATTTATTTAATGTTTTGTCTGGAATGTAATGGATTGAAGGCAACTAGCAGCAACAAGTACCAACCGCACCATACAAATAAATATAATTAAATATCTAGATTTTTTTTGCTTTTATTTTTTGTTATTTATTTATTTATATTTTTATTTTTTAAAAAGAAAAAAATGAAGAAAATAAATACTAATAATATATATATATATTATTTAATAACAAAGAAATCCGCAGCTATTATTCGAGCAAAACTTAATAGTGTGCAAACTAATAATTAAGAAAGTAGACAATTTTCTCACTTAATTAACAAATATTTTTACTTATTATTTACTATTATTCATAGATTTCTATAATAATATATCATTTCAGTTCATAAAAATTATATTTCTTCAATCCCATATATAATCCGATAGTTACTGCACATATGTGAATTTAAAAAATATATAATTAATAAATAATTAAAATATATTAAAATTAAAGTGACATCAGACGTAAGATAAATATTTTTATTTTTTATTTTTTTAAAAAAATGAAAGTAACATCATATATAAGACAAATAGAAATGAAAATCGTGACAAAATATGTGAGAATAAAAGAGTATTTATTCGTCCCATAAGGGATGACCTTGGTGGTACGAGGTCATGTCAATACCTATTTTTAAAAAATGTGTAACTAAAATTTACGCCAAGTAGGTAGGTCCAAAGTTTTATTAGATCGGATATGAAAATTCAGGCCCAGGCATAGCCCAATTTCAAATAGTATCGGGTTGGGCCAGGTCATACCTATTTTTAAAAAATATTTTAATTTTAATTTTAATTTTATTTTGCATTTTTTTTATTTTAAAATAATATATATTAATATAAATAAATACAATTAAAAATAAAGTAATAGAATACTATTTTTATTGTCAATTAAAAATTTGCATATAAAATATATGTAATTATCTTTTAATGTTATCATATATTTTTAATATATTTATATTTAAAGATTGTTTTGATAAATAATGTTTGGATCTAAGATGAGTGTTTTTTTTGAAAAAAAAAAAATATAGCATTGTTTTTTAGAAAAATTAATATATCACAAGCATTTATATCATTTATATAATTTTTTATACTATTTTTTTTTTTTTATAGAAAAACATATTATTTCAAGCTATTTCATAAAATTAACACAACTGACTTTATTATTTCTACTTTTTTTATTTTCTCGGATCTAATTTTTAGGTCCAACTTTTTTATTTTCATTTTTTTTTCCATGCGTATATATTTTTATTGACAAAAAATTCTAAAATAAAATATATGCGAACAAAGATTCTCTGAGCGACCGTAAAAAATGACCTTTAAATATGAAAAACTGTATAACTAATACAAAAATAATATTACGTATTTAAAATTGGTTTTTTATGAAAAAAAAATAAAAAATATAGTAAACCCGTAAAGACTGAGTAGAGACAATTCGGACTCGCCGGACTGAAATGGCGCACCTCACAAACATCGCCGCTTTCCGCCGTCTTCTTCACCATCACCGCCGCTCGATATCTTCAATTCCAATTCAATTTGAATCCGATCGGCATGCGTTTGCCACCCATTCCTTCAATCTCACTTTCTCTTTGAACACAATTATGTCGGGTAAGCAGTGTATGAGCACCAACGCTGGTTGGGCAAGTCCTCCGGAATTCGCTGGGATGAACGCTTACGATATCCTTGGAGTGTCTCAGAAGAGCTCATTCGCCGAAATCAAAGCTTCATTTCGAAAATTGGCTAAGGAGACTCACCCTGACCTAGTTCGCTCGCATAGTCATTCCTCTGACGCTTCCAAGAATTTCATTCGAATCCTCGCTGCTTATGAGGTGCCTCTCTTATTTCTTATACCGATTAGCATGTTTTACTATTTATTTGATCTGTTCTTTCTATATGTGTTCAAACGAGCTGAATTTCTGCTTTTTCCCATAATTTGAATTCCTGACGTTTGATGGTTAGGGCTTTTGGTTCTGAATCGTTAATTTACCATTATGATTTTCTGGTAGGTGGATAACGTGTAGTTTAGGAATCTTTATTGGGGGAATGAGAATTGCTAGCTTAGCAGTGCTTACTTTGAAATTGTTAATTGCCTTAAGAAAACAATACCTCTACTCTGTCTCTGAGTGAAAAAGTTATAGTATAAAGTTAATCTTTTCCATCTTCATCATGTAAAATATTGCTATCAGCACGACTTTGTTGCAATTTGCAAAGATAGATGCTTCTTTCTCCGTAATTCATAGAAATGAAAGTTTGGTCTCTTTCTTTCCAAATGTTCGGTGGTTTGTGTGTTTGGAGATGGTTTTATCCAACATGTTGTCTCCTAACAACAACATTTTCCTCTCAGTTTCCATTTTCGATGCATTTTGGTTGATGTGGTTTGATATGAATTATAGCATTGCCAATGCTTGCTTGATAATAGATTGCTACATGCTAAGAAAATTATAATATTGTCTAGTGCTAAGAAAATTATAATAAAGTCGAGTGCCTGCATAATTTAAACCAACACAATTTCTGAGTATGCACAATGGGCTTTGCCCCATTTCACCTACTAATAAAACTGTAGAAGAAAGTTTGCCACCAAGACGTGCATTGAGGATAATTCAAGTGCCTTAGCTCGATTATAATCCTTGTGAAATACTTTCAGTGTTTTTGTGGTTTACATCGTACGTTGATTATTATGCTAATATTACTTATGTAGCTGTCAGCAGTCGATGCTTCTTGTGGGGTCTCTTTAATGTAAAGAAAAGGTCCTGAATAGTATCACGCACCACCAAATCTTTCCCAAAATCAGGAGCTCTAACATAATGTATATCTTCATGGAATTCAGATTCTTTCAGACTCAAGGAAGAGAGCTCAGTATGATCGTCATATTGTGTTTCAGAGAACCTCCATGGATAAACACTCTAAACAGAACACTATCATCTTCGACTATTCCTCCTTCGAATACTCTGCCAAAGAGATGGAAGTTGTGGAATGGTTAAAATGGTATAGATATACAATAAATGACATAATGGCTGAAAAAAGAGTGGCTTCTGGATCAGGGTATTTTGATGTCCTGGAAAGAGATTTTTATTCGGCTCTGCACTCAGCGTATTATGGACCTGAAATCAAGTCTATGGAACTGCTTCCAAATTGTTTCGAAGCTGAGGAGAGGTCAAAGCATACTATATCAGAGGTGCTACACTTTGTCTCGGGACGAGAACTCTTTGGGATGGCGTGTTTTGCGAACAAGTACCAAGAATTATCACATGCTCATACTGAAACTGAAAAATTGACATCCTCTGTATCAGGTATGGTACAATCGGATGACAATGTGCGTGGACTGCAATCTGATGCGGCTAAGGAAAGAGATTTCCAGTCTTTACATACCAATAATCAAACCTCTGATGCGTATAAAGATCTAGTGTTGCATTTGTGTGGGAAAGCTGTTGCTGTGGCTACAAGGATTCCGCCTAAAAGTCTTTCCGTCAATGAGGATGCAGATTCTCAAGACCAAATATACATTTATCTCACTTCATGCGAAGATGAATTGCATCCGAGGCAGGCAGATTCTAGAGATGTTTTTGAAGATTCGTCTGCCGGATCCAGAATTCCATTGGGGGTAATAAAAGGTTTAGGAACTGTTTCCGAAGAAGGAACTTGCTATGTTTACGATAGCACTGGCGCAAAGACTCACATGATTCTTAAACACAGAACATTGCTGGTGTGTTCTAACTCATTCTCATCTTTATAAAACAGATCAATACAAGAAAATTCGGAACACATTTCCCCCAAAATCCATATGAATTAAGGTTTAGCTTGGTGACTAATAAGATTGAGGTATAGGTGTTCTGTCTCTATGATTATCTACAGATATCAGCTTTGTATTCCATGTACATTTAAGTACTAAATTGCGGTAAGTCATTATTATAACACTAACTTGTTGCATTAATATATATCACGAAATCTCCTGTTAGAAAATTCTGGTTGTATTACGGTTTTTGAATTAGTTTTGTTTTTCAATATCTGTTTCTTGCATGCTTTTGACAAGGGAATTCCTTCAGTTCTTGTCAATTGACACATGAATCTTTCAGGTAAAACACTTGCATTGGTTTCGGGTGGGGGAGAAATTTTCGGTGTGTGAATGTAGATGTACCCGAGCCCGGTTGCTGCCAAGCAAGTAAGGAGCAAATTTATGCTGAGTTTTTCTTTTCATAATAGATTTTAATGTTACCTTCACCCTTATTTCTTGTAATCTTTATCATTAATGTAACAAAGGTTCTTTTTTTTTTTTTATTCGATCTTGTGTTCTAAGCTCTGAAAGTACAATCTGTTGTCCCTATCCTCCGATTTTACAAAGAGTGATCAAATCATTCACATTCTTTTATAAAGAAGTCTCGATTTTTCTTGTGTAGGTATTGGCTATTTGAGCCTCGCAGTGCAACACACGACATAGGAGGATGGTACATCGAGACCTTTGGAAGAGATAATAAAGGAAAGACAATTCCAGGCCGGCGATTCTGGAATGGTTTGGACATCGATGAACATTTTGAGGAGTAAGCTGTAAAAAAATGGCTGCCAATTTGCTACCTTGATTTTCACAGTGAATCAATTCTATTCAATTATCTCTTGCAGGAGGCTTCATCCAGCAATTTACTTACTCGCTCTGGCCTACTGCACTTTAGATTCCGAAGATTTGAGACGTAGGAAAGGAACAATTAAGGACAGGGTGGAGGCAAGGATATCCCGAGTTTTGAATTGGTGTAAGAAAAGTGTGTAGTTTATGGGCAATCAATCATCAATCCTATGATCCTGTCATAACTTCTTTGCTGCTCTCAAGCACGACCCCATCGAGTGTTTGCTTGCACGACTCTACTCGGGTTTCACGATCATTCGGTAATCAGCACTATGACATGGAGCAGTGATACAATGGGGACAATATTGGTCGTGTAAGAGCTTCTTGAATACTTTCTGGAAATGAGAGTGTAATGCGGCTAAGGTTTTGTAGCTGGTGGGATGCTCGGCCGAGGAAATGCCGGGGCTTGTCGAGGTTGTTGAAAATGCAGGACGGGACACGACGAACAAGAAGAAATTGTAAGGTACCTTATGTTATATGTACATATGTATTTCTTCAAAACTATTAAATTAAATATTTATTTATTATAATAAACTATCTCAATTTAAAATCTATCATTCCAAATTTGAATCCAAAAGGAACTCTATGTGTTTAATTACATTGATATTCTATAGCATAGTATATAACTTTATGTTGTTCAATAATTAAAGTTAAACTTACAGGTTTATTTGGCTTGGATTTAAAATATTATATGAAAACATAGTATAAATTAAAAGGTAAAAGGTAAAAATAATTATATTAGTGTCCTATAATACTATTACGATGATATTTGTGCAAAAAAAATTATACAAATACAAATAATATTTATAATATTAGCTACAATGACGCAAAATGTAAATGAAATATTTAGAGTCGAGCTGAGCGAGTAACAATTATAATTAAACTAAAATTTAGATTGAATACTCAAATTAAAATACAAAATAGTGTTTGTTTTGGAATTCTTATTAGTATTTTACTGTATAATCTTTGTCATACTTAATAAATGGAGTATATATATACATCAAATTGGATCACATGCTGAAATTTTCAATTCAGCAAAGCTGAATTAAATCTCTCTCTCTCTATATATATATAGAAAATATTTTAGTATTAAACTGTTACTCACTTAATTTGTTCACTTATTTATTTTTGTTCGTCCCAAGAGATTTTTGGTGCAATTTCTTTTTTTTTTATTATTATCATGTGTGATCCCACAGAATTAGGCCCAACAGACAAGTGACTGAGATGTCAGTGTTTGATTCCATGACTTTATTATTACAAGTCCAATCCCACACCACTGACAATCTCTTTAAGGGACTTTTTGGTGCATTTTTATTCGAACAGAAAGAAGCACGTTGCATCTACAATCAGCCTAAAGTGTTACACTATGTATAATAGAATCCAACTTACCAAATTTTCATTAAGACCATTTATTTACATTATTCTATTTAAGTCCACCGATTACGGCTACATTATTATTATTATTTTTTATTATATTTAAATTATTATAAAAATTAAAAATAAAACTCTAGAAGTATGTTTTTAAAATTTTTATTTTAATATGATATTTTGTAAAAGAATAATATATTTTTATTAAAAATTATAAAAATCTATAAGTATTTACTTTTATAAAGTGAACGATGAATCCCATATTTTTTTAATACCTATACTCCTATACTAAAAAAAAAAAAAAAGTTTGATCATGTGTGCTAACAAATAGTCAATTGTAATAATATTTCAATACGTAATAATTGTTGAGTTAATGTCTATAGATTCGTATCTTGTGTAATTCATAAACATTAACTCAAACAATTAGAACCATAATGTTTTAGTTAATATTGCATGTTCGAATTAATGTATAGAATAAATATAATTAATAATACAGTAATAAAAATAATTATTTTATAATATAAATAATTATAAATTAAAATAAATAACTAATTAATTTAATTAAATTTTTAAAATGAAATTAAGATGTATAATCATTTTAAAAAAAAATGACCTGAAATGTGGAAATGACAGAAACTACAATGTGAACACTGTATGACGCCGGGAGTAGTATTAATTTGAATTTGAGATTACAACTAAACAATTCACTAATTTTGATATATATATATATATATATATTGATTTTCTTCGCCATGGGAAAGAAGTAAAAGTGAGACGTGAGTTCAACGGGGAAGGAATTCCCGCCGCGCCGCGAGCTCAATTTTTTGCTCCTTTCTCCGTACACACATACTCTGCTTTTTTCTTTCCTTTCCTTTCCTCTGCCGGCGACAACGCTGCCGTCGATCGACATCTCCGTCGCCTTCGCTCCGAGGAGTCTGCAATTAATCGAGTATTGCGACTGGCTGGTCACGCCAGGTTTCAATTTCAACCGCGCGCTGAAGGAGAGAAAGTAGGATGAAGGTCAGAAGGAGTAGAATCGTGGCGGTAAATCGGACCAATTTAGGTCTGATTTCGATTTTGTTCTTAAGTATTTGCTTCTTTGTCGTCGGATTTCTCGGCGGACGTCTCGTCGTTCAGCAGGTCGATTTTTATTTTATTTATTTGGGAATTTTGGAATACGGTTGTGTGCGAGCGATTGTGTGTATATGTTCTTAGTTGGAAGTATTGGTATCGTATAGTTATCGATTTCTGCGTGCGTGTGTGTGTGTTTCAGGAGATGCCTAGTGATTCTCACCGGAAAATTATGGACGAGGAGATGAGGAGAGACCTGGAAGCACAGCCACAGGAACATGGGGTCTCCGGTGAAGGGTATGTGGGAACGATCCCCTTTCAGGTATATATATTTGTATATATGTATGTACGCATAATAGTATGATTCACTCACGAGTGTTTTGGTTAATTTCATTAACATTTGGATTTGAATTTGGGATTTTGAAATCCAAAAAGTAAATTGAATTGAAGTTGAACGAAATTTTGGTGTGATTTGGAGTTTTTTTTTTTTTTTTAAATAGTTGTTTGGATTGGGTGTTTTTTTAAATAATACTTCATTCGTCTCACATGCTATGTTCAAGTTGCTATTTCTGTCCATTCTACGTTCCATGTCACTTTTTTTTTTAAAAAAATGATTACATACTTTAATCTCATTTTAAATTTTTTAATTTTAATTAAACTAATTAGTTATCTTAATCTTAATTTATAATTATTTATATTATATAATAATTATTTTCACTAATATATTTTTAATTATTTACTATAATTGTGTAACTATGGAACTAAGGGAGTAATAATAATAATAATAATAAAATACTTTTCCTCCATAAAAGATTTAGCTGACAAAAAGAATAGTTTAAAAAACGACCGTATAACTGTTGCATAAGTGATTGAACATTATTAGGATGACATAAAAAATAAAACATTACTAAATAAGAAAAACATGTGAAATGGATGAAAGAAGGCAAAACATTGGGTGTGTTTGGTCGCTTTTTGGATTCAAGTTTTAAATAATACTCACTCCATCCCACATATCCCACATACCATGTTGTGGTTTCTGTTCGTTCAACATTTCATGTTTTTTTTAAATGATTATACACTTTAATCTCATTTTAAACTTTTTAATTTATTTTTTTTAATTTTAATTAAACTAATTAGTTATCTTAATATTAATTATTATTTATATTATATGATAATTATTTTCACTAATACATTCTTAATTATCTACTAATTACATCTCTCCTAAAAAATCGTGTCTACGCTGTAGCAGACACGATACGTGGGACGGAGGGAGTAACATTTTAAATTAAAATAATTATTTAATATGATATATATATATTAATATAATAAGAAAAATTAAATTTTAGTGTAATATAATACGCCCCTTGTCCATGATAATTTTCTTATTTGATTTTGGATTAAGAAAAATTAGTATTTGTAAATATGCAGTCTTAAAGGTAATGTAAAGTCTATTTTAATGTAAATATAAAAAATAAAAATAGGTATTTTGGTATTAATTGAGAGTTAATTTTTAAAAAAAAAATAAAAAGTTTTGATTTGCACAAATTAAAATGAAAAATGAAAAATTTAATAGCGGACTAAAAGAGTAAATAAAAATATATGTTGAACTTATGTTTAGTGATTTTAGAAAATCCTTATGACTTCTTATTTGAATGTTACATTTAAACGAGTGGTGATTATGCGATTTTATTTTTTCAAATTTTGTTACGTAGATTTTGAGTTGGAGACCTCGTGCATTGTACTTCCCATATTTTGCTTCTGCTCTACAATGTCAAAGTATTATCAATATGACAAAGTTCCGACTCAAACCGTCAAAGGTAGCTCTCAGTCCGGGATACACTTACGAAAATACCAAACGTATTAGGACAAGGTAACTAACTACTCAATGGGATTTGCTTATTAGCTTTCTTTTCCTATTATGAGGTACTAGCACATAATTTATTTTTTCAAATTTGATTTTATTTTTTGTCTTGTTAGTTCCGGTATGTTTATTAGTGCATATGAAGACAAAACTAGAATCCTCGATCAGATTGAAGAAAAGATTGCTAGAGCTACAATGATACCTAGAACTCATGGAGAGGTAATTGTTTACGTTGACTATATCTCACATTGGAAAATGTATAAGATCTCCCATAGTATATAAGGTGAAGGACCACTCTACCTATAACTAATTGGTTTTAGGTTGGATGTCCGGATCCTTTATTAATATGGTATCAGAGCCATGGTGCCCATCTCGAGGGGGAGTGTTGAGTATATCCCACATTAAAAAATGTGTGAGATCTCCCATAGTATATAAGGTGAAGGGCCACTCCACCTATCACCAATTGGTTTTAGGTTGGATGCCCGGATCATTTCTTAATTGTTTATCGAACTTGTAATCTCAAACATGGCAATAAAGGGCTCAACTTTGTTCAGGCCTTCAATGTCCTACGATACGAGATTGGACAACTCTATGAATTGCATCATGATAGTTTCGACCCCAATATTTTTGGTTCGCAGAAAAGCCAACGGGTAATATAAAGAGATACTAGTCGTAATTTGTTCAATGCACATGCATTGTTCATTTATTTTGGGTATTTATATTATACATGATATATGTATTTTAAAAAATAATTTGCATAATTATTGAAATATTGTTATTCTTAAAAATTATAAATATAGATATTGTGGAAATTACTAAAAATTTACTTAGTTCAAATAATATTTAAAGTTTAAACTATCACTTTAATGTTCTTCTATAAAACCAAATAAATAAATATTATTCTATACCTTTTTTTCCTCTAATTGTAATTAACTAGTTGTTTGACATACAATCAATTTATAATATTTATTAATATATTCTCAAACTTTACAAAATTAATGTTCTCAAAAATCTATTAAGAAAAAAATAAAATTTAAAAATTGTCCGGTATATTAAAATCTACTAATTTTCATCGAGATCGACTAATTGCTGCATTCTCATTGCATAGTAATTTAACTAAATCTCATTTAAATTTCTCAGGTTGCTTCTTTCCTATTATATCTATCCGATGTCGAAGAAGGAGGTGAAACTGTATTCCCTTTCGAGGTATAAGCTCCCCTCTCGGCCATTCCTTTCTTACCATTGCTACACTTCGACTTTACAAATATATCATTACACTGTAGTTTACAAAATTTCTTGCAGAATGGGAATATAAATCCTAAATATGACTTTCGCCAATGCACCGGTCTGAAAGTAAAGCCGCGCCGGGGAGACGGGCTCTTGTTCTACTCGCTCTTCCCGAACGGCACACTTGATCCTGTGAGTTGTTCTTCTAGACATTTTTAATTAATGTCTATCATCTTCCTTGTCATAATGCAGTGATTGTTTATGTATATGTATATACCTGTGTGAATGATTTTCAGACATCTCTTCATGGAAGCTGTCCGGTGATCAGAGGTCAAAAATGGGTTGCCACAAAATGGATTGGTGTTAATGTTCAGGACGACGACAGTCGTTAGCAACTATGATATATGGTATTTATTTATTTTTTATTTTTTTGCAAAGAACTGTATTTTAAGTTTTGGAATAGAGAAATGTTTTGATACAAGATTATGATGTTCGAATAGTTAGCTGCTGAATATTGGCGTGTATTTTTATTTAAATTTCTAGACTTATATTCTTGGATTTGTTTGTTGTCAAAATGATTTTGAAAAAAAAAAAAAATATATTTTTATGTAAAATATGAAAAATTTTATGCCTAGTGAAACAAATATTTTTATTAAAACTGTGTCCAAAAGTATGAATATATATTTATTTTTTAAAAGATAGAAGAATGTATATTGCTAAAAAATTAATTTATAATTTTTAGGATTAAATTAAATATATTTAATAAATAATGAATTGTATATATCATGATAATATCAGTTAAATTATAGTAAAATTAATTATAGTAAAATTAATCACATTAATATCATATATCTTTGTTTAATTATAGTAAAATTAATCACATTAATATCATATATCATTTAATTTTTATTTAAATTATAATATATATTTATAAATACGATTAATTTATATATATAACATAAATAAAAAAATATTAAAACTATATTATTTTTTTATTTACTATTATTAAACTTCAAAAGAGTGATTTAAATTAAAATGGAAGGAATTATATTTTACAATAAAATTATAAATGATATTTTAAATATTACTCTCTCTCCGTTCTCACATAATTTATCCTTAATTTTTATTTTTTGTTCATCTCAAATTATTTATTTATTAATTTTAATTTTAATTTATAATTATTTTTATTATATAATATTTATTTTTATTGATACACCTTTTAGATTATTTATTTATTACTATATTTTACCTAAATTATCCATCTACAACAGTAAATCCAAATTACATGCGACTGAATGTGAATGTGAATGTGAGGGAGGAAGTAAAAAATAATTATATCAAACGAAATATAATCAAATAAAGTAAATATATTATAATTTCAACTGCATAAGATAAAATAAAATAAAATATTAATAAATTAATTAGTATAATCCAGGATTATAATCTCATTCTTCGAATAAAACACATATTCACTAATTTCGATATATATATATATATTATATATTAATCTTCTTTCGCCATGGGAAGAAGTAAACGTGAGTTCAACGGCGAAAGAATTCCCGCCGCGCTGCGCACTCAATTTTTGTGCCTGTCTCCGTGTACACACTCTCTCTCCCTGCTTTTTTCTTTCCATTCCTCCGCCGGCGACACCGCCGCCATCGATCGACATCTCCGTCGCCTGCCTTCCGAGGAGTCTGCAATCGAGTATTGCAGCTGTTCAGGTCAGGTTTCAATTTCAACCGCGCGCTGAAGGAGAAAGTAGGATGAAGGTCAGAGGGAGTAGAATCGTCGCGGTAACTCGGGCTAATTTAGGTCTGATGTCGATTTTGTTCTTAGGTATTTGCTTCTTTATCGTCGGATTTCTCGGCGGCGCTCTCGTCGTTCAGCAGGTCGATTTTTATTTTTTTCTTTTATTTTGGTTATTTAGGATTTTCGGAATACGGTTGCGTGCGATTCTATATATCTTCTTCGTTCGAAGTATCTGTATCGTATAGTTATCGATTGCTGCGTTGCGTGTGTGCTTCAGGAGGCACTTAGTGATTCTCGGCCGCGGATGCGGAAAATTAGGGAAGAGGAGAGGAGAGAGTTGGAAGCACAGCCACAGCCACAGGGGCATGGCGTCTCCGGTGAAGGTTACGTGGGAACGATCCCCTTTCAGGTACATACTGTATAATATAATATAATATGATTCACGCTGTATGTGTTTTGGTTAATTTTGTATCCTCAAATGTTTGCTTCTGGTAGTATATGTTGAATTAATGGTTTTGTTCGTTTAAATTTATCGTTTTATAGTATGTGATTTTTCCTGAAGTGTTTGAGGAACAATATTGTTCCTATTGGAAAATCAAGAGTCCTATTTCATTAACATTTGGATTTGAATTTGGGATTTGGAAATCAAACAAATTTGAATTGGAGCAAACTTAATGTGATATATATAATTAGGTGTTTGACTATATGTTTTGAATGAAATTTTGGTGCTGCCTTTTGGAGTTTAGTTTAGTTTAGTTTAATTTTTTTTTTTTTTGGTTTGAATAGTGATTTGGAGGTGATGTTTAGTGAAATGAAATAATCTACTTTTATTGAGAATAGTAATGGTTGCATAAGTGATTGGACACTATTAGGATGGTGCCGAGACTATTAAGATGGAGACGAGACTGGAGCGTAATTAATCGTTATTAAATGAGAAAAATAGGTGGCGAAGCATTCAACTTATTTTAGTGATTTTTTAGTGAATTTTTATGACTTTTTTGTGCTTGAATGTTACTTTTAAATGTGTGATGCATCGTGGTATTATGCCTGTAGGTGATTTTATTCTTCAAATTTTGTTCATGTAATTTTGATAAGTAGATTTTGAGTTGGAGACCCCGTGCATTGTACTTCCCAAATTTTGCTTCTCATGCACAATGTCAAAGTATTATCAATATGGCGAAGTTGCAACTCAAGCCGTCAACGCTAGCTCTCCGTCCTGGAGATACACCTGAAAATACAAAAGGCATTAGAACAAGGTGACTACTCACTACGTCTGCTTATTTGCTTTCTTTTCCTATTACGAGATACCCGCGCATAATTTCTTTTTCCAAATGTTGATTTAAGATTATTTATTTGTTTATTTTGTCTTGTTAGCTCTGGTATGTTTATTAGTTCATCTGAAGACAAAACTGGAATCCTAAATCAGATTGAGGAAAAGATTGCCAGAGCCACAATGATCCCCAAAACTCATGGAGAGGTAATTGTTTTACTGATAATATATTCACGGTTGAGCTATATTCAGTGCATCGACAAAAACCATTATACATTCCATCTAACAATGATAAGTAATGTGGATACACGTATCTCTAGGATTACAGATGACAAGTAGTTTGATACTCACCTCACAAGACACTTTAGATTTGTCGTAAAATAGTTTAGAGGGACTCTTTCTTTATGTGAATTTATCAGACTGATTAATTCTGGTTCAGTTTCTTACGAAAAATTCTAATGACGCCTCTTATCATTTTGTGCAGTCCTTCAATGTCCTGCGATATGAGATTGGACAGCTCTATGAATCGCATCACGATAGTTTCGACCCTAATATTTTTGGTCGGCAGAGGAGCCAACGGGTAATATAAATATATTCATTCGCTTTAGGCTAAAGAACACTTAGAAACACACACACACACATATATGTATATATATTTCTCATTACACAATGGTTTAACTAAATCTCATTGAAATTTCTTAGATTGCTTCTTTCCTATTGTATTTATCCGATGTCGAAGAAGGAGGCGAAACAATGTTCCCTTATGAGGTATAAACCCCCCTTTCCTTAATTTTACTACACTCCAACATCAGGAATTACTGTAGTTTACAAAAAAACTCCTTCAACATACAGAATGAAATTATAGATCCTAAATATGACTTTCACCAATGCACCGGTCTGAAAGTAAAGCCGCGCCAGGGGGACGGGCTCTTGTTCTACTCGCTGTTCCCGAACGGCACACTTGATCCTGTGAGTTGCTGTTCTAGGCATTCTTAATATATCTGTCATCTTCCTTGTCATAATCAGTGATTGTTTATGTGTATGTATATATGTTTTTGAATTATTTTCAGACATCTCTTCATGGAAGCTGTCCGGTGATCAAAGGTCAAAAATGGGTTGCCACAAAATGGATTGGGGATAATGTTCAGGACGAAGGTAATTAACAACTCTGGTGGTATTTATTTTTTGTGCAACAAACTGTATTTTAAATTGGTCAAGTTTTGGAATAGAGAAATGTTTTGTTCGAATAGTGACATTAATTTTTATTTTAACTTTTATACATACATTTTTTGTGGTTCTACAATAACAATATTGTGTTAATTATTATGGTCTTGTCATGTAGAAAAAGTTTTATTCATCATAATACAAATGTTCTAAAATCATTTACTTTCATATGTTATTTTGAGTTTAAATACTTTTGTTTTTGTAAAAATATATCATTTATTCTCTTATATTTAAATTATTGTTTAAATTAGTATTGAAATTAAACTTCAAAACACATTTGGTATATCATTGCATCATTTTAGATATAAAAAGTTAGAAACATTCCTTGTTCGAAGGCTAGCTCTTTTGTTAGACCCCGAGTGGGTGTGTGTGCTTGAGTTGGGAGAAAATTCCCCATCTAATACTTTTGTCCAAACATACTTAATCAGATGCAGATCACAATCATGAGCTAAAGAAGTATAGAAAAAGCACAAATGGTACATATATATATAGATATATAACTATGGATTCAAAAATGTTATATGTATTTAGAAAGACAAACTAGATTCAATTCAAATTGAGCATAAATAAACAGGCTCTGCTGCAGGTAAAATTACATATCTATTATACTGCAAGTTGTTGAAACTGAAGGGTTGAAAACTAGCAGTAGTAGTAGTAGTGGTCTTGACATAGAACAATGTTTGTTACTTATAACAAAGTACACATAATTTTGAAAAATCCAGCCCAGTGAATGCAACAACAATGGATAGCTCTGGGACAAAGCCGGCAGGCTATTGTGTCCGTGTTCGGCTATTTTCTGCAGCCCTCACTTGGGAGAAATAAGGATGGGCCTAAGAGCAAGGAAAGAAGAAGAACAACACAACGCATTAGGAATTAAGGAAAACGAGCAGGAAAACTGATCGAAAAACAAACCATCTTAGGAGAAGACAAAAATGGGACTTAATCAACAAAGTTGAAGATGCTACCATTGCTTCTCTGGCCGTGAGCCTGTCTTGATGATCATAGCGCAGGAGTTTGTCGAGGAAATCTATGGCCTGGTGCAGTAAAAGAATAAGTTTTTTTAAGATACTAAAGCAGGGTGAGGGTAGATTATGACAAGTGATGAGATAACTGTAACCTCCGGTGACACAAGATGCTGATTGTCGGCATTGACAAATTTCGACCATGGTTTCCTGCTGTGTCTGGTGAATGAAAAGGGAACCAATTTAGTGAGTTATTTGATCAAACTTTGGTGGGCATATTTTAGTTTTATTTGTAATGCCTCAAGAAAATATTTCAGAACAAGCATACCTCCCGACTAGAGCTTCGAGTTGTGGATCAAGATCCAAGCGGTATTTGTGCAAATAGGCGTTCAACTCATCAGTTCCAAGTACCTGACAGAACAGTTTGATTTCAGATCATTTGAATTAGTGTAAGAATACAACCTTTTGAACGTAAATAAATACAGCCGAATAATTAGAAGATTATCATCAGCAGCACGACTAGATGCAAACATGCTACTTTTTTCTTACCTTGGCGATTTTAACCAACTGATCCTGATTATCATGCCCGTAAAAGAAAGGCTCCTTGCGAAAGATCTACATAAAGAATAGGAGCCAAGATGAGGTCATGAAAGATGGTTTATCTGAAGATAGGGCGCCGAAAATCTCACCATTCCTGCAAACATGCAACCAAGGCTCCACATATCCAGGGAATAGTCATAGTCTTGCAAGTCAACAAGAAGCTCAGGACCCTTGAAGTATCTGAAGACAAATGAGATAAAGTTCCGATAAATAGTAAGAAGAGTTAAATTGACAAATAAAAAATTAAAGTCCAGCCCAAAAAAAAAAAGAAAAAAATGGCAAAGAAAATGAGAGACGAATTCACCTATCAAAAGTCATCAACTATTTCGACACTTGAGAAGAAGCGAAGGTGTTGTTTAATTATTAGGTTTTGTCACCAGGGCAAGTATCGCTATATTTTCAATTACTGTTCAAAGTTTTAAATCAAAGAACAGCTGCAGGGTTCTTTTCATATGAGCATCTCCATGCATAATGTATTGAAAAATGCCTAGATTCACCCTTTTTAAGCATACTCCTAAAGCCAAAATCTGATGCAAGGTATTAAAATTGGCACTTTCAATTTTACCATTAGGATAATTTAAAATCCACTGTAAGAAACAATGCCAACAAATAATCTGGCTGTAGGTAGGTAACTTCTGACTTCTGCTGATATGATTGCGATGCACCAAAAAGACCAACAATTTATAGGCGTACCAATGAAGACCCAATAATCTAAGTAAAAACAGATTAACAGCCAATGAGCCTGTTACAGTGTTTCAGAAATATAAGTTTTAGTTTTTACAGCCAATTAATTGGTATATAACTGTCAGACACTATAGAAAGCACAATGGTCTAAACCCTAAAGATGAAATCCTATATGGCAGCATATTCGTGATGGAAAAGGGAAAGGTAACAACCTTGCTGTTAATATAGAGAGGAGATGTGTTACCTTGAAGCGACACGCACATTATACTCCTTTCCAGGGTGGTAAAATTCGGCAAGACCCCAATCAATCAAGCGAAGCTTTCGCAACTCATGGTCTATCATCACATTATGAGGTTTGACATCTCTATGCATTATTCCCTGAGAGTGACAGTAATCCAGTGCCTGCAAGATTATATTGCAATTTAATCCCGAGATCATAGTAAAATCAAGAAATATTCAACCATCTCATTTCTTTTGGAATACTTGTGAATAGAGGTTCAACAACGCCTTGAAACTCTTTATTAAAAAGAAAACCAATATAAGAAAAATATATTCCTAAGAACAGAATACATCTACACTCATCTTGAAAATTTTAATGGGGTAGGAAACAATCACTTCAGTTTGTTTTCTTTTAAAAATTTTGCATTTTCATAAAAGCATCACATAATCCCCAAGTTTCCATTCTATAAATACAATAGTATAACCTCAGTTAAACAGCGATCAGAGCTTAGTCTGAATACAACTTAATCAACCGGCACTTGTGTTGACTAATTTAGACAAAATCTAGAATCAAGAGTGAATGTCAAAATCTTTATTAACAGAACTATTATTGAATTCCAAATGATAATTTAATTAATGGCATAATCCAAACAGATCAAGTATGAACATACATTGTGGATTTTTTTGTAAAAATCATATGGTAAATGACCCACTTCAGCTGAAGTGTGAAATAGATAAATCATTTTAAACAACAACCAATTAATTCAACTCTAGAGCTCATTTACACTTAAAAATATCCTAGGAGTCATATAAGATGGTTTCAAATGCACCTCTTCAGGAATAAATGTTAATGACATGCATTAATATCCATTCCCTGGTCTAACAGAGCAAAATTGAACAAAGATTGGGGGAGTGAATGATATATTCTTACCTTGAGGAGCTCATATATGTAGTAGCGAATGTCATAATCTGTTAATGTAGGGTACAGAACTTTGAAATCTGTACTATTCACATATTCAAATATCAAGCTTGGAGTTTTTGAGTGCTGATCTCTGACAATATCTAAGAGTTTGACAATGTTTGGGCCCCCACATAAGTTTTGCAGTATTTTAATTTCTCTCTTTATCTGCAATAGAAAACAGAAAATAAAATTATGAACACGCTCAGCATCAACCTTCTCAAGCACATCTCAAGGAATCAAGATATGGGAAGGAATGTGACAAAAGAGTATAATTTGGTATCAATGGAGCTTCTTACAGAGTTGCATTTAATAGTACATCATTGGATCCACATCATGGGAGGTGATAGTATGCATTTTGAAGCTTCTAGTGGGAACCAAGAGGAATTGAAAATAAAAGAGGCAGACAGACAGTAGAATGTGGATATGACATGCTTATCGATGCTATCATATGGCGTGAAGTGTAATCCGCTATAAGGAGATTATGAAAACATGATAGAGGTAAAAAGAGGATGATGTAATGTTGATTTAGCACATGGAGTACTCAACAGTTAATGCTATAAGCATAATAAAAACTACAAAGTATTTCAAAACTTGTCGATTCAGCTAAGTATCATTTGAAAGTAAAGACAACACTTAGGGAACTTTTGAAGAATAAATGCATACAATAGGCAATGGAAGACAAAGTCAGATTACACATGCTTAATTGCCTGAGTTCATATACAACAGTATTTGGAGCTACGTTAACTTAAATAAAAAATTTCATTAAATAATAGTAATATCCCTTTAATCATTTCTGTAATATGTGCCAATTATAAATAAAAATAAACATTTAAGTGCATCAGAGGAAAGTAACTGGCAGGATCGAGCTGTAGAAAACAGAAATATGTGAATCTAAGAATCAAGATCCGGACTGCCAACCAAAAGTGGCATCAGATGAGTTTCCGATGATATAGTCACCTTCTAGTTACCTTGATTTCAAGATAAAAGGAACATTCTTTATTACCTTCTTCTTCTTGACAGGTTTCAGAATCTTGATTATGCACCGTTCATTGTTGTTCACATTTATCCCTTCGAAAACTTCACTGTACTTCCCCCTTCCAACTTTGCGAACAACCTCATAATCATCTTGGTCGCTGAAATGCAAAAGCATAAACTAACAGTAAGGCATCAGAACTTAACTACCAGTTCATAAACTCTCCTTTGCCAAATTAATCACTAGAACATAAATACTTAGAATCACCCATATCTTGATCTTTCTAATCCAAAATCCAAAAAGGAAAACACTTTGTAACATTTTATTTCCTCCCTCCAACAGATTTAAGCATAAGCTTGCAACAATATTATACAATTGTAAATTGAAAATTAGAATATTGGATCAACATTTTGGTTCTAACTTCAGAATGGGTTGCATTATCATAATCTCAATGCTCTACCAGAATGGAATACCTCAGTTGAGGAATAGGTTGTATTTTTATTTTTATTTTCTTGTTCTGAAATTAAACTGCAAACCGAATATCTAGTTGCATATATATCACGCCAATCAACCAGGTTTAAAAATATTCAAAAATTTCCTTCAAAAATTCAAACGCAAATCTCTCAAAAGCTTCATTAATTACCATGCATGCTCGAGCTTCAGCAATTTATAAACAACACTAAATCAGATCTCCTACCGAGCAATTACCATAAAAACGGCGCAATTACCGATAAATCAAGGGGGAAAAAACCATAACTACCCCGACCGACTTACCCCCACTGAACAGTGAGATTTTCATAGTCCCAATAATCCTTTGGGCGCAGCACGTTGACGTCCGCGTATACCCGCGCTTTCGACATCCTCAAGGCGTAGATCGCCGGCGATGCGGACACGCCGCCTTCGATCTGGAACACGGCGTCGAGCGGTGACGGAGAAGGGGATCGCAGCCCCACCGGCACGCAGAGGGCGACGAGGGCGCAAATTAGCGAGACGCAGAGCAACAGGATGGTGTCGTGCGCCAGCGGCGTGCTTTCACTTCCCTATTTTCATTTTTTATTTATTTATTTTTTTAATTTTAAATTTCGATTTAAAAATTATTAAAAAATATTAAAGAATACGCCGGCTGCGAATTGCAAATAGCGATCGATCTTCATTCACGCCTGAAAAGAATGTCACGAAAATATCTAAAATCCGGGCAGGGCAGCCGGGCAGTACGGTCCTTCTTTATACACAAGCACCTGGACCCGGGCGCCAGATAGATCCTGTCCATCCACTACTCTAAATCAACGGTGTAGATATCGGATCATCTATCCGTCGTCTCCACCAACCACCATACATGGAAAACCTCATAAATTGATCCAAATCATTCCCAGATCCCACGTCGACCCGATCGATTACATAATCCATGAAGTATTTTAAGTTTCCCCCAAATTTGTTAAACCCTAATTGAAATCGATCGACGCATCAATGGCGACCAAAAACCCTAACCCTAACCCAAGACACTGAAGATCAGGTGGGGGCAGAGAAATCCAGAAAGGACCCACCACCAGTTAATTCAAATCTATCTTGCTCAGCAATGGAGATAACCAATCTACATGTGGTAGGGTACGTACGTACTTGTGCTTTATTTATTACATGGAGGACACTGGAGACCCACTTCGCCATGGATTTGTTGGGTGCTCTGAGAGTGAAACTGAAAGCATATGCATTAATATTTTACTGCCATCCTTCGTTATCATCAGCCCATGATTTGGCAGGTGCGATTCTGCAGTCTTTGTTGCACTTATTTAATGTCTTTGGGGCCAAAATTTATCACAGTTTTAGCTCTAGTGTTCGAAAACTATGAGTTGAGAGCCTTATGTAATGAATCAAATGTATAGTAACTGAATTGCATTGAAATAGTTGTACAAGATTTCGAAAAAAAAAAAATTGAAAGAGGAAGAAGCAAGTAGACAAGAAACAGTGGAATGGAGGTGTTGTGTGTCGGGACATTGGGTTAGGAGTGGACATCATGGGTTGGGACCTATTACATGTGAACAAAAGCTATGCTCAATTATTCGAACACGGCTGGCTTGATCGATCTCTCACTTTTTTTTCTTGGCCTTTTTGGTTCATTCATGGATGCATATCTGTTGTAGGGGGATTTATGTTACTGAATTTTCGATTATATTCCCATAATTAAGAGCAAAATGGTGTTACAAGGGAAGAGGAAAAGGATTGGTCTGATTTGTGGATGATAATCGTTTCCAACGGGGCGAAGTTGCTGTTTTGGCACTATCTTAGCTGCATCTCCCACCACACACTCCATACCGAATCTCTTTTACCCTCCACACTTGCATTTGCCCTAAGTTTCTCCACATATTATCCGGAATACAATTAGGAATGGGGGGGCCTATAAAGGGGATTCTCCCGACCGATGATGATTGGCTTAGCTGGAAGAATTAGATCAGAGAATCGAAGATCATTAAAGGTGTTTTGGTTCGTGATTAAGAGTAGAAGATCATCCTCTATTTTGTGATGGCAGTCGGTTGTGGTCACTGTTTAATTAATAATTGAAATGGCCGATCTTGATTGGGAGCAGAAGACGCAATCTGATACGGCACAAATGTTCGAGAAGAAAAAGGATCTCCTGTCGACTGCCATGAAGAGGACCAGTGAATGGTTTGCTCTCTTTGCTCGTCTAATTATGAAAAGGAGAGAACTTTTTTATGTCGAAAATCATTACAGTGGTTTGATCTGTTTCTTTTGGACAGGATTTTTTCTCAAGAAATCCCTAGTGATTTAACCGTTGTCGCCGGTGGAACTTCCTTTTCCCTGAACAAGGTAAAATCTTTAATCTGTTTGATCGATTAGTGTGTGGTGTCCGAGAATTGGGATTAAGTTACGTATAGTCGGCCGTATGTTTTTACATTTGAAGTTTTATCGAGCGAATAAACTACAAGAACAGAGTAGCTTCCATAACATGATTTGGGGAGCTTTTTTTTACAGTTTCCTTTAATCTCGAAATGTGGATACATAAGGAAGGTCGTCTCGGATTCCTCCAAGTCCGAGGTTTCTGTAATCGACATCCCCGATGCACCCGGCGGCGCCGAGGCATTCGAACTCGCGGCGAAATTTTGCTACGGAATTAACTTCGAGATCAATACGGAGAACATTGCGATGCTTAGATGTGTCGCAGAGTTTCTCGAGATGACCGAGGAATGCGCCGTCGGGAATTTGATTGGCCGAACCGAGGCATACATAAACGAAGTGGCGTTGAAGAGCCTTGCGGGGGCGGTGTCCATTTTACATTCTTGCGAGGATCTTTTTCCGACTGCCGAGAAAGTAAAATTGGTTAGCCGTTGCATCGACACCATTGCGTTTGTTGCCTGTAAGGACAGCCAGTTTGCAGTTCCGATGAGGGGCGACGGTGGGCTAAACGACATCGGTTCTTACAACTCAAAGCCCGTTGTCGATTGGTGGGCGGAAGATTTGGCTGTCCTAAGGATCGATCTCTTCCAAAGAGTTCTTATTGCGATGATCGCTCGGGGATTCAAACAGTACGCTCTCGGTCCGATACTCATGCTGTATGCGCAGAAATCGCTTCGTGGTTTGGTGCGTATTTGTACTTATCCCTTCGAACGTCGATAACATGAACTAACACGCTTTGCTCTCTTGTTTCAGGACATATTCGGGAAGGACAGAAAGAAAATCGATCCTAGACAAGAACACGAGAAAAGGGTCATTTTAGAAACGATCGTCAGTCTTCTGCCAAGGGAGAAGAACGTGATGTCGGTCAGCTTCCTCTCGATGCTTCTCAGGGCTGCGATTTACTTAGAAACGACGGTTGCTTGCAGACTCGATCTCGAGAAGAGAATGGCGCGGCAACTTGGGCAGGCCGTGCTCGACGATCTCTTGATCCCTTCTTACAACTTCACCGGAGACACGTTGTTCGATGTTGACACCGTGCAGCGGATCATGACGAACTTTCTAGAATCCGAAACGGAGGTGAACAAAGCGGGTTATCACTCGGACGACGATTACGTCTTCTCGCCGTCGCATAGCGACGTCACGAGAGTTACCAAATTGATGGAGAATTACCTTGCGGAAATTGCGTCCGATCGCAATTTATCCGTTCCAAAGTTCATTAGCCTCGCTGAACTCATCCCCGAGCAGTCCCGAGCGACCGAGGACGGCATGTATCGATCCGTTGACATATACTTAAAGGTCCGCGCCGCTATTTAATTTAATTTTTTTTCCGTAACATAAAAATTGACCCTTTTTTCTACGTCGATAGGCTCATCCCGCGTTAAGCGACATGGAGAGGAAGAAAGTGTGCGGCGTGATGGACTGCCAAAAGCTTTCGAGAGAGGCGTGCGCGCATGCCGCGCAGAACGACCGGCTTCCCGTCCAGACGGTCGTTCAAGTGCTTTATTACGAGCAGCAGCGACTTCGGGATGCGATGGACGGTAGTTTAAGCGAGTCGTCGCCGTCGACGGCGGCTGCGAGACAGAGCCCGTTTTCGCGGGACATTCACTGCACCGACGAGGTCTCGAATCTGCGGCGGGAAAATCAGGATCTGAAGCTGGAGCTGCTGCAGATGAAGATGAGAATGAAGGAAGTCGAAAAGGGTGTGGATAAGACGCAGCCGTCGGGAAGTCCGGCAGTGCCGTCGATCGGAAAACCTCCGCTGCCGCGGAAATCGTTCATGAGCTCTGTGTCGAAGAAGCTCGGGAGATTGATTAAGGCGGACGGGATCATGGCGCAAGGGTCGAGGGCGAGGACTAGGCCAGCAAAGGACCGGCGGCATTCGATATCGTAAGATGTTCGGACAACAGGTTTGATGTCGGGTTTCTTACGTAAAAATGGGATCGGTACTTCTGCTTCTTCTTCGATGCCTTATGTTTTCTTGTTTATTGTTGTGATTTTTGGTGTTGTGTGGATTATTGTCATGTGTTTGTCGTTGTAAAAATTGTAATGTACTCGATGTACGATATGTGAATTGATGAAAACGTTGCAGTGTTGAGACGATCGTTATGTTTGTTTTAGATGTTTTTAATTTTTTTTTAATAAAATAAAATATTATATTAAAGTATTATTATATAAAAACCATTTTTTTTTTTCAAATCCAGAGGAAACAAATTTTATGAGATACGGATAAGTGATGCCGAATAAGAGAATCGTTGTTGAGGATCGATTTTTTTATTATTATTATTATTATTTTTAAATAATTGCAATAATAATAATAATAATAATAATAATAATAATAATAATAATAATAATAAGGGGTTAAGAAACACATATTTGAAGTCTTAGCAATCTCGGATGGTAAAAAAAAACATCTTACATTATGGCAAAAAAATTCATTTAATTTGTTGGACTGTTTCAAAATTATTTTAACAATTCTTCGATCACTCTAAATTTTACTTGTTACGCATAATTTTTATAGTTTACAATGACTTAACAAAAACCTCACAATTTCTAATATATTGAAAGAACAATATATTCAGGTACATATTGTATTCATTTATAGTTCAATAGAATGCATAATTATATTCAAATTATACACACATATATATATATATAGTATATGCATATTTAGATTTTAATTATATATATTTTTGTTATCATCAAATTCAATGTCTACTTAGGTTACATCAAAATTTATTTTCATTGATTTTTTTTTTTAAATATATATTTTAATGAAATAGAGATTTAATATAATGTTTTATAAGATAAAAAATATGTATTTTATTAGGGAACTAAATATTATATATATATATATATATAACAATATAACAAAATGATCATAGTTCTAATGGATCTATTCCGATCATTTTGAATTCTTTTATTATAATTTTTTTTACCATTCAATTTTCATACATTTTTTTTTTTAATAATTTTAATTCTTAAATAAATTATCAAATTAAATTATTATTATGAAAATTTTATTTAAGAATTAATAAAAATAATAATTAGATAAATAGAAAAAATAGTATAAATTAATTAATATTAATTAAAATAGAAATAATATAATTATAAGTGAATAAATTATTTACTATAAACAAAATAAAATGTAAGTTTAACTAATATCTAAAAAAAGATATAATGACGCATAAAGGGAGTATAACAAATACATTGACCCTGCTTATATAATACTTTTTTCGTCTCAATATAATAGTCTTGTTTATTATTTTTGTCCGTTCCAAAATAATAGTTTTGTTTTCATAAATAATCATATCACTATAAAACTACATCTATTTTTTCATTTTTATTACACAATTGTTACTACTTTTTACATTAATAAATTCACAAGGGCAAAAAATCTTTTATCCATACTTTTTACCAACTAATCAATATTCTTTAAATTTCGTACCCAACTCAATTAAAACTATATTTATAGGAGGGAGTACTTATTAAAATTCGGTACTATTTAATTTTTTTTTTTAAAAAAACATCAAATTAAATTTTTATTTTTTATAAAATATTAAATTAAAAGAACCATATCTTAACGATCCTAATTATGAGAGTGTCATGTCATGTCACGTGGAAAGCTTACAAAAATATTATTAGATAAAAAGAAAAAGAGATGGAAAGTGGAAAAATTCAGATAAAAAGAACCTCCTCAGGCCACTTATTTATATTATTATTTTATTTGTCTCATAACTTTTTCAATGCTTATTTTTAGTATGATTTTTTTTCTGTGGTATAATTTTAGTAATTTTTTTACTATTTATTCTTATTTTTTTAAAAAAAAAATTATAAATTATATTTAGAAGGATAAAATAGAAATAAAAGAACTTTTGAAACATCTCAAATAATAAATAGGAGTACTAAAATATTTGAAACATAAGGTTTCAATTTGATTGATTATACTCCCTTGTTTCGTTGAAATGTTGCCATTTTCATTTTTTATTTGTCCCAAATCAAAGTTACTATTTTTTAATTTAATAATTGTATTACCTACCTAATATAATAAACATCATTCTAATTTATACTATATTATAAAAATATCATTATTTTTATATTACATAATAATTATAAGGGTATTTTTTTCTTTTTTACTACAACCCAATATAATACTACAATAAAAAATTTACGTGCAAAAAGTAAATGACAACTTTTCTACGGGAGGGAGTATATTTTTTTGACAATTTTTTTCAAAATTTATTATTTAGACTATATGATTTTCTAAAAAAACACTTTTTTTTTATGTTATAAAATATTTTATTAAATATATTTTAATACCAAATTCAAATTAAACTTTCTCGAACCAAACCTAAAAGAAAAATATATATATATATATATATACACACATATATTCTCTTTAGCGTTAAGGCTTACACGAATGCTTATTGGTGGGTCCAAACAAACAAACCAATCAACATATAATTAAAACTTTATACTATAAAATATTATATTTCATACATATTTTATTTAAAAATTAATCGAATTAAAAATACGAGAAAAAAAAAAAAAAAAACCCACACACAAACACTCGCAACTTTTTGAAATAAGAGAAAAGAGGTTTTCCAAGTCAGGGTTCAGCCAAACATTAACATTTGATAAAAATATATTTATTTTATTTTATAAAAAATCAAATCAAAATAATTTTCAAACCAAATTCTGATCAAAATTTCAAATTCAAATAAAAACACAAACAAACTCAAAATCTCCAAACACAATAATCCAAATTAAAAAAGAAACACATCCATTATTATTGTTATTGTAATAACCAACGGCAGCCGAAGCCGCAGCCTTTTTTGGGTATTTATTTAATTAATTAATTATTTATTTGGGAATGGAATCTAATGTTCATTTGGTGGCAGACACATCAAAAACACCTCATCACACTCACTATTCTATTCTCAAATTTATTTAAAAAATAAACAAAAAAATTCAAAAATATAAATTTGTTTTCCATGTGGTAGGTAGGTACAACGATGAGGATGAATATTAATTAATTAAATTTAAATAATAGAAAAACATATTTATACATTGGCCTGCCTGTTTACAGGCAATTAATATTAATTTTTTTTTGTTATTACATATTATCCTATAGAAGAAGTCGACCAGGTTTATGTCTCCATTGCGTGTACCTATACATAATTTAATTTTATTTAATTTTTAATTGAGATTAAAGCTCTCATCAGAACTGTCTGCAAGTACAATCAATAATGCAGATTCCCTTCTGCAAGAGAAGCGCCCGGGAGCACGAATCCGGATTAAATCTCAGCCGTTGATTTTCATGTACGGTGAGGATCCACCCAGATCTGGTTTCGCTGTCTTCTTCTTCTTCTTCTTTGACCTAATTCTTCACTCCCTTTTACATCCTTAAGAACTTCCTACTTTAAAATTTCCGAACACAGAATGGCAATGGAAGAAGAATCAATCGTGATCTGAAAATTATGGAAAGGTCTTATCTTCATGTGATCTAGCCATGTGGGGACAGAGCTCTCGGGATTCCCCAAAAGATTTTTTTTTTTTTTTTTTACAATCTGTCTGTCTGTCTGTCCTAAAACTCATTCAATCTGACCATCAATCCTAGTTTTCTGCAAAGCACGAAATTGTTTTAGGAAAAGGAACTGTCTGTCGATCGTAGGGATAGAATCATCGAATTAGTACTATCTGATACAGAAATGCCCATTTTCTGAAATGAACAAAATTTATAAACATTAATTGGAATTAAAAATCCCAAACCCTAAAACTACATTTCAATTAATTTTTCATGTCAAATTAAGGCTGGGTAGAATCCATGGCGGGCTGCTGAGCCTGTCCTGATTAGATACAGGATTAATTGCTGTCGGGAGCCCCCATTTCTGGCGGGGCAATTTTATGTGGTTCGACCCGGTCGAGGAAGAAGAAAAGCTCGTGCCGGAATCGGACCGGAGCTCCGGTTCGGAAGCTTTGATTTTCTTCTGGTAATAGCTTCGGGGCCCTAATGTCAGCTCCAGATCGCTCTGCTCATCTTCGATTGCCGGAAAACTATATTTTCCGGCGGGTCGGGTCGGGTCGGGAAATTGGATACCCGCCGGCGATGCGTAATGTGGATGGCGGCGGGTGTTTCCGGCGGTGGCGGCATCCTTCATTAGCATCTTCTGGATTCGGTAGAGACGGTGGAGCTCAGAAACCTGAATTGGAAAATTAGGGCAGATTAGAAATTTCAATTCATCGACGAAATCGAAAAGGGGAAAAAGAAAAGAAAATAAAAAAAATAAAATTCACCTGGTGTCTGAAGGTTTCCTCGTGCTTTAACATCGCCATTTTCATGTACTCCTTGTCGTAAGGATTCAGAAGATTCTCCATCTCGGACAAATCATACAAAAGACTCGATTCTGCTGTTGGATTATTACAGCGAAAAATCAACTTCTGCAAGAGAGAAACAGAAGAGTACTCACGAACTGTAGAGAATGGCGTGGAGATAATAATTATTGGCAAGGAAAGAAAGTAAAAATATCTTCCAGACATGGCATGGCATCGTTTTCAAAGACACACTGATTACTTACAAGTTCCATGTTTTGACTCTCAGATATTTTCTTTTGGATTTATAACAGCTTTCCTGTCCACATATTTATTTTATTTTTCAGACAATTGGGATTCCTAAAAATAGCTCCTTTTTTTTTCTTTTTTCAAGCATATATTCAAGTAGAGTTCAAATAGGACTCGTAATAACTCAAGAAATTAAAATAGGAAGAGGATATTATGTGAAAAGATCTGCAAATTTAAAGAACTAAGAGTGAAAACAAAAACCCTCATAAAAAACAATCTAGAAAATCTAAGCCCTCTTGTCAAAATCAAGAAAATTCAGACAAGTTAAAACACTGTCTTGAAACTTGATTCTTACCTCAAGAAATCCCACAACTTCTGGAGAAGGAAGGAAGGAAGGAAGACAAACTCTCTCTATCTCTAGATTCTTCCCTCTCTCTCTATCTCTCTCTCTCTCTAGACTCTATATATATATATGTGAGTGTATGTATATGAAGAAGACACAGAACCCAAAGCAAATCTTGATGGTGGGTTAGATTTGATCGAACAAATGAAGAGGGGGCAGTTCAATTCATTCCAAACAAATCCTTAAATGTACTACTTCTCTTCTTACCCAATCTGCTTCAACCTTAATTCGTGTCTGCCTATGTATGTGTATATATATATATATGTGTGTGTAGATAACTGGTTTCGTCACAAATCTTGGGGGAGTATTATATTATATATATGTATGTATGTATGTATTTTGGGAGCTGGGTGGGTGGTTCACGAGGGACAAATCATCAAAATGCCAAAGTGAGAGCACCACCTGCGCCCACGAATTGTATTTCGCCAAACATATATAAATATCTCTTACAGTTGTCATATCAGACAGACGTATATATACGCAACAAATATGTATACGTAAGTGTAAGAAGTACGTATTTGTTAGCTACATACGATACCATGCGCGAATACAGAGAGGGGAGAGATCTGGACCGTACATTGATAGGTATCTGTGCAGCGGACGGCGGAGATAAGCCGGCGCTGAAGTCCAGGGAGCGAGCTCGTGGAGGAAAATCTGGGGAGTCCAAATTATTAATATTGCGGAATTAATTATGACATGGAATCTTAAAACATAATCATTGATATAAATAATAGATATTTTAATTTCGGATAGATTGATGATTGAATTGAAAATGTTGTCACAGTGTTTTACAAGTTATTCTTACCTATCCCTAATCCTAATAGGTGTCTTCTTTTAGTATATTTATTGTTTATCTTTTTGTTTTTGTTTTACTATATGTAACTTTTTTTTATACTAATAAAATTATGATAGTACATAGTTACCCTTAAATATATTATTTTTTTTTATGTAAAAATATAAAAAATATCTTTTTTTATCTTTTATTTTTATATTAACTGTGATTACATTGTACATTATAAATTCTCATCTAACTTATACTTATTTATATTAATATCCTTATTGAATAAAAGATTAAGAAAAAAATCTTTACATACAAAAATATTTATCAACTACCATTTAAATATTATAATATTTTTTTAAACTCCAAGTAAAAGTGTATATATATCTTTGAATATATAGAGAAAATATTTCATTTACAATACATTACATTAGATTTAACTATTATTTAAAATTTGTTGATATATATATAGTATATATATATTTTATATATTGATATATATATTCTACCTAATATATCTCTTGTATAAATATAATATTGTATCCTAATTGTGTTTAATGAAAATAGAGTTTATTCCATAAATCGTAACATGGTATCAGAGCCATGCTTTTTCCCGACTAAATCGAAACAACCCACGAATTCCAGATAGCATCTTTCCGATCACTTCCGACCGTCACCGCCACCACCATCGTCTTCGCCGTCACGAGACCGGCCGGACGCCGGAACAGTTCGGCGAACGGCGGCGCGTGAGAGTCACACGCGCCCGACGTGTTTTTCCGGCCGGACGCCTCGCCGGCGTGTGGGGGCGTGTGCGGCGGCCGTTGGCAGCGATCTTTGCACCGTCGTGTTCGGAATTTGATTTCCTCCGCGATGGTATCTTCACTTCCTCCGTTTGAGCAGTTTTTTGTATCCGGTTGACTTTTTGTGTTTCGGGTTTTGATTCGGTTTCTTTCGTTTCGGCTTTCGGCTTGAGGTTTGAGATTCTGTTTTCTCTTGAGTTTCTATGGAAAAGATGGATGTACATATTCCGATCAATGTTGTTTTGTCTGGAGATAATTACAGTTTGTGGGCACAATCGATGAAAAGTTTTTTGATAGGTCGGAAATTGTGGCGAATTGTTACGGGAAATATAGTTGCCCCCATTGCTCCAGTCTCTATAGGAGAAGTTACGCCTACCGCCACAGTTGTTGAATCTTATATTGAAAAATTGGAAGATTGGGATAGTAAAAACCATCAAATTCTCACTTGGTTGCGCAATACTTCCACTCCGGCGATCCATGTTCAGCTTGCCCAATTTGACACTGCCAAGGCAGCGTGGGATTTCTTGGCAGTCCGCTTCCGTGCTACTGGTTTGGCACATTATTATCAGTTATGGAGCACTCTCCACGATCTAAAACAGGAACCAGGACAATCTATCAACGACTTCCTTGCCCAAGTGCAACCCCTTTGGCATCGATTGGATCAAGCAGAGATCAGTCCTGATCATCTTCGCCTCATTCAGGTCTTAATGGCTTTGCGTCCAGAGTATGAGGCAGTTCGTGCCTCTTTGTTACATCGGCATCCACTTCCTACCTTGGATGCAGCTATTCAGGAGATTCTGTTTGAGGAAACTCGTCTCCACCTAGCTAAGGCTCCTCAGCTTGACTCTGCTCTTGCGGTCACTGCCCGAACTCCTACTCAGAGTCGTTCTCATCGTTGCAAAAGATGTCAGTCCTCTGATCATGACTTCGGTCATTGCCCAAAGGTGGAGTGTCACTACTGTCATGTTTTAGGCCATACTATACAGTATTGCCCCACTAGACCACCTCGCTCTGGAAGTAGTAACTACAAGCCTCGGAATTCTCGTGGACCTCAGTCTGGTACCTCCTCTATCACAGCCTCTGCTGTGCCTGCGCCTGCGCCTCCTACGATTCAGGACCTGGAAGCTCTTCTTAAACAGGTTCTATCTTCCAATATCGCCATGTCTACCACATCAGGTAACTCTCTTTGGTATTTTGATTCTGCTTGCAGTAATCATATGACCTCTGATATACGCCTTATGACCTCCACATCCACCGCACCATCCTTACCCCCTATCCTTACTGCCGATGGTACCCATATGCGCATCACCCATACCGGACATACATCCACCTCATCCTTATCCCTCCCTGACACATACTGTATCCCTCAATTAACCTTAAATCTGATTTCCGTTGGTCAATTAGTTGATCAAGGTCTCACCGTGTTATTTTCTTCTACTGGTGTGCAGGTTCAGGACGCGCAAACCGGGCGGACTCTTGGGACGGGCCGGAAGACGGGCCGCTTATTTGAACTTACGTCACTCCAGGTCCCTCGTCCCTCTATCTCAGCTGCCACCACCTCTACACCATCCTGCCTTCAGTGGCATCGTCGTCTCAGTCATGCGTCTTCCAATAAAGTCAGGTCCTTGATTAGTCAGGGTAGTTTGGGTTCTGTTAAGTTTGAGTCTTTTAATTGTGTAGATTGTTCGTTGGGAAAACAACCTGCTCTGTCGTTTCCTCATAGTACTTCCATTGCGGATACTCCATTTTCTTTAGTTCACTCGGATATTTGGGGACCTTCGCCCACTGTGTCTATGAATGGTTCTCGTTATTTTGTGATTTTTATTGATGACTATTCTCGTTTTACATGGATTTACTTTATGCGGCATCGTTCTGAACTTCCATCTATTTATATGACCTTTGCTAAAATGATACATACCCAATTTTCCTCTACTATAAAAACTCTCCGCACCGATAATGCTCTTGAGTATACTGATACATCATTTCTTAGTTTCTTATCTGATCAAGGTACTGTTGTCCAACGCTCCTGCCCATACACCTCTCCACAAAATGGTCGCGCCGAACGCAAACACCGACATATCCTCGATACAGTCCGCACCCTTCTCTTATCAGCCTCTTGTCCAGATCGCTTTTGGGGAGAAGCTGCACTCACCGCTGTCCACACTATAAATCGTGTCCCTTCCTCTGTCCTAGGTAATGTCAGTCCTTTTGAAAGACTATTTAATCGTACCCCTGATTATAGTCTTCTCCGCCCTTTCGGTTGTGTCAGTTTTGTCCTCCTCCCTCCTCATGAGCGCACTAAGTTAGAACCTCGCGCGCGTCTGTGTTGCTTCCTGGGCTATGGGTTAGAACATAAGGGTTATCGTTGTTGGGATCCTATTTCCAATAGGCTACGTATTTCTCGTCATGTCACATTTTGGGAGGATACCAAATTCTCTTCCTTGTCTCACTTCCGAGTCCCCTTTGATCGTTCGTCTCCGTTCTTTACCTTGTCCTCTCCTCCCCTATTCCCTTCCAGTGACACGGCTCCGTCTCCATCTCCCGCTCCTGACGCTGTCTCGGTTGCGCCTCCTGAACCGCAGCTGATCCCCGAGCCTACTCTTGCTCTCGACTCCGATACATCACCACCACCCGAGCCTGACACGACTTCGATCTCAGCCCCTGATCTTGGCCCTCGTCGCTCCACTCGGGTTAGTCACCTTCCTACTCACTTACTTGATTATCACTGCTTCTCTGCCACCTTGTCCCATCATGAGCCCAGGACCTTTCGTGAGGCGTATGCGGATCCGTTGTGGCGGCAGGCTATGTCTGAGGAGTTGCAGGCTTTGGAGAAAACACATACGTGGGATATGGTTGATCTTCCCCCTGGCAAGAAACCTATTGGCTGCAAGTGGGTATTCAGAATCAAAACTAACTCTGATGGATCTATCGAGCGCTACAAGGCACGTTTAGTAGCCAAAGGCTACACCCAGCAGTATGGTATCGACTATGAGGAGACATTTGCCCCGGTTGCTCGTCTCACCTCTGTCCGCTGTCTTATCGCCATTGCTGCCGCTCGTCGGTGGCCCCTGCATCAGCTTGATGTCAAGAATGCGTTCTTGCATGGTGATTTATCCGAGGATATCTACATGTCTCCTCCTCCTGGTTTTCCTACCTCTTCCAAGGTATGCAAACTTCGCCGTGCCCTATATGGTTTGAAACAGGCACCTCGAGCTTGGTTTTCGAAATTTAGCTCTGCTCTACTCCAGCTTGGCTTTACTTCTAGTGATCATGATTCGGCTCTCTTCCTTCGACGTGGGTCAGCTGGAATTACTATTTTATTGCTTTATGTGGATGACATGATTATTACGGGAGATGATGCATCAGGTATCTCCGAGTTGCAAGCTCATCTAAACCGCCACTTCGAGATGAAGAGTTTAGGGCCTCTTCGGTACTTCCTAGGACTTGAGATCTCCGACACCTCCGACGGATATTATCTCTCTCAAGCCAAGTATGCCTCCGACCTCCTATCTATTGCCGGTCTCACTGACTCCAAGACTGCTCCTACACCTCTTGATTCTGACTGTCGTCTTACTCCGATGGACGGCGTTCCCCTTGATGATCCGACTTTGTATCGTCAGCTAGTGGGAAGTCTCATCTACCTGACTGTCACTCGACCGGATATTGCTTATGCCGTCCATATCGTCAGTCAGTTTATGTCTGCTCCTCGGACGACTCATCATTCTGCTGTCCTACGGATTCTCCGGTACGTCAAAGGTACCCTGCTTCATGGACTTCATTATTCCGCTCGATCCTCCTTAGTTTTGACCGGGTATTCTGAC